ATTTATATGTGTTTGTACAGTCAAGAGGAAATAATGTTCTCTCAATTTATACTGGAAATTTTTTTATTTGAAAGTCGTAGTATGATTTATTATTCAGTGGTTTAAATAATTCTATCAATAAAAATTCGATTTTCCTTAAAATTGCCTGGAGCAATTTCCGAATCCTCATATTTAAAATAAATTGATTCCTGCCGGGAAAGAAAAACAGTAAACTCATTTTATGGCATGTCTGAAAACCTATTTGACTGTTGCGTTCGTCTAAACGCGTCTTTTCCATTCCGATCGATGCAGCAAAGTAATATCGCGTTCCATATATATTTCAATTATTTATTTCTCACGTGTCTTGAAAAAGTATATATTAAATACTGGCACCAAATTAGGCGATACACTGCACATCTCGACTTGACCGTGTTTGGTCGAACTACTCGTTTCGAATTCCGATCGAAAAGAAGAACTGCAAATCGTGAAGAAAGACGTCGACTGTTACGTAGCTGTGTTTACCTTCTTCTGAAGACTGAATATGTATTTAAAGATATTCTTTATTTGCAATGAACACGGGATTTAATTAAACAAGTTAGGTCAGCCACGGAAACAAGGAAGAAGCCCCAAACCTGTAGACTATAGACTGAAACAATAAGTTATACACGTGGTGAATTGGCGATGATCAACATTCACATAACCACTTTACTTAATACATAATTTTCATTCGATTATATATAATAATATACAATAAGGTAAAAATAGATGAGGCTTCCATAAATGGATCTATAATAGATAATTTGTTTTTATTATGGGACTTAATATGTCTCTTAAATAGGGATGTAGATGGAAATTTTCTAATACTAGTAGCGGTTCAAACAGCACCTTTATAGGAAAAATAACTTTGGTATATTGGTGTCGGGCAGTTCTATGCTTTGATTTCTACTGCACACGCAGGGCTACAAGGCTTTAATTGCGATGGTAGTATAAGGTAATGTATTCTATTGATTGTAGATTAATGGAAAAAACTGGATCTTTAACTTATAACTAAATCGAGTGCAGAAGTTCTGGATCATCTGCAATCTGTTCCGATCTCGATGCAAGAGTACAGTAGTTCAAGCGATTCACTATCATTATATCGTAAAGCCATTGTGTTATTCATTGTTTTGATACAATTGTCTTAAATTAAACTAGCTGTTTTGGACTAATTAATTGGGATTGGAACTTAACTTAAAAATTAAGTTAAAAAGAGTTAAAATCGGCAACTATTTACAAATAAAATCTAGCCTAACCATTGATGAATATAAGGGCTTATGTTTTCGACAGTTACCTTCAATTTTATTTGACTTCGTTGTTACGGCGGTCTAGTGACGTCTACTTTTAACGTTTTATTCCTTCGTTCAATTTTTCTGCCGGCTTTGTGAGTTTGTAAATTGATCCAACTTAAAAAATGGCGAAATTTGACAATACCACCGTGAGAAGCAACTTTTCTCTTCTCCTAACCAATGAACGATATTTTTTTAGGCTTAGTTGGCTTGCACCTCCCTTGGAAGGAAGTCCAATATGTCTTGTGTAGTTTGGTTATAATAAACTTTATTATTATAATTATACAAACTTTCCGTCCTTAATTGACTGGTTGGGCTAATCTATGAAGAAATTTATATTATTTCATTTACCAAAGCTTTCTTACTATTGGGCAGATTTTTTGCATAGGCTTTTGCATCCAAATCGGTTGACTAGCATAATTTTGGAAATGTATTGGATATGCCTGTCTGTTTTGATTGGTATAACCCATTATTTAATTGCTTCTTGAGTTTCTGAAGCAGAGGCAGGTGAGTATTTATAGGTTGGTACCATTTAATTCCGATGTTTGTAAAAGTGCGACAACAGGTGAATTCAAGATATCTTTCGTAGTTATGCGGACGCATTACTTTGTCCAGCATACCAAAAACGAAGCTATCGACTACAGTTTTTGGTTTTGCTCGTTGTCTAACTGAATGGGGTGCTTTTCTTTTCCAGTCTTCAGTATTAAATTTTTAACATAAGTAGTTTTGGGATTTAAGTTACGTTGATGTAAATTAGGTAAAATACCAAATACATATCAAAATAGAAGAGACCAAAAATGCTATTTGTACTTTTTCTTTACTTCTCTTAGTCTGTGTTGATGGACCAGTTGGCAAATTATAAAAAAAGCATTTTTAAAGCCTAACGTCTTTTAAGAGTAACTATATGCAATTGAATTAATCGCTAGATTTACATTCCTGAAAAACTGCGACAACTACATTTTGAACCGATGAACCGAATTTTTCATTCAACATAAAAATGTTATTTATATACAGGGCATTCCATTGTAAGGACAATTATTTTAAAAATATGAATCAGGGACTCTACGACCGCACTTTTGAATTGTGCATTTTTTCCATTGTCCATATATTGTAATTCAGGAACAAAGCTAACGCTCATCTCGATTGGATGTTTTTCGGTGAATTTAAGCGGAAATCGCATCACTAAGAGCGGTCCCGTTTTCAGTACACTCTTCGAACCATATGGCAATTCTAATAATACCTTTCCATCCTAACTCCCACTCTGTAACTCTTAAGGCTATTCTGACCCGACTACCGTCTTCTATTACCGATTTAAAGTGCCCTTAGGGTCTCTAAAAACAACCGGGCTTCGACGTCGAACACGAAAGCCTGAGCCTGTCAGTATCATGATATCGCCCTACGCGTACGGACCTCTTCAGAGGCCAGACAGTGACGGTTGCGAGAGCGAACGATATTCGCCATACGAACGATACGAACGTTATCCACCGCCCGAGTACTCGCCAACCCAATATTTCGAAGCCACCCAGTATTCAAAATGTAATTTTAACTTTTCGTTTAATTTCGCGTGTGTAATAAGTTTGCCGAACGTTCGATTTGGAACGTGTTTATCGTTTGAGAGAGTGCCTGTGATGTAGTTAGGATATATTTGAGTTGCGCATACGAATATTTGCGATACGCGGGTGTTTAATTTACATGCAAAATTGTGAGAAATTATGAAATTGTTGAGCAAATCAACTTTGGATGGCACAGGTGCACGAAAATATTGTGAGCCGCTAGATTGAAATGAAATAAGTCTCGGTTTAACTTTGCCGGATTTTTATTACAGGACTAATAAAACTAACCGAATTGACCGAATGGTTTTTTACTTTTTAGAACGCGTAGTTTTCAAATGACTGCTTGAATTATCCCTTCGGACACTGGAAAGATGGAAAAATGTTTCTGCAGTTGTCTCTACTATACGGTATATTATGAAAAATTAGACAATTCGTCTAAATTTCTTTGAACATTAGTTTTGTTGGTTGGTTGGTTGGTTGGTTAACCTATTTGCTCTGGTAGTGCAGCATTGATGCACCAAAATTCCTTCCTTCTTTTCTTTTTTAAAATTATACATTTAAATGAATTTTAGGTGTATATGTTATTTTTTTGTGCAAAGAAACTGCCATAGGCTACTATAATACTATCTCAACAACAATCGAAGCAGCTATGTTATTGATTCTGCGTTTCTTATTAAATTGCAATTAAACCTTACTTAGTTGTTAGGCGTTATTGTTGTTGTCTAATGTTCAAAATGAGAAGGTCACATCGAATTTAAGAAGCGGTTATCAAATTGGAGAGTGTATTTTAATGAACTTTACACACAACACAAAATTTATATCCGGTAACGATCATTGCGAACGTTCATGCTATAGTCTATTGACTGATAGCGAAGCTGTCAGCGGACTTCTGAACGATATATGTTGCGCATGTAGTTGTGATGTGCATTGGTTTAAAGAACATTAATGAATAAATGAAAATTGTATTTTATAGAACTTAATGAAAATTCTCATGCCGGGCTCCGAACAAAGAAAACAAGAAAGTAACATTTATGAATACTAGACAGCGTTTCTGATTTTTCAATATAATAGTTACACAATACAATCTATACAAATATTTACACGTTTACTACTACTATTATTGTTCCCAAAAATTTTATAACGATAGTTCGTAATGTGATTCTATTATAGCACCAGAGGTTTTTCTAAGAGTTTGAATAATCAACATACTCACAATTTGGGAAAAATTGGCATTACTTGGATAACAAAAATGGATATTTCAATTAATATTCCAAAGTTTTTGTTTGCCTTCATATAGCGACTGACAAAGTAAGAAAAATTTTAGATTTTAGATATTATTCCAAAATTCCATAAATTTCAATAACAAAGACTTCTACAGTTATTCTAACACACTGCCTATGGTTACTTCCTCACTTGTTTGACTATTTCCTTCGATGAATGGAATTATTACAGTTTTATTAAATTATAGGTGTTAAAAAATCGCTTAGAGATTGTATTAGTTGTGTAAATTCTTTTTTATACTCCCTTCTGTAAAATTAATTAATTGTTATTTTACCACGTTAGTTTCGTTTCCCACGGATCTGAGTCACTTCGGACATTTCCGGGAGCAATCGGATGTTTTCCCAAAATTTGAATTTTGACGTTTATCAATACTAACGGTCATATCAGTGAATGTATTCGCGTTGTTTTGCAAAAATGTACCAAAGACTGACGGTTGTAGAAAATTTTTTGTATGAAACATGTTTACCATTTTCTTTATCGCTATTTTTTTATTTACGAATTAAGAGCTAAATAGTATGACAATACGCAAAACATACAGAATAGCATGAAACCTATAGGTAAATAACCGGGAAGGATATTATAGTAAAAATATCAAGCGTGCAACTGAGCTTATTGGCGAAAAATGACCATACAAAGTTGAAAATTGAAAATTTTTTCATGATACTTCCGAAGATATGAACATTCTTACTGACCCAGAATATTAGGAACAAGCAAAAACTGCAATGTTATTAAAATTTATTGCTTCATTTTTGTGTTTGGGTGTACTATTAAATTCGACTATTAAATTCGATAATCATTGATAAGATATTTTAGAACTTGGAAAACAATTTCAATTTTATTAATATTACCTATTTCATTTCAGGCTGTTTGCTAGATAGTGCGCCTCGTCCTCCAGATGTACCACCGAGAAACCCAGCAATGAACAGGCTCAACGGACGCCTGGCGTCAGCACCCCCACAGGATCCGAACCAGGATTTTGAACCATCTTGTTTAGTGCGAACGCCATCAGGAAATGTGTATATACCAAGTGGAACGCTCAGTAAGTACTAGTAGGCAGAAAGTCAAAAACATTTGCTTAATATTATACTGCCTGTGAAAGCGGGAATAAAGGCAGTGCAATCTAAAACAATAACAGCCGATTAAGTTTTGGATTTATCATATTGTGATCGTTTTAATACGATGTGTGTGAATATAAAATTTGTACTGACCACTCAGGATAGGTTTTGACTGAACTGGTGAAGAATTATTTTTATAAATAATGATTGAGTGTAGGAGATTAGTGAATAGAGAGCCTTCAATCGGTTAGACATTTAAGGAGGTGAATAAAAGGGAAACTGAGGTTCCAGAGTTAAAATCACTGAAAACCAAAGAGTTTTGATGATGTTTTGAAAATTATTCGAATGTTTTTCCGAAACCAGTGATATTTCTCTGTGTTTATCGCGATATGAGTAACTTGCTTTTGTTTTTTTTTTTTTTTTTGATGCGATAAACGGTTTATGCGAAAAAATAAAGTTGGGTATATTTTGGTAATTTTAACTGTAATGAACTTTTATTCTTATCTTGAGGCGAATATCCTTAAGTATCGGAACAGTACTGAATTGCTAAACGAGCCAAGTATGATTATTTGTAACCAAAGTTGACATTTTCATTGAGAACCCTTTTCTACCATTTTTTCTTAGAAATTCTTAGAAAAATAAAAACAATAACAATTTAAAATCCTGTTTTCCAAAATTTTGGCATTTTGCTTGCGAAATTATTAACTGCGTTTGAGTTGTGAGTGAATATCATTCGTGCTGTTTTGCAAAAATGTACAGAAAAACATATTGATAGTACAAAACATAGTGTGCAACACGTTGACAAACATCTTCAGTCACGTTAGTTCAAGTACGCGCTCCGCTGTGCACATAACTGCTTACTTAGTTACTCTATCTCATACCTCATGATTCTAAGGTCACTGGCGATGTGGTCCGGCCATGCTAGCCGGGGTCTTTCAAGGGGTCTTCTACTTTTGGAATTAGTTTACCAGAATATATTAACTATATCTGCGCCTTCATTTTTCTGATTCCTTAACTTTGTGCTATGAATTATTGGGAAATACATCTTTCTTAGAACTTTTTCCTGGACACAACTAGATTTAAGTTCACTACATCACTACCGGTCTTATAATTTTATATTGTTAAACTTTCCATTGCCTAGAGTCTAGATGGATGTTTGGTGCACAAAGCCTTGTCCACTGCGTACATGCATACGTTTCCGCTGAGAATTCTTATTGTATTTATATCATCTTCTGTTATTGTTTTTCCAAATATTTGTACCTTTTTACCACCTCAAAGTTGAATTCTGGAGTGTGACTCACATGTAATTTGTCTTGTCTTTATTTATGCGTCTATGGCGTGTATCAATCTTGTTGTGTATTATATACTATTAGAATGCAGTGTTAAAGTAAAAGCCGAATTAATATTTCTTTCAAAATTTCAAAAAAATATGGTTGCCATGCCAATATTCAGTATACATACATGTCGTTCAAAGTAGCAAATATCAATGGAGAGTTTAAATATAAATCAAATACCTGAGAAGCATATAGGGTTCAAAAATGTTGAAGGCAGAAAATCTCTAGGTGAGAATAAGTTGATTTGCCTTATTTTAACATCTATAATTTCTTTTCAAATTTTATGTTCATTGACTAATAGAAACGCGACAAGTAATAGAAATTACATTATAGATAGACAGAGAACGTACGTTACTTTTTTTAATTATTACCTATATACATTTTAAACCAAAGTGTGTAAAATAAGCACAATATGGTGAATAAATTTCAATTTTTGCGTAAATTTCCGCCATTCAACGTAACTGCTATTTTCCATATTTTCCAGCTCGAACATTCGATATCTTCAAAATATTTTGTGAGAATTTTTGGAGTACTTTTTTACTAAATGTTTATTTATGAACCAAATTACCAGGAGAGCAAAAACTGCTCATATTGTTGTACGCCAAAGATATTGCGCTGAATTCAGTTGAACAAATTCGAGAGTTAAGTGCGCGCATACCTCTTTGGTCCCAAACAAAATAACCTACACTATCATAAAATTGCCGTTCCAGATATTTTTCCACCCAAAATTTGAGAGCAAATCGTATTATGAAAAAATAGCCCAGAATTGCTCACATGGAAACTTTTTTATCTGTGGCGGTCACTCCCGCTTCCTCCAAATACTCCCGAAAAGGGACTGCTGGGTTAACTATCAATTCGCCAGTTGCATAAGACCATTTTCGTGAAGAACCATTAACCCTACCGCTGAAATATATTTAGTGGTATAAACAATACCTTAAATGATAAATGACGTTGTTGTCGGCGCATCTTTAAACGCAAACGTGCGCTGTCAATTTATCCTCTTCGGACCGGTGCCCCTGACCAGAAAGAATTAGGGTTGAAGATCAGATGGTGAGCGGGACACCGTTTCCGAGATTCCTTTAAGAAGCGGATCGGATTATTATATAAAAAAGAAGGGTCGTACCTGCTTATTTTGATCTTCGTTCATTTTCCCATCAGACATGTGGCGCGTATTGTTAATTCCGCCGGACACAACATGTGGTCAATTTTTTTTTATTTGCCGTTTTGTAATTTCTTAACGGAAGAGAAAATGGGGCATATGCGCCTATATGGTGTCACGAGTCACCGCTAGACAAAGACTTAAAGATATTAAATCCAACTTTATTTGTGTTGTAATTATTATGGCTCTTTGGTTCGCCTCGAGCACTCGGCACTAATTGCTGCAAGTGTTAACGAATATATTGTTTGGCGTTTGTGATTTAAAAACCTAAACTATATGATTGGGCAGCTGTTGCTCGAATAGCTAGACTTCTGCGCTATTACTGAGAATCATAATTTTTATAGAGAACTAAACGAAATAAAAATTAGAATGAAAAAGTACAAAATTAATAATGTGTGGTGGCCCTTTTAACACTCTCATGTCTGTGTGTGACTGATAACCACACCGCAATACTACCACATTTTTAAAAAGAAGCTTGTCCTGCGCGTATAGCCTGTACAATGGACTTCCCCTAACACTAACAAAATTAAACATGCAAATATTTAAAAGGCAACTAAAAAAACTTCTGCTTACTGAAAAATACATTCCCGTACCTCAATCTAATTTCTCCTTCTTAATCCAGTACCTGACAATTAGCACTCAAGTTGAAGCTTTTTTTTTTATGTTCACGAAACCCATCAGTTCTATCCCCAAAATTATAAAATTTAATAATTAAAATTTCTAGTTAATAAAAATCTCTCCTCTTTGATATTATGCTTTTTAGTTTACAAATAGGGTAAGATTTAGCGACTACCAGCAGCATCGGCTTGCCGATTATATAGAAGTAACTCCATTATTTTTTGTGGATTATAGCAAAGCCTTTGACATGACAAATCATGAAATGCTCATTCCAATTCTTTGTCATATAGCATTCAGTCAACGGTCTCGTAAATTGGTATCATCCTCTTTAAATGACGGAACACGAAAATTCATACTTAACATATCAACCTCTAGGCCTTTGGGTGTTAATAAGGGAGTACTCAAGGGTAGTTGCACTTCTGTCTGTTTTGTTTCTTTGTAACAATTGGCAGAGCTTATGACTAGATTCCCGGCTAAAGTTTAGAGTAGAAAGCACTTTATCAGCAAGTTACTACTACACAGGATACTAAAAACCTTTTTTGGGATGCAATGGGACTATCACAGTTTAACCACTATAAGAGCGTATTCACGCCTTGTCCAAGTAATACAGACCATATGATAAATCAACCTGTCTGCTCAATAGAATTTTCTCTGACGCTATTGACCTTCTAAATAAGTTTAAAAATTAATTTTTCAAAGAAACTTCCACAGGCTACTGTAATACTTTTTACAAAACTTCTGGGTTCCTCTTGCGTCGGATTTTGCTGACGTTTCGCCAATCATCCTGTTGGCTTCTCAGTTGACTCAGTTTCAGTCAAGCTCTAAAGAAGCCAACAGGATGATTGGCGAAACGTCAGCAATTTCGACTCAGCAAAAACCGACGCAGGAGGAATCCAGAAGTTCTGTAAAAAATAAGTTTAAAAATTGCCTTTTGGTTAAGCAATATTCATACCAGCAAGATGTCATTTTAGTTGCTATGTAATTAAATATTTACTTAGATATTTTCTTCATCTCAGTGCCACTGCCATTTCAAAGGTTCCAAGGGTTGTCTGTTCCTCTGTTGTGCAAAATTGTGGGATGTAACAATATCTGAATCTACTTACTTCGACATATATTTATTATTAATATTATTGTTATTATTATTATTATTATTGTTGTTATTTATTCTTCGGTTTAGATCAGAAGCCCGAGCATTATCTTTTGGTTTTGAAATTCTTATTGATTTATGTTAAGTATTAAGGACCATGTTTTGGTTCTGCACAGTACTTTGCAAAAAATTCCTTCGTCACTTTATCTTAATTGTTTCCCTAGATCCATGCTGGTTAATCAACCATTTAAATAGTATTGTTTCAATTTATAAGTAATTAGGAAGGCTGCGATGAAGCTCACTCAAAATTTTGCGAATTATCACACTGTAATTTCAATTCGGCTAGGCAATGATTGTGTTTCTATCTAATCAATCTTATCGTGATTCTGAGAATGCGCATCGTCTCATGTCTATATTTACCCTAGTTATTTGGCTTTTAATCTATTAATTTGTGAATGTCCTCCGTGCATGCTTCCGATGGTCAGTACACAGACCAAAATATTTATTTTAAAATAATTTATATTTACGTAACAGTGCCAGCGTTTATTTACGTTTCAATCTGTCCAATCGATTGGTAGGTTTTAATATGATAATTTGTAATCAGCCGATATTTGCTTTGACTATATAAAATTAAATTTGACTAAACGATTTTTTCAATTAAAAAAAAATATATTTTTTTTAATGCTAGATAAAGTATTTTCTGGATGTTTATTTACAAAACTCTTCGAAACTATACTAATAAATGTACTAAAGCTTCTTGACATCAGGGAATAATAAATAGGAAAAAAAAACGCTTTACCATGTCACCTGATCAATCTTGAACAAATCCACCATAATTTCATTTTTACGCCTTGTTTTTCTAAAACTGAATCATAACTTCAACCTTTAAATAAATGCAAAAAGCATAAACTTTCCTGGTTCTTGGACAAGCGCCAATACTATTTCACTTCTAAAAATGTCGAAACTAACATAGATGTGTCACAGTTAAGACCAATTAGTATCTAAACTACTCTATCCAAAGTTTTCAAAAAAATTATGAATGCTCAAATGAGCGAGTTCTTGCTCAAGAACAAGATTCATAAATATTTTATAACTGTCACCGCGCTTACAAAAATAACTGATGACTGGCTTGGTCTAGGTGATCGCAATAGAGACCCTTCTCTTATTCTGCTAGGGTTAAGGCAGAGATTTTGATATTGTTGGTACTGAAATTCTTTGTCAAAAGTTCTTTTTTTTTATTTCATTACATTAATTCTTACTTTGACAGAAGATTGCAACAGTAAATAGTAAACCTGTGACACAGGGAGTACCCCAAGGCTCGACCTTAGTACCTCTGCTCTTCCCAATATATATCTCCGACTTTGATTGTTTTGTAACATGTATCTGTTAATAATTACGCTCTCGATTCGCAATTGCTTTACTCTTTTCGATACATCTTCAGGTCATAGCCTTAATATAAGTAATGGCAGTAAGTCAGTGGGCCATATTTTTTGGACCACAAAGACATGTAGACTATGTCAGAAATCAACTAAAGCTAACATGAATGAGGTTATGGATGAATACTTACATACGATTCACCCAGAAACTCTATCGAAATCGGGAACTAATAACTTCCAACCTTAAGTTAGTGTGAGTCATTATGTCCAGAGATGGTGACGGACTCTAAAAAGCTCAGAATGCTTGCTTCAGATTTTGTTATAATATTAGAAAATATGACAGGATCAGTAACGTTATACACAGACAGAAACGTCTAAAGGTTAAATCTTTGAGATACCTTCACCTCCTAAAATCTTATTTGCAAAACATTAATGGTGAACCAGCCGTCTTATTTTTCTAAAAGGCGTCCATCTTTTAGGGAGCTAAATAGCACTAATATAATCTTCTTCATATATGGCCCCTTGATCAACAAATTATGAGTAGATTTTTTTAAACGAATTATCCTAACCTAATTATAAAATTTGTCATGATTTAATTATTAAAAACTTTGCTTTTGGTATAATAAAGACTCAATAATAATAATAATAATCGTATGATAATCATTCCACTAATAAGAACATACCTTCCACATTCCTTAACAGATTATTAAAAATATGTTAGGGTACACCACTGCGGTGCCTCATTTACATAACAAAACTAAACTCGGGGAATACTCCATTACAATAAAAGTCTTAAAAGATTGTGGCCAATATCGGAAAGCAAAGCGATAAACATAAAAGCAGGTACCCTTTTCGAATCGACACCCACGACAAAACGAATTCGACTTTGCGACTTTATGGGTTGTCGCAAATAAGTAACGGACGAAATTAATTTTGTCTCTAAGGCCGCTTTCGTAGCTATTATTAAAGCTAACTAAATTCATAAAAATAAATTAACTGCTTGGTGTATGTAAAGTTTTGAGAACAATATGCCCTCGATAGTAATTAGCAACCCTGTAACTAATTGAACGTCATTTGTTTCAGATCACCCCAAGAACTCGACTATCGATTACAAATCAAATTCATCTTGCAGTAGTCCTTCCAAAGATATGAAAAGCTCGGGCGCGGGCAGCGTGGGCGGAATGGGCGGAGTCGGTGGTCTTTCGTATGGGGCACAAATGCCCGTCTTACCCGTCCGAAACAATTTACGAAGGTAAGAGATTTAAAGGGAACAAATGTTCTTGGTCGAATATAGAAAATCGACAAAACGATTTCAGATACAGCAAAAGTAAATCTTTGCTTGCTTGTCAAATAAAAAACTATTTTCGAAAGACATCAATACCAATCCAATCGAACAAAAAAGCTTCATTTTCTTGGACCATCTACTTGCAATAAAAATACATCGTTATTGCATGGGACCAAAAGCGGAAAAATAATAATAAATATAATATTTCTTTATTAACTTGGGATGCTACATACAAAGACCATTGTTTACAAAGTTTTACATAATGCATGAACAAACAACACCAACAAACAACATAACTATAAACAGAAATCAACATATAGGCAAACTTAAGATGAAACAGCGATTCATACTTAAAATCTAGACGTCATAGTTTTAAAGTTATTGAAATTATCACAATTTTTCCAGGTATTTGGCAGTTTATTATTTTCGGAGAGACCCTTATACAGAATAGAATTTGTCATTTGGTTAGAGCAATACCTATCTACTAAAATAAAATCATCGCGTTTTCTCGTATACTAACTATGCACGCTGTTAAAATATTTTGCTTGATCACAGATGTAATCAGGTAATAGTTTATTTCTTAACTTGTTTAACCGTCATAACATTAACAACATTTGACATTAGGTTTACAGGAGTGTATCTGTTACACTTTAAGATCGATCTTAATGCTCTATTTTGAATTACTTGAAACTTATTTATCTTATAGTTCGGTAAGTTATACAGGAGTGTGGAGCGAAATTTGAGATGAAGTGTCGCAATGCTGTTATATAATAAAATGTTGTTATATAATAATCATTTGGTGTACATGGAAAGCCTATAAATCTACATAAATGCTACTTTTTGTGAAAATTTTCCCAATACATAATCAGTATGCCGTCGTAGCGTTAGTTCTGATTCTAACATGACTCCAAGGTAATTAATTTTATTTTCGGGTACTAGCATGTCACTATTTATTTAAATTTTTATGTGTTCTATAGTAACAGTACTCAATTTTTGTTTTTTCCCAAAAATACAAAATTTAGACTTTGATGTGTTAATATTAAGTTTGTGTTTACAAAACCATTCATATATTCGGTTCAAATCACTGTTAATACTACGTTTCATCTAATCTATGTCACTACCAACTATATATAATATTGCACCATCTGCGAATAATTCTAACTAACTAAATTACAATAAACTAACTAAAACTAACCAAAACTATGTCATTAATATACAATAGGAATAATAGAGGCCCCAGTACAGTTCCTTGCGGCACTCCATACAATTGTATCGACAACATCAGACGCACTATTTTTAAATCTAACTTTTTGGGTTCCGTTATACAAATAAGATCTGAACCAATTTAAAACTGAACCTTGTATGCCTAGCTTTTCCATTTTTCTTAACAACGTAAACCTATCACTAGTATCGAAACCTCTCCTAAAATCCAAGAACACAGCCAAAATAAGATTATTACTATCAACAGCTTTGAGAAAATTGTCACATATATTAACTATCACAGACTCACACGAATGTTGATGACGGAAATTACACTTATTGGATACTAAAATGTCATTATTATCGCAGAATGCAAGCAGTTTCTCTTTGACGACCATTTTCAATATTTTTTCATAAACCGGAACAGTGTTTATCGGTCTAAATTCTCCATGCTGATTTGTGCCTTGAACCCTTGGTACTGGAATCACAGTTGATGTCTTCCACTCGTGCGGGAAAATATTAAGTTGGACATTTCGTGAATATCAATCATAAATTATCAATAAATAATAAATTTTGACAAAACCAAAGGAAGCGTATGGATATGTGACAATTTTTATGCCAAACAATTAATGAGAAGAACGTTTTTAAATATGAAATAGTTTTACTTTTCAAAATTAATTTCAAGACAAACAAATATGTGTGATCTATTCATAGGCGGAATTGCTATAATCATTCAAGAATTCAATGATATAATTGTTTGCGTTATATAAAATTTCAATGACGCTGCTAAGCGACCAAATTTTCAGTACAATCCTATTTTCTGATTTCCGTTAATCTCTATCAAATTACTGAAATTATCAAGGTTAATTGTTTTTACAAAAATATTTTGTGTTCCTAATGCTACTTAATATTTTCCGCATAACGCAGAATGTGTTGCAGTCATAACTGCAGAGTCAATTGTTAAAAAATGGTATTTCTGTATTTTCGAAAGTCAGACACTAAAAGTTTACAAAAAAAAGTTCGGATTAAAAAAAAGCAATCTTAAGATGTAGTTTTCTTAAAACAAAAAGAAACCGGTAAAAATATCAAACAATTGACCGAATGTGTCCATATGTTGCATAGACATGTGAAGACCCTCCACAATTTTTATTTACATGCTTGTGTCCATCAAAAATAATCGAAGCAATTTCAGTAATATGAATCCGATTCGCTTGTTTCAGACCAAATTCGAGCCATTTTTCACCAGCGGCGTCCAGATTCCACTTCCGAAAAGGCTTTGCAAATCGGTGCACGTGGAAATGCACCGCCATCATATTTATAGTTTTGTGCGTTGCGTTAATTGCAGCGCTCTCGTATATTACCGGTAAGTACAACTATTAAATTTTAATAAAATACCTAAAGCACGGTCGGCAACTCGAGAGGATTATAAAAAAAAGCATCGGTAACGCTGTTTTTTTGTAAAGCGCTTTTCAGCAAAGGAAGTCATGCTCGTATAATCTTCGGGTATAATACTGGTGGCTCACGGCCTCTACCTGAGGTGATCCCTGATGAACCAGCTGTTGCCAACATATGGCATTATCTAGAACAGAGCTCGGATCGTAAATAAAATTTGTGTCAAAACTTTTTTGCGCTTCCTTTGGAAATTAATAGCCCTTTGCAGGGTCTAACGACATACTTGGGATTTGCTTTGCAAGGAACAAATGCACATCAGTGTTAACTTTAACTCCAGGATGTTTCGTGTTTGATTGATTCATGGTTTCTGCTATTGGGACAAATAAGACCATATTGAAACATCAGTATAAAAAAACTCAACCCAAATTTTTCAGTACAGCTATCTCTTCAACAAACAAACAACACTTCTCTCGCACATTAAATAATGAAAAGTTGCTTCCAAAATTTTAAAATCCCTCCGACCAACCAAATTTAACCTTTCTCGTGAAATTAAAATTTCGCAACCTATATTGAATTTGGCGCACTTTACCGCAGAAAGTTACCTTCTAATATTTCAAAATTTCTCCGTAAGTTCAACTTAATTGTGCCATTAGACTCTTTGAATTTTTCGCAATTTTGGGTACTTTTCTAGGGAAAAATATGAAGCTCCAAATATTGAAACCCTTCAAGCAAGATGAAATTAAAACTTTCTTGTAACATTAAAATCTCTGAATCTTTTGCCATTTTGAGCAGAAACAATTTCAAATGTTGCCCAGCTTCTTAGGGCAAGCTGTAACTCTCCAAAATATTATGATTTTGCGCAACGAATATTCAATTTTTTTGGCGTCGTCGTATTTTGTACAGAGGTTGTGCTGCTTATACGAATATGCCATAAAATGGCGTAAACTCAAGTCGAATTCGACAAAAGTAATGTGCTTTGATGCATATTCTAGTTCATCTTCTGAATCCAGATAATAATCCCTCTCAGATGGTACATTTTCTCGCACTTCCGTTCGATTTGAAGACAGTGTATTTTTCTTCTTTTTTTTTTCAGAAGAGATCTAGCTCTCCTTTTTAGTCAAACAAATATCTAAAGCTAATTTAATCAAATTTTACGATGAACAGTGTAAGTTGGTTGGGCAAAATTTACACATTACAAAATGGTATGAAAAATTGTTTTTTTGGTTAAACACAGGGGGAAAATGTGTGCATTATTTTGATGTTGTGTATGTCTTAATCGAGAAGTATATGACGAATGGATCAACGAATTTTTTTTTAAATTATGAAAAAATGTCCTATATTTTGGACCTTTGAAGAAATCTCAATAGTACACCCTGCCTGTATATTCTTTCATTTTTGAATACTAGGATAGGAAGTAACCTAATTTTGAGCAAGTTTCCTTCTACCTATGTCTGACAGTGTTTGAAATAAAGATTTCACACTTAGACAGGAATAACCTTCGTAAAAACTTATTTTCACTTAATTTTAGTTTCTTTCCAACTATCTTGCTGTTGCTGTTTTTCGATAGTACATAATGAATCAATCAAGACAGAACATTACTTCCTGTCAAGCTTCAAATCCTTCTTTGTGGTCAGGGTAACAATTTAGATTCTATCAGATAATAATTGAAGAGGACAGCTGAAAAAGGGCAAAAAAATTTATTTATAGAATCTGACAATGAAATGATATACAGTCATTTAAACTAGGCAAGATATAGCCTTGTTTTTATAGAAGCGGCAACACTGTATACTTAAAATTTTAGAGATAAAGCACCTCCTCTTACATGACCCTTAATAATTTAAAGTAAATCTCTTGAAACTTGAGAGTACGCTTTGTCTCAATTATTTATAAAAAATGAAATTTTAACATATAATTTCAAATAAAAATTTTATTATGTTAAATGGGCAAACGCATATTAATTCTGGTTTTCGTTTTCGCTTTAAAATAAATTACGTATTTTACGACTTGTTTACGGCCCACGACACTGCGAACAAAATTTCGACGAACGAAGGTTCAAAATATAATCCAAAGAGCTTTTTCATTTTGCTTAGCAACTTATTTATGAGGGATAATATTTTATGCTCCGGACTAACCAAAAAGCCTACCGATAAAAATGATTGTATTTCATTTTCCGAAAGCATAGATAATCAAATTCTTTAAGATTTTCTCAAATATATTGTATTTTAATAAGCAAATAAATCAAAGAGAGAAGTGAAAATAAAAAAAAAATACATTATATAAATATACATAACATACATATAAAACATCCTGTATTTTCCATAATTGTGGAAACATCCAAATAGGAAATGTGACATTAAATTTCTTATTTCTAAGGACATCAAAATTTAGACATGTGCATCACCTGGACTTTTTGAAAACATTGTATATTAACTTATCTTTTCTATTTGATAACTTATCGAGAATCTGGGAACTTTCAATTTAGTTCCTTATATAACGTTTTGCGTAAAACTCTGTTTAATTAGCATTTTCAATAATGTATTACATTTATTCTAATTTTTCTGTTTTGTGGGATATTTAACAGGTTATGTAGAAAATTACGTTTGCAGACTGAACAATATCTGCAAATTCTTTAAAATTTTACTTTATTAACTTACCCTCCAGGAAATTGTTTGTAACAATACTTGTATTCTTTCATCAAGTTTTGGTTGGTGGGTGTGCATTTTTGTCATAGAATAAAGAAAAATGTACAGAGAGTCACCAAACACCTAAAAATAAAAACGTCAATAACACAGAGTGTCGCAATAGCAGTAACTTGGCTGGGCGTTGGCACCATATAACTATTAGATGATACAGTGTCCCTACTACAGCGGCATTGATATTTTCGTAGAACATTTAACGAGATCTAAGTACATTTTGAGAAAGTACTACCACAAAAATGTCGCATCCAAGCTTATTGACGATCTGTCTGCGCCGATATTGGTTGTTCAACGTCTCCAGCTCATTGGTTAGTTTCTTTATGTCTTTAGTAGCTATATGGTTGGCACTAATTTTCGGAATTCAGAGACTGATATTGCGTTTTTACAAAAATAAATCAATTTGACATAAAAATTTCGACAATGTCGAACTCAGTCAGTCAGTGGCTATAACATGTCAAAATATCAAAGTCTATGTATTTCGTTACTATGAAAACCAATATATAAAAGGCTAAGTTTTAAACGATCAAAGAAAGATTATATGCAAAAATATGAAAAATGAAAAGTATTAAATACTTAAGTATGCATTTTTTACACAGCAGTTCCACCAGGAACTTCTGTTATGTAGTAAAAATTTGAAATTATTTTTTTGGTCGTTTTCATTTTAGTTCTAGACAAGATAGGATTTTAAACTAGGTGGTTCACATTCTGAAAAAAAAAACGATTTTTCGAGAGTTACATCAATTTTTATAAAATATGTATATTGTAGGTAACACGCCCTGAAAGTGCTCCTACGGGTCTCACTGGCTTCCAATAAAATGGTACTTTCGGGACTACTATTACCATATTCTAAATATTTAATCTTTTCACGAATTCCAGTAATTATTACAATTTAGTTTTATTATAGCTCTGTTGTGAACAGAAATTGAGGAAAATAATCAATAAAGTGGTCGCAATGTAGATATTACAATACAATGAATACAATTTGGAGTCTTCTTAAGTTTTCGAATATTTTTTATGTATTTTACTAATGACTTCCCCACTGTCACTATTTCTAGAACTCGTTCTACATTCTTCGCAATCTTCAACCCACAATAGTAAGAGTGGGAAACATGTCTGCACCCTTTTCACCCTTTTCATTGACGGGCTGGTGCATTTCACAACTCTTTCTACATTTGTTATAGCATCGAGTTTACTCAGCTGGTCATATCAAGGAACGAAGCCGTGCGCCGTTCTTGTCGGCGAGAATAGTCAAATCGTATCTACTTCAAAGACTCTACCGTCTGAAACGAATTCGAGTGCAAGTCGACCGAAACAAGCGTCGAGTAGCAACGGAGGTAAATACAGCGAGCCTGTGTATTTTAGAAAGCGTAGAGAGGTTAAACAGCCGCATGCTTTTCCGTTTTCGAGTTCCAGCGAACTACCTATCACTACTTCTAGTCCGCATGAACCACCACCTGGTAGTCAGCTGCATGCTATAGCAAATGGTTCGGAGGGCTCTTTGTTGCATGACTTTGTGTTTAGTTCCACCACGCTTTCCGTGTTCGATGTGTCTAGTTCGACTAATAGTCCCACGACTGTCGACTCCAAAACTGAATCATTGAAAACTAGCGAATCTACCGATAGAAATCTCAGATTTGACGACGGTATCTCCACGACAACACACATAACACACAATGAATCCGAAATCATAGAACAACTCGAAGAACTATATGGGGACATTTCTAGTACAGAGGAAACAGATGACGCGTCACTGTTCAGGCTGGACTTGGAGGATCATGGCACATCGTCAGAAAATGTTCAGCACGACTCTCCAGTTTTTATTTACCAAAAAGATAGTGAAAGCATGGAACATCAGCTAAACACCGACAAAGGAGAGCACAACTCAAAGGAATTGACCGAAGCCAATCTGGCGTTCATGTCATCAGAAGCTAAACCAATCGTTGATCTGAAAAATATCAAAATCAAGTCTACTTACGAGACTAACATTACTAACTCTAATAGTGATATTGGAAACGCATTTAATACGTCCCAACCCGAAGTTAAAGTATTCCAAATCCCAACCTCATCATCTCAGTCCAAACACATCCTTGTAAACGTCTCGATTTCAACCGATCCAGAGAATCCCGATTCGGCGCAGTCTGTATATGTGCTTTCTGTGTCTGTTCCTACAGACGGGAATAAGCCAGATGTGAATATGGGTGCCAAGGCAGGGAGTAACGCCCCCCAAGAACTGCGAAAGTCAGATAAACCTGAGCTTTCTCTTGATTTTCAAAGCGGAGGCGCTTGCGAATGCTCGTGTCCCTGTTTAGACACTTCTAATGAATTTTTAGGCACTAACAGTAGCGAAGATTACGACTACGACGTTTTTTACAACTCTGAAGATTCTAGCGTTACGACTAAACGTACGCACGGCATACCGAGTGTTACCACGGTATCGCCCATGTCGACTACGGATTTTACAGGGTCCACCCAGACTTTAGAAACCTTATGTCCCGAGATCACTACAAAAATGCCTCCTCCACCCACGATTCTGATTTTGGAAGGTAAAGTGTAAATATTTTTATCGAATCAACGGCGCTTAGTAATGCATTTAACAAGTACGTATTTCTCATTTCATTCCGACGTTATTCCCGTATTTTTGATATTAATATCGCTAAAATTAAGACTACTTTTTGCGATGTTTTCCGATCATAAATTTTATTGAAGTATATTTTTGACAATTAGTCATTTCTTTGTGCATGTGGATCCGTAGTTATTATAATAAAATTTTCAATTAAATTAAATTTTATTCATATTAGACTGGTTTCACAGAATCAAAAGCTGTTGCCTGGCAACAATATCATTTCATACCCTATAAAATTTTTCACCTTCGGTTGCTCTTAGTTCACGCAAACTTGAAATAAACACGCTCAAGATCATAATATGGGATAAATTAAGAATAGTTAATTCATTCATCCAATAACTAAGCAATTAACCAGCCAAAAGATGTGTTTAAAATATTTTCAAGTAACTTATGATAACTTATGAAAACAAAAACTACTAACTCTCTCACGACAACCAAGTATAGGCTACTCATAAAACAGGATGTATAAACACTTCTTCTCGCTTTCTTCGAACTATAAATTAAAAAAAAAATGGCAAAATGCAAAGAGTTTTAAAAATGGCTGTAATCTCACAACGCGGCCATGTTTCCACATCGTTGACTTAGGTTGCCATCTACTGAATTGGAAAGACAAATGATCGGGCTCTCTTCATTTTTGATAATAGTTTCGTTTAGCAAGAATGTCATTAATGGTGGATGTAATTTATCAAGATGCACGTTCTAACGATCTCATTATTCGATTAGTATACGGGATTGGTTGCTTATGATGACTTGTTAAGTGTTGGGAGTTGCAAACGGCATGATAGTAATTTTAAATAATATTTTAGACGCTTGTGTAGTTGTGTTGCGATTCGAGATAAGGCGGTATATGGTTTGAACGTATTTCTTGTGCTTCATTTACGGGTGACAGGTATTCATTGCTATCGTTTAATACGTTATGCTTACTTGGATTCTCATTATTACGTTATCGTTGGCGGAGATTCAGAAAAGGAAAATATTTATTCTTATAGCTGTTGTACAATCACGATTTCTTTTCTTCAGAAATGGCTGCCTATAATATTTTACGCGGAGCGATTGTACCGATACACGATAAAATGAAAATACCAGTGAATTAGCTATAGTAGTACGCTTGTTCATACATATAATCACAAAATCTGAAGGATAAATAAATGAAATATTCCTTTTTCTAGTAATATTTATTGAAACTTATCAATCGTTGAAAACTTGTTTTCAATGTCAAACACGGTGGATACTTGTTTCTAGTTTTCGATGTAAGACACCGTACACACTAGTTTAAAGTCACGCCATTTTTTTGGTAAACGTTTATCTGTATTCGAGCAGCTGAAGTTGCTCTGTGCTAATAAAATCATCTGATTAGGGTACCATTCAATAATTAAATAACCCATCGTCCAATGGCTTCGCAATTAAATAGCCTTTCTGATCGAATTCGGTGTACAATTTTACAATTTCCCAGGTCCACGCACATTCCCAGCTCAATCCTTCCCTCCAGACGGCACTACGTTCTCCCAGATTGCGTTGGGTCAACGTCTGTCAAAAGAGATTCCTCCATACGGATATTGGAACATGCAATTTTACCAATCGGAGGCGGCGTACGTTAAATTCGATTACAGCATACCGAGAGGAGCAAGTATAGGAGTCTACGCGAGAAGAAACGCTCTGCCCACACACACTCAGTACCATATTTTGGAGGTGTTGAGCGGGTTCAAGGCCCGGACTACTAGGGCATCACACGTAAGTCATTTCGTCTTGGAGTTGGCAGGGGTTTCGAACCATCAAGGAATTTCCAGTCTTACGTGAAGAAAGAAGTTACTCACTACATGGAGCAAGGTCACTGGTTCTTGTCCCTATACAACGATGACGGCGACCCCCAAGAAGTTACGTTTGTTGCCGCGGTAGCCGACGACATGACCCACAACTGTCCCAATGGTTGCAGTGGCAAAGGAGAATGTTTGATGGGTCATTGCCAGTGTAATCCAGGATTTGGTGGAGATGATTGTAGTGAAAGTAAGAACTTACACCTTTGACTGATAAGGATTGCGTAAACTAACCAAAACTAACTTTCACTTAAACCCATGCGTGCATGCAAAATACATACTTCCTCTCTTGGACTAGGTGTATGCCCGGTGCTCTGTAGCCAACGGGGTGAATACATCAATGGCGAATGCCAGTGCAACCCTGGTTGGAAAGGCAAGGAATGCCAGCTAAGGCATGACGAATGCGAAGTGCCTGACTGCAACGGACATGGCCATTGCTCGAATGGAAAATGCAACTGCGTTCGCGGATATAAGGGCAAATTTTGTGAGGAGGGTAAGGGGAATAGTTGTTTCGTTTGATACTTGCGTCAAAAATGGAGTTAAATATTTAACTGAAACCACATAAATTGCAATTTTCCAAACCCTGAATGTAACCATTGCATCTCTGACTCTTTATTCTTTTTGCAAATTTGTATGTTCAATGCCTTAGTTGACTATCAAAAACCTAATTTTACTTGGTGCCTAGCCGATTGTCCCCACCCGACGTGCTCCAGCCATGGTTATTGCGTAGAAGGCACTTGTATCTGCAAGAAAGGCTGGAAGGGTCAGGACTGTTCCCAAATGGACAAAGACGCGCTCCAGTGTCTACCGGATTGCTCCGGTCACGGCTCGTTCGATCTGGAATCCCAGACATGCACTTGTGAACCTCGCTGGTCTGGCGAAGACTGTTCCAAAGGTTTGTTTCGTTTCATAAGAAAGGGCAAAATTTTTTTAACAGGTCATCTGGAATCGTCCATTTTGGTTGCGGACCCCAAATTTGATATCATGGGTATATCAGCAACACTTGAATTCAGCACGATTAATGTTTGCGCTTAGTATCTAACAAAAGAATGGTAAAAAAGCATTACCAATACCTAAAATTGCTTAAATCTTTCTTAATCACTACGCTCTGTGTTTTAACCGCTGGCTGGGATAACTCCGGGATTGTACCGCTTAATAAAAACAACTCAATTTTAAAATTTATTAAACACGAACTACACCAAATAGCCCGGGGTTAATTTGTTTTCAGAACTGTGCGACTTAGATTGCGGCAACAACGGACACTGCGTGTCAGAGCAGTGCCAGTGCGATCCGGGTTGGTCTGGAGATTTCTGCAATCTGAAACAGTGCGACCAACGTTGCAACGAACACGGCCAATGCAAGAACGGAACGTGCCTTTGCGTCACCGGTTGGAACGGGAAACACTGCACTATCGAAGGGTGTCCAAATAGTTGCTCGGCACATGGCCAGTGCAGAGTAAACACGGACGGCATGTGGGAGTGCAAATGTGATAACGGATGGGACGGACCTGATTGCAGCATATTGCTGGAGCAGAACTGTAACGACGGCAGAGATAACGATAAAGGTATGAACTGACCTAATAACGCGTCAATTTCAAATTGATGAATTAATTGGGGGTCAAATGAAACCAATAAACCAATTTGTTCCTGTACCGAAGTTTCGACGTTTTACTACGCCATCCTTATTTAATGTAAAAAAATAACCTTGTTGCTTTATAAGATATATAGACTCACTACTGTACGATTTGAAGGTATCAAAATCAATTAATTAATAAAAATTTGTCAAACGACGCCATTTCGCTAATTCTTGATAGTTTTTATATGAAACGATAATAACAAGATATTGGGTGCTCTCACTTGAGAAAAGCGAGTTAACGATTTTTTCCCTGTATTTATTTATTTTTTAAAAATCAACAAAAACCTGTAACTTGGATCCCCTTTTACGTCCAAATCAACTCGGATTGCATTGTTAGTCACGCTATACTGAACGGAATATTGTGACCAAACTAGAAGGTTTTAAAAAAGGTTTATATTTAAAATTTTATTTCCTAATATACAGCTTGTCCTAAAAGTATCAAAGTTGTATTCCTTTTTAATTTTTTAATTCTACGACCAAAATAAGGTATATTTCCATACCTAAGCCTAAATAATTTCAATGTTTTTAAAATTGTAATTTTAATTTCTCAAATATTTAAGAAGTATTTAAGTGAAATCTACAATAAAGTGCGGGCAAATACCATTTTGTAGCTCAATTGTAATTCCTATGAAATACCTTAAATTAATTAAAATTAGTCATTTTGTAGCAACTTAGATTAGGATACATTTTTAGCCACCCTGTATAGGATGGAAAGTTATTTTTTCACTCTACTGTAAACTTCGCTGACCTAACTTAAATACTTTTTTTGTGTTTGAGGAAATAAACTTTTTCACGAAACTTGTATTATTTAAAAAACCTTAAGATTAAGGTATCAAAAACCTTATTGAAACACAAACCCATTTTGATGATAAAACCCAAAATTACTGTAATAAAGCTAGTTCGATTTAAAAGAAAACAACAAGAGACAATACGTATAACACTAATTTTAACAAGTAACCATAATAGGAATTGAAATGCCCCAGAAGTAAAACTTTTTCAAAACTTCGTATTTTGGCATGTATAACAAGAGACTTCAGTCGGAGAAATCAATAGATATAATCTTCACTTGTCAGAAACGGCAAGACTTTGGCAAAGGATATATGGAATATGTGTAAGAGTTCCGAGCAATTCAAAAACTTCTTAATATGTAGAGAACGTTATATTTGAAATAAAAAAGTTTTTACTTGTTCACGAAAATAACGCATACGCTGTATACAATTTGTTTCAAAATAAAAGCTAAAAACTTAAGATATGATTTATTGTTTAAAACAAAGGGTACTTTATCATATAAATGTTGGGTAGAAAGAATTGTTAATTAGTCTGCCCCTGTTATTCTAAACTAAATTTTAATAAAAACTTACGCAATGACATGAAAGAAAATCCACAGACGGGTTTGTTAGAAACTTTTTTGTCTTCATCTGTATTCATATAACTATTGTTCTTCTAATATCGTCATCACATCAGTATTAATTTCTGCTGCAATTTTTCTGTTACTTCTCTACGGTTGCCTTCAATAATATTTAGCCCAGCCATTTCTAATCTGGATGTTTGAACTTCGAGGTGTCTGCCGGTAACTAACCAAAACTCCTTTTTTCTAAACTTCTAGATTCATGTAGCCCTTGATGAAGTCTTGTAAACAATCTCTCTTATGAAGTGGTTAACGATTAGGATATGCTTGTGTATTAAAACAAAACGTACAAAATAAGCGTATCGTATTCTTGAATTTAAACCGTTATTATTGAACAATTAAATACTGTACTTAAATTAGTCGTATTTTATATTCAAACTAACTGAGCAAAGATAAATGAAGCATAATTAGAAACGCCTTAGATTTAACTAATAAATTTTTGATGCGTGTTATGCGTTGCTTAAGATTTTATTTAATTTTCTTGGAAACGGTAAGTATTGTAAAATAATTGCAGAAGAGAAAAGTTTGCAAGTAAAACATATACTAAACAAAATCAATTTTATGACTGCTTAAGTTTTTTAATAAATTTTGGTAAGAAAAATAATAAGGGTAGTGTAATTCCGTTGCACTCATTTTAAATAATATATAAATATTAAATTTTTCACTAAATTTGTAGAGCGATAACCCCTAATCAATCACCAAATCATCATCATCAAATACCAAATGTTAAACATTCAATAACGCACAAAAACATTTTCTTAATAATCTATCCTAAAATTCAATAAATCATATGGTTTAGACTAATAAAAAATCAGTACCTTTTACCAGAAATAAGTCCGGCAGTGTGCATTAGCAAAACATTAATAATAAACTTCTGCAGATGGACTGAGCGATTGCGAAGATCCCGAGTGTTGTTCGAACCCGGCCTGTAAGAGTAGCCAGTTGTGCGTCTCATCCCCGAAACCAATCGACATTCTTCTCCGGAAGCAACCCCCCGCAATCACCGCCTCCTTCTTTGAAAGAATGAAATTTCTTATCGATGAAGGCAGCTTGCAAAATTACGCCAGGCAGGAAACTTTCAACGAGAGGTATGTCGCAAAAGTTAGTTAAGTCCTTTGAGATGTTTCCTCGTAAAAGATAAAATACGTTAACGGTTGAAAACTAGCGAAAATTAATTAAGCGCTCATGATGGAGACCGCACAGTGGAACCACTCTGTGTATAGTATTGCACATTGGGCAGAAAAACTAAAAACTATTTCCTTTTATATTTTTATGATGGTTATTACCTTATTGTTGAGTTTAAACCTATATAACAGGTGCAATGTTTTTTTTAAAGAAAATTAATCTTAAAACATCAAAAAAAAAATCTGCCACGTATCTTAAAAATCAAGGTTTTTTTTACCACCAGTGAATATAAAAAATGGAAAGTAATTCAGTCAATTTTTTTTTTACATTTCATTTAATGCATTTAACTTGAATAAAAAACCTTCTTAAGCTCAATATATAACAACGGGTATTACTGTACACGGGTATTACTTATTTGAAGTATATAGTTTTTTACTTTGGAATATGGAGACATAATTCATATATTCTTCTATCTATCCTTTTTTTAACAACCCTTTCTGGTGTTTTTTAAAATAAATGTGTGGAATAATTTTTCAATTATATTTTTAATTTTATTTTGATAGTTCAATATTCAATGGTATTTGTTTTAATGCAGTACACGTTTATTTCATTTGAAGGTATGCACTACTTGATCTTTCAAAGTAATTTCGACAAGCTACTGTAATACTATTTACAAAACTTCTGGACTCGCTGGTTTCGCCAATTATACTGTTGGTTTCTACAGAGCTTAACTAAAAGTTAAGTTCTTAAGAAATATAAGTCAAAACAAGGTTTAACACTTGTGCAAAAATCTCTCATCATCTACGATCCGTCAAAGGCAAAATTTCGTTTAAGATACCAGGAGTGTGCTGCATTGCAACTAGGCTCAAAGAATATGAAGTAGCCTTAAAACTAAGACAAGTAGCCACATCAGGACATAAAATTTTATTTAAATTGATACTTATTTTAGCGACGCAGGAGGAATCCACAAGTTTTGCAAATAGTATGCACTATTTGCTTTATCAAATGATTTATTTTGTACTTTTTTACAAATATTCAATAATGCTGCAGAAAGATTGGGAACCCAATCTTGACGGATATGGTGCTAAAACCAAATAGTTTTAGATAGGATAGTTCCACAGTGGGCCGGCTCCCTATTAATTTCTTATATTTATATAGCCCCGTGACGTCATAACAGATAAAATTGCGTTCATTTTAAATTTTCGCCAGTTTTAAAACTATTAATTATGTTTTTAATCTATATGTTCTATGTAAACATTTATCATATAGACGCATTGTTGTGCCCCAGTTTATAAACACATCCCATTGTTGTGATTTTCTATTATGATCTTTTCACTTTTCACTCGCCTCTGTGCCGTACCGTAATGGATTTTTTTATTAGAGGACGAACAAATAAAAACCTTTTAACAGAACATTTGTAATCTATTGTGTGTTCAGTAGGTGTTTTTCGAGTTCATTTTGGACGCCTCTTCAATTGTTATGACGAAAAAGGGACGACCCAAATTACTAGAAATGTTTATACAGTTCCAAACGAAAAAAAAAAAACAATTATGTGCCGTTGTCCGATACTTTTCCTAGTCATTTTTCGACCATTGAATTTTCCGAAACCTTAACTAAACATAGATAACAAAAAAACTATATTAAGACTAATAAAAATGAAATAGTTTCAAAACTTACTTTTATTGTAGTGCCTAAAATATTAGATTAATTTATATGTATGAACTATTATTACATATCTTAACAAACCAAAGTATGATACTCCTTCGCTATAAGTCACTTTATTTATTAACAGTTAGGCAGCACAATTTTTTTAACATTTCCGATTTTTCCTTTTATTCTTGCTGCTCATACAGTGTCTTTTGGAATCACTTCAATACGAGGTAAGGCTGCAAGCCGAACGCACAAATGTAGTAATGTAGATTATTATATTTAAGGAATTTAATTTGCATTTTAAACACGACAGATCGATATTTTCTTACGTGTGCTATTTTGTGTTGTCGTGTTATATATTCGTTTATATTTATTTTATCCACTTGTGGCGTGTCTCTTTTTGGTTACGCTTTATATTAGATGTTTTTAATTTCTGTCGATGTGTGTCGTGGTAGAATTGTACTGTTTTAGAATGATCTGAACCTTTTATTCCAACACACAGCTAAGGTTTTGCGCTTTTAACAGTCGATCGGCAGTGGTCAGAGGCAGGGTGATCACACCAATGGGCACGGGACTCATGGGAGTACGAGTAAGTACAAGCACACCCTTGGAAGGATTCACTCTCACCCGCGATGACGGCTGGTTCGACCTGCTTGTCAACGGAGGAGGGGCCGTTACTCTCCAGTTCGGCAGATCGCCGTTCAGACCGCAAAGTTACATCGTCTTCATACCCTGGAACGAAGTTGTCATTATAAACAACGTTATCATGACTACTGGCGAGGAAAAATCGGTATCGTTGGTCCCTCAGCCTTGCGCCACTCATAATTACGACAGCATGAAGCCGGTAGTTTTGGCAACGTGGAAGCACGGCTTTCAAGGCGCTTGTCCAGATAAAAGCGCCATCTTGGCCGAATCCCAAGTCGTCCAGGAGAGCCTAAACATACCTGGGACCGGTCTGAACTTGGTTTATCACAGTTCGCGTGCTGCCGGATATTTGTCGACTATTCAATTGCAACTAACACCCGACGTAATTCCGGCGACGTTGAAGTTGATCCACCTAAGGATTACCATAGAAGGGATTTTGTTCGAAAAAGTTTTCGAAGCGGATCCCATCATTAAATTTACTTACGCGTGGAATCGGCTTAACGTCTATCGCCAACGAGTCTACGGCGTTACGAATGCAATTATAAAAGTTGGCTACGAATACAGCGATTGCAAAGATGTCATTTGGGACGTGCAGACAACAAAACTGAGTGGTCACGACATGAGCATTTCGGACGTCGGCGGTTGGAATTTGGATATCCATCACCGGTACAACTTCCACGAAGGTACGGCTCATGCACCCTTAACTCTTGTATTGTTAATTTCGTGTACCTCTGTCCGCAGGCATATTGCAGAAGGGCGACGGTTCTAACATTTACCTAAAGTACAAACCGAGGGTTATATTGACCACGATGGGTGACGGTCATCAAAGGCCGCTAGACTGCGTGGATTGCGAAGGACCGGCCTCCAAACAACGACTTCTTGCTCCCGTTGCGCTGGCTAGTGACCGGGACGGCTCACTTTTTGTTGGAGACTTCAATCACATCAGGAAAATTCAGACAGACGGCGTGGTTCGAACCATACTGCGACTAAAGTAAGCTATTCGCCTCCTGCAGTAGTATTAACAATATTTTTTTCATTTCCTGTCAACTTGGTTTTCCATATGGCACCTGTTTATCCTAGTAAAACCTCTTCTGGTGAGGATATTCAATCTACTCGTTAATTCCAGCATTTTCCTGTTATTCTAACCCATTTTTTCACGTCTTTAGGGTTTCATTTCTCATTCTGTCGTATGGTGATTTTAATAACATGGACTTTTCTGTTTCCGATCATGACCTTTGTGGTACATGATCTTGTCTTTGCTGCAGAAGTTAATATGGGTCTAAATGCGCTTTTATGAATCTTGGCTTTGCTCTCAGTGTTCATATATTTGTTCCCCCATACAATATATTTTAGGCGTCCAGAAATACGAGAAGCTTTCATCGTTTGTGCAAGTATTTTCCTTTTAAAATTTCAGATACGGATATTGATTGAAAAGGTGAAATAGCCATCGTAGATTGTTCCCTGAATCAGCAATAAATGCTGCGTCACTATATGAAGATGGGCTTCTCCCATGTTTTTTATGATGTTATCCATTATTTCATTGAAAACTAATGGGCTGATGGTATCCCCTTTTCTGATTTATTTATTTGTATTTAGTTCTTTGGGTAGTATTGGTTTACTTCTGATATTAATCGTATCAAAATTTTCTTCCATTAAGATTTTGATGGCATCCGACAGATGTATTCTGTCGAATGCCTTAGTTATATCTATAAAGCAAGACAAGGCAGCTCGATTAAATAGTTAGATTAGATAGTTTGTTCAATGCTGGAGTGGTTTTTACCAACTGAATGTTCTTTTCCTCACCTAATTCAGGCTCTTTTTCTGGAGTATATAGATTTTCCAAATATCTTTTTCTACCCTTTTCTCTAAAACACAGAATTATACAGCGATCTAGAGTACGGAAGGTACCATTTTACCACGTCCGTTTCTTTTGCTTCGACTACGATCCACTCCGCACATTTCCGCGATATTACGAGAGATCTTTAGTCTCGGATGTATTTTTCAAAGTATTCCATTGTTTGTCTATGAAATTATTTTCTATTATTACTTTAAAATATTTATTATAAATAAATAAAGGAGTAACTTTAGCTATAAAACAACGTTAGAATATTTATGAAAAAAAAGTTATTCTACATCAAAATAATCAGTATCGTCCCTCACATTAATATTTAAGCAGATATTTTTTCTACTTCACTTCTGATTAATTCTATTGCCTCAGAACTAAATTTCGGCGATGTGTTGTTTCTTCTTGACCTGGGTTAGGAATTTTCAAAATACATATCATTTTCAAGCAAAGAATTTTGAATACGTTCTTTAGTCGATGATGAATTCGGTATTTTTTCCGCTTGTGCAAAATGGTAGCTGGCGTTTTCTATCACGACTGTTTGGTACAATGTTGGGAAGTAATTTCTCAGAAAACCATTTTTCAAAGATTTCTGCTGTCATTTTTTCGGGATAGTCAACCTTTGCTTCTTGTACATCTTTTGCACAAAGCAGCAAGTGGCACATCTAACGAACAATTCCTGCTGTTACCAGGTCAATTTCTTGGATTTCTCTCAAATGTCTTGTCTTCCACTAGGAAATTTTTCTTGTCTTTTATTGATGGTTTTGTACTAAAAACTAATTCTTTGTACGAACGTACGCAAAGTCTCTTGGCAACAGTCAATGTTCAAAACACTACGCAATGCTTCATGTAAAGTTTTAATTGTTGAAACAATATTCTTCTGATACGCATCGTATGTCAACCGTTTCACTATACCGGCATGCAAGTAAACTTTTTGGGACCCCACGAGCTTTCCGCATTTATTTTTCTTGGACAACATTCACAACTATGTCACGTATTCTGTCATACGGTGTTTTAGTTATCTCGATCGATAATTTTATGATTTCACTTTCCCCTGATGTCGATTTCAGAAACAGGAACACATTTAAAATTATAAGTTTCGCAGCTACCGTCAAATGAGTCCGAGTCTTTTGTCCATTTAAATTTGACAGATGTCCATCATCAATAAACTGGAATAAAATATGGTACCCCAAAAAAAAATGACACACTGAGTCTTGAAAAACAACTGAATAACAGTAAGTTGGAAATTACTAATTACAAACAAAAGACGGAATAGAAATAACTCCAAAGCTTCGACGATCAAGAAAATACTGTTTCATAAAACTCAACTAATAGCAAACTGGGAAAACATCCATTATAAATCAATGTATTTTTAATATAGGAGATCAATCTATCTAATGGGCAAAATCAACTTGAAATCGAGCTGCCTCAAGCAGGAATTGTTTTAAGAAGATTTATAAAAACACTAATATGAATTAATATAACTGTTTAATCGATGAAAATTTCTTAAAATATTAAATAAAGGCCTTGCTTGTGGTACACGTGGTCAAAAGAATGGTCCCTTCCGTTTTACAACAGGCGGGTCTTAAACTCATTCCGAAGTCAAAACCATAAGAGGATGTAAAAACCGTATATTGTTAACGAACTTTACTGTAATTATCCGGTAATTGGTGCTATCTCTGTTGAGTGTATACTTGCACCAGAAATATAGGGCTTTTACAACGGACGCCGTGATTAACTTTGCCTACTTTTTATTACTCCAAAACAGCAGCCCCTCATAGAACATCCTGCAGAGCAGACCCTTACCCGTAACCATTTCAGGACCACGGGATATAAGTAAATTTTCAATCTTTTTCGAAGAGCAATTCTTTGAAAACGGTACATAAAAAAATTGTGCAAAGTAACAATTTATTACGTTCTATTTCATTACATATCTACATTGTATCATTATTAACATACAAAATATTAAATATAATAATAATAAAGTATCAGTCACTTAAACAATCGTCACTATCGCTAATGTCGTAACGTTTATTAATTGTTTGGCACAACCAATGTTTAAGTCTGTCAGTACATTTTTATGCAGCTCTTCTAGGGTTAAAACACTATTCGCTTTATAACCGTCGTAGAGTATACGCCTAATTAGATCTGTGTATTGCTCTTGACGATCCCATTTGCACTAATTTTTCTTACAGTGGACTTCGGAATTTTGGTCATGTCACTTGTTACTTTCGAAAATCGATAAAATCTGCGCTCGTATAAAAATTTTATATCTCGGTAACGGTAGGTCCTATGGGATTGCCTTTAGTACAGAAATGATCACCGTCGAAAAAAAAATTTTGTTTGTCCGTTCTCCGTTTTCGTCGTTTGGTTTTTCCTGAATAACTTTCGAACCGTTGGAGCTACAAAATTGAAATTTTTCTCCTTTTTAACTCTCCAGGCGGCACATAACCTTCTAAGAAACGACCCTGATTCGATGCCGGTATCCATCATTTTTTCGCGATTTTCGTTTTTGGATCTTGCTATGAAAAATTGGCACATATATGCACGGGGCAAAGCTATGCAGCATACAAGCTGCATAGCTTTGCCCCGTGGTAAAAGCTATTGAAAATGGGGGTCTGGGGAGTTGGGAAGTAATCTAAAAAAATATAAATAAAGTGTGCAAGGGTCTACAAAAAACATCATTTTTCAAAAAACCGTTTACGAAATCAAAAAAATTCTTGAACCAGAAGACGCAAAAGATCCCGCTTCATAAACTTTTATTCTTAACAATTTTTCAAAAATGTACAGGGTACGTTGCAAATTCAAAAAAACTGAAAAATGGGTCCATGATTCATGACTATGATTCAGATCTCACTTTCTTTTATTTTGCGAAATAGCCCGCATAGACAGCCGTATTTAAGATTCTCACGTATTGTACAGGGTGTTCCCGATATTCCGTGCTAAATGAGAAATGTGTTAAGTGTCCTAAATTTGCAGATATCAACTTCAAATTTACCAGATACGTAAAAGTCCGTGTCCACATTTAAACGGTAGAAATTGGGCGCAATCAAATTTTACCAAGTATTTTTTAAAAATGTTTGAACTTTGTTTTGGTAATTTTAGCTTCCAAAAAAATATGTTTTCCTCCATAATCGTTCATCCGATTGGTAAAATTCTCTAACCGTCAGACGCATCCAATGCAATAACATTTATTTCGGGCATTTTTTCGATTATAACAGGGTTTTCAAATTATAGGCAAAAATCTAAAAGTCCTAGAAAATTGTTCTTTTACAGAGTAAATTACTTGCCGCAAATCAAAAATCGTAAAAAATATGGCTAATTGGTTCAAACGGTGTTATAGGCCGCATCAAGAGCTACAATTTTTGTATTTGCGGTTTTCGTCTATCACATACGCTGCTCGGGCTGTTTGAAAAAATGCATATTGAAATCGTTATTTCGGGGGCTGTCAAGACGCGATAACGTCATTGATTATTACGGCGCACCGCATGGTTTCAGAAAAAAAATATTTTCTCGAAAACCATTTACTATTTTCAAAAAAATCTTGAACCAGGATCCGTGGAAAATCCAGGGCTATAACCGCGAATAATTAAAAGCTGTTTCGCGCTACGGGCTACGAACTTGCCCCACCCAGTGACGATTTTTCGAAGGCAATCTTGTTTTTATCGTTGCTTCTACTTCTTATTCTGAATTTCTTATAAAATTGTACACATTCAAAACAATTTGTTTAGCATCCGAATACAAACGCTGAGGTAGTTTGTCTTCTAAATTATCATTATGTACGACTACCATCTCCACTTCGTCTTCAAAGTCTGCGTTGTTTTCCATGTCTTCTTCTAACAAGAGAACATCTGCTTTATTCCACGGTCTCCAGATTTTAAAGTGTTAAAAAACAGCTTACCAGACAAACGCACTGGAAGGTAAATTGCTATGTTTTGCTTATTATACGAGTGGAAGCAGGTAAACTACTCTCTTGGTTTTATGATCGACTATGCCATCGCCAATCGTACCTACCTACTATAGATGAATTCTTTCCGCTTTTGCGTTTATCTTTATTCTTGTTATATAATTTTTTATTACATTTTTTATAACTTTTGACTATCACGAAGCTCCCTAATCAACTCTGTTTTAACTTCGTTTGTGTTTTTTTTCCAGCGCCACACGAGTGTCTTATCGATATCACATGGACATAAGTCCTCTGGACGGCGCGCTATATATATCCGATCCCGAATCTCATCAAATCATTAAAGTGCGCAGCACAAACGACTACGGCGATCCGGATCACAACTGGGAAGCGGTGGTGGGTTCAGGAGAAAGATGTCTTCCCGGGGACGAGGCCCACTGCGGCGACGGAGCACTAGCACGCGACGCGAAGCTCGCTTACCCGAAAGGAGTAGCCGTATCCAACGATAACGTATTGTACTTCGCAGACGGAACCAATATACGGATGGTCGATAGAGACGGTATCGTGACTACCGTAATCGGCAATCACATGCACAAGTCCCACTGGAAACCTTTACCCTGCGAAGGGACTTTGAACATCGAAGAAGTTCATTTACGTTGGCCCACAGAACTCGCTATTAATCCCTTGGACAATACGCTCCACATCATCGATGATCACATGATCTTACAACTGACCCTCGACGGGCGGGTGAAGGTGATCGCTGGAAGGCCTCTGCATTGCCCTTCGCCTCTCGTAGGTTACGATATCGAACTGGCAGCACACGCCACGTTGGTAATGCCGCAGAGTATTGCGTTCAGTTCCGTTGGAGATCTCTACGTGGCTGAGAGCGATTCGCAACGGATTAATCGCGTGAGAGTTATCGGAACCGATGGGAAAATTTCGCCCTATGCCGGCGCCGAATCTAAATGTAACTGCTTGGAGCGCGGATGCGACTGCTTCGAAGCCGACCACTATCTCGCTTCCAATTCCAAATTTAATACTATATCAGCAGTTACTATCACCCCAGACGGGCACGTTCATATAGGCGATCAGGTGAATTACAGAATACGATCTGTTATGGCGAGTATCCCGGATGCCAGCATATCGAGAGAATACGAAATATATTCGCCGGAAACTCAGGAAATCTACATCTTCAACAGATTCGGGCAACATATCGCCACGAAAAACATCCTCACCGGGGAAACCGTTTACGTATTCACATATAACGTCAATACCAGTAACGGCAAATTAAGTACCGTTACGGATGCTGCCGGTAATAAAGTCTTTCTAATGAGAGATTATTCGAGTCAGGTCAACTCCATAGAAAACACCAAAGGACAGAAATGTAGACTGAGGATGTCGAGGATGAGGATGTTACATGAACTCAGTACCCCAGAAAACTACAACGTCACTTTCGACTACCACGGACCCACGGGATTGTTAAAAACGAAGCTGGATAGCAGCGGGAGAAGTTACGTCTACAACTATGACGAATTTGGAAGATTAACTTCTGCCGTCACGCCCACCGGAAAAGTCATAAGTCTCACGTTCGATTTAAGTCTGAAGGGCGCGACAGTCAAAGTGAGCGAGAACGATATCAAGCAAGTATCAATGCTGATCAAAGGCTCTAGCGTTTCCGGCAGAGCAGAAGATGTAGAGAACAGAATAACGGTCTTCCCGGATGGAGGAGTTTCCAGCTTAACATCCTGGCAACATTCAATTACGACAGATACGATTCCGTACAATATTTTGGCCGACAAAGATCCAATATTAGGAGAAAGTTATCCGGTACCGGCCAAACAAAGGATGGAAATCGGCGGGGACCTAGCCAATAGATTCGAATGGAGGTACTATATCAGACCGAATCAAAATGCCAAAGGCAATAAAAATATACCGAGAGCCATATCAAAAGTGGGACGAAAACTGAGAGTGAATGGCGAAAACATTGTCACGATGGAGTATGACAGAGAGACGGCATCCGTATCGGTATTCATGGATGAGAAAATAGAACTTTTAAACGTAACTTACGATCGATCGGCAAGGCCGGTCCGTTGGGGTCCAAGGAACGGAATATTTGCGGAGGTCCAGCTTGACTATGATAGATTCAGTAGGCTCAGCAATTGGAAATGGGGAGAGTTGAGCGAAACTTATGGCTTCGACCGAGCAGGTCGGTTGTACGAAATTAAATACGCCGATGGCTCTTCTTTGGTTTATGCGTTCAAGGACATGTTCAGCAGTCTGGTAAGTCGGAGATCATCTGAATATCATTTGATGTGCTTTAATGGATTCTCTTTTACAGCCTCTAAAAGTGACAACTCCTAGGGGATCAGACTACTTGCTGCAATATGACGATTCTGGCGCCCTTCAATCTTTGACAACACCGAGGGGACATATCCACACGTTCTCATTGCAAACCTCCCTTGGCTTCTTCAAGTACCAATATTTTTCACCAATGAATCGCCATCCCTACGAAATAATTTACAACGATGATGGGCAAATATTAGCCAAAGTATATCCCCACCAATCGGGAAGAGTACTGCATGTATATGATTCCTCCGGAAGGCTGGAGACCACTCTTGCTGGTATGAGTTCCACACACTACACATATCACGACATATTGGATCTTGTTAAGAACATAGAGATTGTACAACCGAATTTCGAGTTGAAACAAGAATTCAGATATCATTCTGGAATTTTAAAAGATGAAAAACTTAAATTTAACATCAAAAGTGGCCTGGACAACGCTCATTATAAGTACCAATATGACGGGAACGCTAGATTATCGAATATCGATGTAGATATTAATGGCAAAGAACTGCCACAACTAAGACTGAAATATAATCAAAACCTTGGCAGTTTGGAGGGCATTAGTGACCTGAGGATTTACAGAAACACTTTCAATCGATCAGTTATGCAGGATACCAGCAAACAATTCTTCACCATAATCGATTACGACGATCATGGAAGATTAAAAAATATTTTGATTAACATCAAATCGTTCGACGTATTCCGGTTGGAAGTGGAATATGACTCCAGAAATAAGATAAAAATGCAAAAGTTGTTAGTCGGCAGGACGCAGTTTATGGACAGAATTTCCTACAACGCGGACGGTCATGTTCTGGAGGTGATCGGTTCCAGCAACTGGAAGTACGTGTATGATGAGAACGGTAATATCATCGCAATAATTAAAGAAAAGGAAAAAATCACTTTGGGCTACGACAGTGGAGACAGGGTGATGCAATACGGAGATGTGGAATTCAATAGTTACGATAATCGTGGCTTCGTGGTAAGAAGAGGCGAGCAGAAGTATAGATTTGATCCCAAGGGACAGCTCATCCATGCGTTTGAGAGAGATAAGTTCCAAACGTGGTACTACTACGACGATAAGCGCAGACTCATCGCGTGGAACGACGACAAGGGCAATATTACTCAATACTTTTACTCGAATCCCGATACTCCTGACTTGATTACTCACGTTCACTTCCCGAAGACTGGCCGCACATTCAGATTTTTGTATGACGCCCGAGACGTTCTCATTACTGTCGAAACGTCGGAGCAAAGATTTTACGTAGCATCGGATCAAGCTGGCACTCCTTTGGCACTGTTCGATATAAACGGAAATTTGATTAAAGAAATCCGTCGCACACCGTTTGGGAATACTATCCTAGATTCCAACCCGGACTTCTATTTGCCCGTCGATTTCCACGGAGGTATTTTAGATCCAAATACGAAATTGGTGTACATCAACAAACGTCTTTACGATCCAATCGTTGGACAATGGATAACTCCGAACTGGGAGAAGCTAGCAACCAAACTCACAACACCGACAGATATATTTATATACAGGTTCCATAATAATGATCCCATTAATGCGAAACATTCCATCAACTATATGACCGACCTTCAGACGTGGCTGAAACTTTATGGATATGACATCGAGAAAATGCTAGGCTTCCGTTACATAACCAACCAAATTTACAAACCCAAGGCGACCGTAACCGCCCCCCAATTAGCTCCAGATTTTGGCATCATGTCTGGATTGCAATGCATAGTCGATAAGGTGAGTCAAAATGAAATACTCAAAATGCGGCAAAAAAAATTGTTGCACTAGGCACTAAACTCAGTAGGTATATTTTTTACTAACCGTTTTTATAAATTGATTCCTATACGTTTTTAAAATATTAAACTCAATAGTTACCAAATACTTATTAGTTTACATCTTGGTACAATTGGTTGTATAAGGCTTCAAAAGTTAGATAGATATTCAATGAAATAAAGGCCTCATTAGCAGCGGTTGAAAGGGTTGAGGTTGGTCGAAATTTAATGCCAAACAGGACTTGCCTGCTGCTGACTTGGCCTTTAGTTAATATTGTGTGACTCAATTTTCAAATATTTATAATAATAATAACGGAAGATGGTTTAACCTGGTTGATCCTCCAACTTGTTTCTGTGAAAATAATTTGTCGCTGTTAGACGAATACAGCAAACCATAGCTACCAAACTACTCAGCCCAGAGCTGAAACCACAACCAATAACTTGCGGCATATCATCCAAAATATGTGGGAAAATGACAAACGAAAGCGTTAGCGTCATTCTACGGATGGTGTCTCAACTTTAGACCTTTTTACAAAAAGTTCATAAAGAAAACATTTCTGTTTTTTTTGGCAGCAGCACGCCATCCATTAGATATAACATGATATATAGTTCTGGCATTTTTTTAAATTTAACCTTAACTATTCAATGATTCCTTAATAATTTTTGTCATTGTTACGTAAATTAAATATGCATGTACTATAAACACGTTTTTTAAACTTCTCTAGAATACAGTAACAGCAGACTTGGAAAATCTGTTTACATTCCCCACTGGGTCACAACTACTTTGTCATATTTATTATATTGTTATATTTACAAATTTGTTCTTCGCTGTTGTGTGCGAAATTGAACCTGTACAGAGAAACATTGTTTATTGGAAACCCATGTTTCTTGCTGAATATAGCAAAACAACCAGCAACGACACATTTTTGTTCTATATAAGTCTCCATTATAGTTCAGGCACAAAGCTGACAATTATCCAGAAACCACAAACCAAAACCGAAAATTTCACACACACACGAACTGAACGCTACTTAATTTGAATTACCCAAGATAATGTAACACGCATATGTGGCTAAATTTAAAATGACGGAAATCGTTAAAAGCACATCTAGTGCCACATCGCGGTAAATGTCCGAAAAGAAATCGAGTCGGATTATCTGGTTGTCTAAAAAACTATTTACATGGGCAAACATTTAAGTTTCTCATAAATTACTTACGTTCTTTTAACATTTACATGTATAATAGGTAACAATTACTATTTTCAAAACTTCATGGTTCGTCCTGTGTCGGTTGTTGTTAAGTCGAAGTTGCTAACGTTTCGCCAATCATTCTATTGGCTTCTTCAAAGCTTAGATGAAACTGATTATAATTTTACTCAGTGCCTGCTTATATATCGTTTGAGGGGGCGTAGCTAAATGAGGGGCACAAATATCGTCTCGGATTTCTATAGATCCTCGGATTTTTCGTTGGTAGCCGAATGAATTACATGCAAGGATTTTAATTTTATCGAATAAAATCTTATGTCCGGTTTCGTGGTTGTGTTCGGCAACTGCTTATGACTTTATTTCTCTTATTCTTAAGGCTCTTTCATATTCTTTGAACCTAGTTGATATCTTTCGTCCGGTCTCCCCAAGGTATTCTTTGCCGCATATGCATAGAATGCTGTAAACTCCTGGCATCTCAAATCTATGGAAATCTATAAGCGACCTAACAATCTTAACCGCGTCTCAGGGCTTTACCTGTCACCAAATTGGGAATCAGTGATCCAAGACAATGATTATGCCTCTCATTTAACTCTGCCCCTTCAAACAATATATAATCAGGTATAGAGTAAAATGCGAGTCACTTTAAATTAAGCTATGAAGAAGCCAACAGAATGATTAGCGAAACGTTACCAAGTTGAACTCAACAAAAACCGACGCAGGAGGAAAAATTTGAAAAATTAATAGTTAAAAATGGTATAAAAATTTACAGTTGGCAAAGACATTTTTAAAATTTTATTTTATTTTTTCTAAATAAATCATGTGTAAAAACATTTTTGATATGAAAATTAACACTTAAAGAAGCATTACTAGACATTTTTAAATGTGTCATTGTTTTAATAGAGACTTTATCATTATTTTCTTTTAATATTACTTTTCAGCTGAATTTTTCGGCTTTAATAAAGCCTTAATTAAATAATCACTTTCATGTAGTGGACAGTAAAACAGAGCGTATTGTACCTGCAGTAGAGATGTCTCTAGTTTAAATATGTCTCGCACACGTGGTGCACGATTATTAACATATCATCTTATAAAAACAAACACAAAAAAACACAAATATTTTTAATTTTTTCAAAGAACTTTCCACAGGCTACTGTAATACTTTTTATAAAATTTCTGGATTCCTCCTGCGTCGGTTTTTGTTGATTCGAACTAGCTAACGTCTTGCCAATCATCCTGTTGGGTTCTTCATAGCTTGACTGAAACTGGCTCGCATTTTACTTTGTATCTGCTTTTATATTGTTTGAGGGAAGCGGAGCTAAATTATAGAAACGCTACGTCAGTGATGATTTTGTTATTTGGCCTCATGGTCAGGAATCCCTAATAGATTTTCTTAGACATTTAAACTCTATACACCTTAACATACGTTTTACCATTGAAATAGAAATGAAAATCAGACCTACCAAAAATCTCTCAACATCTTCGATCCGTCAAAGACAAAATTCCATTAGAGATGCCAGCAGTATACAGCATTCCATACATATGCGGCAAAGGATACATTGGAGAGACCGGATGAAAAAAAAAAGGCTCAAAGAACATAAAAGAGCTTTAAGACTAAGACAAATAAACTCATCAGAAGTTGCCGAACACAATCACGAAACGGGACATAAAATTTCATTCGATAAAACTAAAATTCTTGCATGTAATCAATTCTTCTACCAACGAAAAACCGAGAATCTATAGAAATCTATAAGTAACCTAACAATCTGAACCGCGACTCACCAATATGGAAGTCAGTCATCCGAGACGGTGTTTATGCCCCTCAATTAGCTCCGCCTCCCTTAAACAATATAACAGCAGGTAAAAAGGCCAGTCAGTTTTAGTCAAGCTCTGAAACATTAGCTAGTTCGAGTCAAAAAAAACCGACGCAGGAGTTTTATAAAAAGTACAAATATTTTTTATTTCACACCCTAATTCTGATTGTCGTGACGATCCAATTTCTTGAATAGCGTTTTTTTCTATTTGTCCGTTTTTCAGTATTAAATAAAATAAATGGCGGAAAAATAGATTACTAGATAATGCAAATAAAATTGGGTACGGTACGGTGTAGTTCAACATTAAATGAAAAGCTTACCAGTTTCAAATCCAAACTCAGAACAAATTGCTCTGTTAGTGTATGTCACTCAAGACATATTCAATAACAGTTATCCTCGTAATAGTTTTCGGTGATTTTCATTGTTACACTTTAAATACCATAGAAATGGATTCTGTCGTCATTTTCCACACACCACAGAAGAGATAACAGTCACTAAAAATGCTTTATTGGCCATTATGCGGGGTCATAGGTTCAGATTGCAAGTCATTGATTGTAGAGGTCGTGTCGGTTCGTCAAATCTCTCATCTGACAAATACAGAAATTCTAGTTACACCATTCTCCAAAAACCAAATTTTTTTGCAAGAGTACTAAAAACTGCTCAAAAAAATTGAACTACAGGAATCCATTTCTATGGATCTTATTTTTAAAAGGTTGTTTTTTTTCTCCTTCTGGCGGAGCACAAATTTTACACTAACCGGAAAACATCTTTTTAAGGTTAACGAGAAGTTCATGGACATCAGTTTTGTGCCCAAACCGCTGTTAAAGAAGGAGCCCAAGACGAGGAACCTCTTGCCGCGCGTGGCCTACAGGAAATCAGTTTTCGGCGAAGGAGTTCTGATATCACGAGTGGGAAATCGCGCTTTGGTTAGCGTGGTCGAAGGTGTCAATGGTGTAGTGCAAGACGTAGTGACTTCAGTTTTTAATAACTCCTTCTTCTTGAACCTGCAATTCAGCATACACGATCAAGACTTTTTCTACTTCGTCAAAGACAATGCCCTGAAAATCCGCGACGATTTAGAGGAACTGCGTAGGTTAGGTGGAATGTTCAACGTTTCGACGCACGAAATTAGCGAACACGGGTCCGCGACTCCCTTAAAAGAATTGCGATTACACAATCCAGATGCTGTAGTTATTATAAAGTACGGTGCGGATCCAAAACAAGAGACTCACAAAATTCTGAGGCACGCACACAAGCGGGCTATAGAAAGGGCGTGGGAGATCGAGAAACAGTTGGTTGCCGCCGGGTTCCAGGGACGAGGGGATTGGACTGAAGAGGAAAAGGAGGAGCTCGTATCACACGGAGACGTAGACGGATATGAGGGCATCGACATACACAGTATCCACAAGTATCCGCAACTTGCTGATGATCCGGGCAATGTAGCATTTCAGCGAGACACGAAACGGAAAAGACGGAAGAGCGGAACCAGGCGTAATAGAATACATAGGCATGAGTCTTAATAAAAAAGAAAAAGATAACATGTGGTGATAATGATAATATAGGAACAGCAGAAATATTTTTATGTGCCATACCATTGTCATCAATTCCTAGTCGCTCCGTACATTAATTAATCGATAGAGACAAATTACTATTTTTAATAAGTCGTGGCGTATATTTTAAAGAAATTCTTTACGCGAACAAGAGCCATTAAAAATGTGTCCATTGTAAACTTATCGTGTAGAAGCAATCAAATGGCCTATGTGTATTGAAAGGATTTAAACACGTAATTTCCATTTTCTTTCCACAGGGTAGACCATGATACTCTTACAATGATCGGATTAAGATAAGGATAATAAATTTAAGAGACTACTGTAGTTAATCTATACATACATTATAGTTAAGGCAATACTAAGGTCAAAAATGTAAATAAAAGCTTTTTTATATCGAAACTATGGCAAATGCTATCAGACATAGGAATAACTAGCAAAGAGAATCATTTAAATATTCCATTTTCAATAAAATTGATTGTCATCAATTTTGGAGTTCTCCCATTACATTTATCGTTTTGCCTATTTGGATATAATAATTCTTCCTCGCCTCTGCCATCTAATACGTCGAGGAAGAAGCAAAATTGCACATTAATTGAACTTCAAAATTAATAAAATTGATAGAGGTAGAGAATGACTGATAGGGAACCAAAATGATTCATGATTGTAATATATTACATAGGGCGAACAAACTATAAAGCTGTACATAATTAATTTATCGATTATTTTGGTGATTGTGTATCAAACTTTTTTTGATATGACTCTGGTTATTAGTCAGTGCATTGTTTACAGACATGTAATTGTTGCACTTTGGGCAAGTAACTTTGTCGACTTCAGTTTCATTGGATCTTTTATCGTTATATAATACTCAGTGTATTACTCCACAGTAAGATGATATACTCATCAAATCTACTGTTGGTAAACTGATTGTAGCTTTGAATAGCTTTAAATCGGGTGGTTAAGAATTAGAAATCGCACCAAACTGCATAACAAAGAAGTGCAAGATTTCCATAGTTGTAGACATGGATCTAATTTAAACGCAACTTTCGTCTATGTATCATTAGAATAGCGGTCTACTAATTCTGTCGAACTTGAAGCCTAAATATTTTGCTAATAGTGATGTTCCAAAGTTTTATTACCAACTTTACGCTAGCCGTTGTACTTACTTAGATGAATAGATGGATTTTTTTTATAGAGGCCTAGATTGGAAGATTCATGTACAATTTGTCCATTTAATAAAAGGTCAAGTCGAGGTCTGATTGAATTCTTTAGGGTAACTAACGCTGGAACGTTGTCAAGAATTATAAAAATTTCACCCGCCACATGCCCTATTGAATAATAATAAACCAAGATTTGCCAGAAAAATGTCAGTGTTGTTTCTATTATATAACTTTTAAACACTGCTGTTGTAATGATAGATAACATAACTGTATCAAAAGATTTCTTATCATTATATTCATCAAATTCTTCGCTAGTGCATTGATTTAATTTCAAATGTCTTCTTGATCGTTTCAATAAATCGACATTTTCTTAATTTTAGGTGGATCTTAGGCAATGTAATGCCAAGTACAGTGATATTTTCTTAATACTGTGACTAGAAAAATTGAAAGCAATACTTCTTAAACTAAATTGTCTCTAATTAATCTTACTGTAATTACGTGCAATTGTTTGGTGGACTGCTTGTGTTTGCAATGGATATACAGGGTGCATTCTTATTACGCCTCCCTATTTTTTTATGAATTCAATTTAGAGGTCGCTGACTATTTCTAACTCGTTCACGTGCTGTATTCATAGACCGCAAAATACTCAATTCGAATGGTAGATCTCCAAACACCCTGTAAACGTTATGACATGACCATACTCGGAACTATTAATAAAATATTTTATGTATGTATATACTTATTGTGTACATTGTTTTTATATGTAAATATATTTTTGTTTAATTCAGTAATATATATATTAGTTTACTAAAACATATAAGAAATCTTTTTTTTACCACGACTCCAAGATTAAGTTGCCCTCAGGATCCCATTTTAAATGAACAAGAAAAATATAATAATGCCGATTGTACACAAGAAACCTATTTATCTAACATGGAATAGCATAGTGGGCTTGAATATCAGCATTTTAAATAAACCACTGTTTGGTTTCTGGCACTGCACTTCTAGCCGTTTTCTCGTGAAGCGGCTTTTGTGATTTTGCTGCGATTCCTGCGTACGTTCTAGTTTTATGGACGCAGACAGCGCAGGGGTCAGGGCAATGCCACGTCCATTCGACTCGCAGCACATTACTACAGGCAACAGTGTAGCAAAAGTATATCCTATTTTTAAAATAAGAATATGTGATGTTAAAGTTAATGAATTATTCTATTCCCGTGAAAAGGTTTTATAAAACGTTCTTAAGAGAAATGATACTAAATAATAAATTATAAATAATAATAATATTTTATTTTTTGAAATAAAATCTCGGTTAGACCGCCTTTTCAAACTTTGGTTTTGCAATTGTCTTTTGCAATAAATATGTTTGTTTAAAGACTTGACTCTAACACCAAACGTAAAGAGAGACTTAGTAATAAATTTGGTCTACCAGCCTTAATTAACGAACACTTTTCAGAATGGAATTTCAGAAAATTTATATTTGTCGTTGTATGGAAAACAAAAGAAAAAAATGTTCGCGCCTTTACTCAAACCACGTGATTCTTGCCACTTTAATGGTCGTTTTTCAAAAATCTTTTTTTTTATTATACACCATCTTTCGAAGGTATTGAAAATCGAGAAAGTATTTTTATTTCATGTTGCATATTGTTTTTATGTATTTTTAATTAAGTCTTGCCCATGATCTGGAATAAAAACTTTTAATGATGTTTTTTTGCTTTGCTTTGCAAAGACCCCATTTAAATGTTTACAATTTTTAGGATGTATGCATCGGAATGAAAAAAAAAAGCAAACATTCATTTTTATTACAGCTAGAGCGAACAGGCGGCCAAACTATCTCTCAGATCTCCTGGCCTATACACAGAAACCTCTTTCCCCAACGAGAGGCGCACATCAGCAAACCACAGGCTCTTTTAAGGGCCCAATGACTAGAACTCTCGGGCCTATTGTCCGAATTTGCCAAATAAACATAGAGGGCATTAGCCGATCAAAGAGTGAAATTCTATCTAAATTGTTAACCTCGAACGATGTCGACCTGGTAGTCATTCAGGAAACTCATGCTGCAGATGAACAACTAAAAACCAGAGGAAAAATCCCCGGTTACGACCTTCTGGGAGCCACTTACCATCACGCTTATGGCAATGCCACATACGCTCGACGCAGCATTGAAAATGCCCATCTCAAATCCTGTAGCACACAGAACAACACTCACTCCGTTGTAACAAAGATTGGAGGTATACATATAACAAACATTTACAAGCCTCCAAAAATGCTTTGGCCACCACAGGTTACAGACTTGCGCCCATACCCAGCTGTCTACCTAGGAGACTTTAATAGCCACCACCAGGAATGGAAATATAGCAAAAACGACGAAAATGGAGATACTCTGGTGGGTTGGGCAGAGAGAAACCAACTTTTTCACGTTTTTGATGCTAAAGCCAAGGGCACCTACAGGTCCGCTGCGTGGAAGCAGGAATACAACCCTGATTTGTGCTTTGTGACAAGAGACCAGTACCATAAACCTGTACCAACTAGAAGAAAAGTGCTCGACAACTTCCCTCATAGCCAGCACAGACCCATTATTTACGAAATAGGTATCCAAGTTCCACTAATCACATCTGTCCCTCGACCACGCTGGAATTTTGGCAGAGCTAACTGGACCTCCTTTGCCATTGAGCTTGACAAGTGCCTCCGCTGGATTCCGCCGACGCACAAAAATTACGATAGGTTCATTGGTGCCGTCATCTCTTCTGCTAAGAAACATGTTCCAAGGGGCTATCGCAAAGAGTACGTTCCTGGTTGGAACGAAAATAGCGACCGTCTCTACCAACAATTCCTTGACAGCGGCGACGGTGAGGTAGCAGATGAACTCCTCCACAGCCTGGACAAAGCTAGAAGGGATAAATGGACAAGCACAGTCGAGTCACTGGACTTCAAAAAATCGAGCCGCAAAGCGTGGTCTCTTTTAAGAAAACTAGGAGATGACGGCCCAACTGCCCGCCCTAACACTGATATCCACCCAAATAAAGTCGCCTCCCACATAGTCAATACTTCAAGGGGGAAAAGCATCAAGCAATTCACGACTAACATTAAGAAGCAGCTGAAGCACCTAAAACTGACCAGCCCGGAAGAATCAACATTCTCCTGCCCCTTTACTACAGAGGAAGTGAACACAGCGATCAAAGACACAAAGAGCGGCAAAGCACCTGGACTGGATGGCGTCCACCCAGAGTTTTTGATACACTGTGGAAAGTCAGCAAGAACATGGTTGTTGAATTTTTACACCAGTATATTACAATCAGAACAAATCCCAAAAAAGCTGAAACAAACCAACATAATTGCAATCCTAAAGCCTGGAAAAGCTGCCGACAAGCCAGAAAGCTATCGCCCGATTGCACTGTTGAATGCAATATATAAACTTCTTGAACGACTTGTTCTTAATAGAATCAACCCAGTACTGTCCTGCCACATCCCAATAGAGCAGGCAGGATTTCGACCAGGGCGCAGCACAATAGACCAAGCTTTAGCTCTTACAACTTACATAGAAGGTGGCTACCAAAGGAAACTGAAGACCTCAGTGGCATTTATAGACTTGACGGCAGCATACGACACGGTCTGGAAGGATGGTCTACTCTTCAAATTGCTAAAAGTAATCCCATGCAAAACAATATATCGACTAATGAACAACATGCTTAGTGGTAGGTGCTTCGCGGTCTCCATGGGAAGTGCAAAAAGCTCTAATAGGACCCTAAACAACGGAATTCCACAAGGATCTGTACTCGCCCCAACTTTATTTAACCTGTACATATCAGATATGCCACCTACCCAAAGTGAAAAATTCGGGTATGCGGATGATTGGGCAATTGTAACCAGGGACAAGTCAATGGAAACTACCGAGCGCGTACTCACAGAGGACCTTGCGACACTAGGGGAATTCTTTAGGTCGTGGCGACTTAAGCCGAATCCGAACAAGACAGAAGTATGCTGTTTCCACCTAAACACCAAAATGGCTCACAGGCAGCTGCAAGTCTATGCTGAAAACCACCTGCTAACACACAACACCACCCCAAAATATCTGGGAGTGACTCTAGACAGAACACTGTCTTTTAAACAACACCTCCAAAATACAGCAGCCAAATTAAGAACTAGGAACAACATAATCCACAAATTATGCGGAACAACATGCTCGGCCCTGGGGCTTGTCTACTCAACTGCTGAATACTGTGCGCCAGTGTGGCTGAATAGTGCTCACACAAGACTTGTTGACACACAATTAAACACAACAATGCGGTTAATATCTGGTACAATAAAATCCACTCCGACCCAATGGCTTCCGCTACTAAGTTTTATACCACCTCCAGAACTACGACGGCAAAATGCCTTACTGAAAACCTTCAAGAAGATACAGAACAACCCTAACCTGCCAATCCAGAATAAAATTGCTGATGCCAACCGCAATCGCTTGCGTTCGAGAAACCCGCCAACGAGAACAGCCGAAGAACTGAGGACAAACGACTTCCAGTTAAACAATCAGTGGAGCAACATACAGAACGAAGCCATCCCAGCTATCAGAGACATGCCCGGTATAAGTACTACCCCTCCGGGATTTGGCCTACCACGGAAGGTCTGGTCCACTCTAAACAGAATAAGAACTGGGCATGGAAACTGTGCAGACTTCCGGTATAAATGGGACCAAACCCAAAGTCCCGAATGTGACTGTGGTGCAGAGAGGCAAACAATCCAGCACATTACAACCGAATGTCCTATAAGAAGATACGACGGTGATCCAGAGGACTTCCTGTACGCGACTCCAGCATCGATTGAATACATCTATAATTTAGATATTAAATTGTGACTTAATTATGCACTGTGTATATTTATGCCATACGCTAAATAAATAAATATTACCGCAGATCTATTTGAATAAATATAAAACAAAAAAAAATCGTAATAAAAGTTTTTTTATTCATAGATACACACAGATACTTACATAGCAAATTTCAAACCATAAATCAAAAACACAAAAATCTTACAGTGACAGAATATTATAAATATATAACGATATAAAATTATATAAAATAACAGATAACAGATAACAGCAGCTTGAACAACATGCAATTTGTAAAGTTACAAACTATTGATAACTAGTTATTTTTTAAATTTTATAAAAAAAATTGTGTCCTTTATATGTAAACATATATTTTAAAAATGGAAAAACTTCGCATAATATCTGCAGAAGTCTTCGAGCAGTATTTTAGTTTTTGAATTAAATGTGTTTCCAATCTATCCAAATTCAATTCTCTTTCGAAATTAGTGAAATTGCCTATAAACATTTATGAAATATATCTTTTTAATAACTGCAAATCTACCTTATATTGATTTATAAAACCCACTGAATTTGTCAAAGAAACATAGGCAGGCTTCAATTTTTTTTTTCACTGTTGGGCTAGAAAAAAGAGTTTCTATATTAGAGCTACATAAGATGTGTCGCTTAACTGAACTGAACTATTACTAGTTGTGGGGCTAATTGACTATTTTCCTTATAAAATCGAATACATGAATGTGTTTTTGGAAATACTTTTTACTTCAACCATTTAGCAATGCACTGGGAAGTCATAATTTTATTTTGCCCTGAAAACTCGTTAAGTTCCTCAGAAATGCCTAATTATGATTATTATAAAAGAAAATCCGGTTTTTACTAGTCCCTCACTAAAATTTCGTTCGTCAAAGTGAGAACTTCGTCAAACGTAATTGTGCACCTTTTGTATTGCGGAGGTCAGTGAACTTTTTCGTGTGGATTTATATACTTTCGCACTAAAAACTGTGAGAACAAGTGGTGCCATAATGGATATTACTGTCCAAGGTATGTATTTTTAATATTTAGAATTAATGTAATTAATATATATTTCTTTTTTTTAAGGACCCACCATTGACCCTCTTAGTTTTTTTTTAAAACGTTAATACATGTAAACTTTCAAATGCTTTACCTCTCGATATCTCGATTGATGAAATGCTTGGAATCTCTACTTTAAAACCGAGTAAGGATGTCGCCAAATGTCGCCAGATGTGTCAAAAACTGTTACAATCTTACCCCTTCAGAGTTAGCTTTAAATGCACGTATTTTCCAATAGCAATATCAACTTAGCGTTTTGTTAAAAAATTATTTATATCATTGTTTTTGTTATAGTGCATTATATATCTGGGGACTACAATGTCACTGTGTATTCCGATGTGAAAAATTTGTAACCCGAGCCTAGCGAGGGCTACAATTCGTCGAGAGACAAAACAAACTGTAGTCACCTGGTAAATATGGTATTTTTTGCACTTTTGGGCCCCGATTTATTGAAGTTGTTTACCAATTTTTATTTTTATCAATTTTACACTAAAAATATATATAGCCGAAAAATGTACACAAAAAAAACGTAGGTTTATTTTTTTTTCTTTCGTTCTTGTACTTGGTTAGCCAAGAAAGCAGACAGAAATTCGGAAAAAATCCGTGAAATCTTAGCCGAGTTGACAGTTACTTTGCCGTGTTACTTTACCGTGTCTCCTATCTTTTTAGGAAGTTCAGTATTGGAGTATTGGAGTATTGGAGTTGTATAGAACCTCTATACACCTTCGTGTGTGGACTGTATCTTGATCTCGTACCGTCAAACGCACTTTCCTGTGTGGTGGTCAGTTCGGTACTGGCGCGCTGGGCGGCATCCCTTCGGCTGCACAAACGGTCTGGCACGCACTTGGACCGTGAGTGATGCATGATAGTCACGTGACTCTGGCGTGTTCGCACATAGCAGGGTTTCACATATAGCAACGAAAACTAATAGGTTCTTAACATGCCCCCGGCCTTGAAAGAATGTAAGTTGTTTCAAAATGAGAAAGTTCAAAACTAAACACTTATAACAATGGTCAAATAAAACTTAAACATGATGACAAAGTGACAGGTAGAAAAATGAAAAATGTAATTTAAAGGTCAGTAATTGGAAGCGGACACAACTTTAGGACAGCGCGTTTTATCACTCCCGATGTGGTCTTGACTGAAACGACGCGCACAATATTGTCACTACCTGGATGAAGTTCAACTATACGCCCTAGCCGCCATTTGAACGGGGGTAAATTGTCACCGCGCACTAAAACCATTGTACCAACTACAAGATTATGCTGGTTCTTTTTCCATTTAACCCTTTCTTGTAATTGACCAATATATTCCTTCGTCCATCTTTTCCAAAAGTGTTGTTTAAGGACTTCCAATTGTTCAAAGTGAGAAAGACGATTCAAAGGATAGGATTTGCGTAGGAAATTGATTGAAGTGAACGACCAATTAATAGATGAGCTGGAGTTAACACCCCTAGGTCGTTTGGGTCAGAAGAGAGTGGCGTTAGAGGTCGAGAATTCATTACGGCCTCTATCTGCGTAAGAACTGTGTAAAAACTTTCAAATGTTAAAAGGACATTTGATAGTATTCTTTTGATGTGAGTGGTGAGGCGAGTAGGCTGCTATAAAATGCCACTGTATATTTAAGTCCAATCCTCACTGATTTTCTACAGAATCTGAGTTGTTTCTTAAAAAATCGCCCAATTCTTTCAACTGATTACTAGCCCCCTTAAAGTTGGTACCATTGTCAGTATATACGTTGGTTGGTTTACCCCTGCGAGCTATGAACCGTTGAAATGTCTCTAGAAAGGCTTGTGTTGACAATTCAGTGACAAGTTCGAGATGAACTGCCTTGCTAGTCAAACAAATAAAAAGTGCGAGATAGCATTTTTGTATTTTACATCCGCGTCCCTTGCGATCTTTTATTTGGAAAGGGCCGGCGTAATCAATGCCTGTGTCTGAAAAAGGTGGCCTTGGTGAAATTAGCGCCTCTGGAAGATTACCCATTATTGGAGTCGGAATACTGGGATTGAATCGAAAGCACACAATGCATTCTCTTACAATGCGCTTGGCAAGATTTCTACCTGCGACTGGCCAGAAAGTTTCCCTGATATGGGAGAGAAGTAACTGTGGGCAGCAATGCAAAAGGACTTTATGTTCGTATCTAAGTAACAAGTAGGTAAAATGATGTTTTGAACATAAAAGTGCTGGGTGTCTTTTATGAAATGGGTAGAATGAATGTTTAAGTCTACCTCCTACACGAATTAGACCATCGTCAAGAAAAGGAGTCAAACTAAGAAGTCTGCTTTTTGAGGAAACCTGATTTGACTTTGAAAGTTCATGTATTTCCCTTGAAAAGCTTTCGCGTTGAGACAACTTGGTTAAAACTTCCTTTGCATGATGCAGTTCGAAGATTGTTAAAGGTTTGTGATTTCCCTTTGAAGACTTTATTTTTCATAATTTTAAGATTGATGAAACCTCCTGACATAAACGTACTGCCTCTTCGAAACTGTCAGCTCCAGATAGCAGATCATCGACGTAGAAATCCTTACTGATGACTCGAGATGCATGATGATTCAATGATTCGTATTCGATAGCTAACTGTTTTAAGCAGCGTGTGGCTAGAAAAGGAGCACTTGCCGTGCCATAAGTCACAGTATTAAGAGAAAAAGTTTGAAGTTCATACATGGGATCTGCTCTCCATAGAATAAGCTGCAAAGGATGAAACTCCTCTTGGACTAATATTTGTCGGTACATTTTACAGATGTCTGCAGAAATGATATACTGGTCTTGCCGAAATCTTAGCATGATGGAAACCAGATCCTCTTGTACCACAGGCTCAACCATCTGGATAGAATTGTAGGATACACCTGATGAAGAGGGAACTGAGCTGTTAAAGACTACTCTAAGTTTCGTAGTAGAGCTATCCTCCTTTAGAACGCCATGGTGTGGTGAATAGTATGTAGGTTTGAAATTGGATGAAGAAAAAATTGACATGAGACCTAGATCGTGGTATTCGGTCATAAAATCTGTGTACATGGCCTTTAATTTGGGATTTTTCGAAAGTTTGCGTTCCAGTTGCAAGAATTGGTTTGTTGCCTGTAACTTGGAATCCCCTAAAACTTCTGATGATTTCTTAAGTGGAATGGCTACAGTGAATCTACCATTTGAACCGCGCTTAAAATTATCAGAGAAGTGTCCTTCGGCTTGAAATTTCTCATCCGACAGGATCGGCTCACATGACAACTCTTCTATTTCCCAAAACTTCGCTAACTGTTTTTGAACATCTAAAGTGGAGAGATGACAGAAAGAATGATTTGGGGTGGAAATACCTAACGGACCAGAAATGAACCATCCTAATCTACTGTTATGTAGAATAGGCTTGTGTGACCCGAGAGATATCTTTTCATTATCCAGTAAATCCCAAAATGTATCTGCGCCAATTAGAAGATCCACTTGACCTGGTTCATGGAATTTAGGATCGGCTAACTGACAGTGGGATTGTATTTCTAACTGGATGGGATCGAAATAGCAATTCGGTAATTCACCCGTAATTTGTGGGATAACTAAACAGTTAGTTGTCTTGAAAACTTGGAATAACAGGATTAGAATTTGACAATGCATGAGTGTTTTATGCTGGAATTGCTTTGAACAATGCCTAAAATTGAGGAATTGAATTTGTGTTTTTCAACACCTAATTTGTTAACAAATTCTGAAGTAATAAAGTTGGACATTGAAGCACTGTCAAGAAGTGCTTGGGTTTTTTGATTTTCTTTTTCCTGGCATTTTTTGAAATTTTTAAATCAAATCAGCAGTGAATTATTTTTGCGCGAACTCGATATCACTGAGATGCACTGAAATCTCGATCCCAATACAACGTAAATGACTCTTTGGATTAAATTTACACCAAAATTGCAATTGCAGTTTTTCCAAATATAATTGGCAAATTTCTTTACGATTGGAACTCCTTTTTACAAAAAAATTCAACGATCTTTTAATGAAATGTACAATTTTGTTTGGAAAACGTTGATGAACAATGAATGAATGGACGCGAATAACTACACGCAGTCGATCGTAAGTTTGTCTCAGAAAACGGAAAACTTTGGCACTTTTTCCCGATTGTCCGTACCGCGAACGCACAACGCGATGAAACAGTTCCGACGGCGCGGCGACAGTTTTCTGCATGCAACGAGGTTACCTTGATTTTGCTGTCCGACGGCGAGTTTGTTTCTATCGTTGCGAAAACAATCTCTCACCCGACTGAATACAACTTCAAATGCTTGACCAGGATACGCTGGTGGATGTGAAGACTCTTGAAAAAACCAATTGACTAACCGAATCCGTTCAATGAACCGTGAATCCAAATGAATAGCCAAGAAATTCTTGTTTCTGTCCAAAAATCCCATCGAATGGACCAAAAAATGTATAGAACCTCTATACACCTTCGTGTGTGGACTGTATCTTGATCTCGTACCGTCAAACGCACTTTCCTGTGTGGTGGTCAGTTCGGTACTGGCGCGCTGGGCGGCATCCCTTCGGCTGCACAAACGGTCTGGCACGCACTTGGACCGTGATTGATGCCTGATAGCCACGTGACTCTGGCATGTTCACACTTAGCGGAGTTTCACATATAGCAATGAAAACTAATAGGTTCTTAACAGGAGTATAGGAGGCAAACTTCTAGTTCTAGATCAAAACTAGAAGCTAAGCACCAATGGCTTAACATTACAGAACTTTGTGAACTTCCGCTTGCCCAACTTATTGTGCTGGATGAAGTGGAAGAAATCCAGCAGGTCCCCGACTATCAAGAGCCGTCAACTAGCAAGCCAAAAAGATTTTTGAAAGAGTGTGAAGAATGTAGTGAACGATCTTAACGCCGAAGATTGATGGAGTTATCTAAAATAGATAGTTCTGCAATTAAATATTTAAAACAAGATCAGTCCAAAACCTCCAGTTCGCAAATTAATGCAGACGAAATACTCTCGCTTTTTGTTGAAGCTAAGTTGATCAGGCATCAATATACATTAATTAAAGATTTTGTTAATTCAAAAGTGGCCTCAAATATCTTTCCTTTCTATCACAAAGTTCTGGAGACAAAGAAAAAGTGCTATCCTTCGGATGAAAAAGTGTCAGAGACATCTGCAGAACTTGAACTCGATTTTGCATCATTAAGCGATTTCAGTTTGCCGAGGAAATTAAAGAACTCTCTTTGCAAGAAGGAGCGTATTTTGAAGACAAAATTAAAAATTGAAGCCAACAATTTTTAAATATGGCGATCGTGAAGAAAAGGTTCAAGATTCTTTACAATTGACAATGGTTGACGGTAAAGTATGTTGCTCCTTAGCGGAAACATCGTCAAGTAGGTGTTGCACTTGCGATGCTACGCCGAAAGAAATGAACGATATTGAGGTATGTTTAAGCAAAACTGCCGATCTCTCTTATCACCCCTTCACTCATGGATTAGGTTTTTTGATTATTTTATACACCTTTGAGACAAGCTAGATTTTAAAAAGTGGCAAACTAGATTGCAAAATGAAAAAGTACTTCTTGCAGAGAGAAAACCGCGGATTCAAAAAGATTTTAGGGAAAAGTTGGGTTTAATTATATATTATTATTATTATTATTATTAAATATTTTTTACAAGTTATGAAGTTTCAGCTGAACTAACTGGTGTGGATAAAGATCTTATCAAGCGATGTTGTATTCTTTTGCAGGCTTTGGGCTCTGGCTATAAAATTAATTCTTTAAAATATTAGAATTACGTTTTAGAAACAGCACGACACCTTGTAAAAAATTATCCGTGGTATTACCTACCTGCCTCCGTGCACAAAGTTCTCGTGCATGGATCTAAAGTTATTGAAAATGCACTTCTATTGATAGGAGAACTTTCAGAAGAAGCTGCAGAATCGTGGCGTGACGTGAAAATACAAGAAAAATGTATCGTGTTCTTACAATTACAGATCTTCTTTCCCTTTTATTTCTAGTTTAAGAAAATTAACTAAAAGCAGTAAGTCCATACCTGAAGTTTTTGATTAATTAGAATTAGAATAACAGTTAAATCAATCAACACAACTCATTATAAAATGGTAATCCCGCACCCCTCTTTCTAATGATATAAAAGATCTTTTTATAGTGAATTTTACTTCTGAAATTAACAGCCATAAATGATTATTTGTAATGAGTTTTTCAGTTTTATTACAAGACTCATTATAAAATTATAAATCCTATTTGATTTCAATTCGGGAGTAATTAGCCATAGGTATAGCCATAATGAGGGTTCCGGAAGAATTTATAATGATTCTTTAGGCTTAATTGTACCATATTAGTATAGTTTTCATATTTATGTGTTTTATTAAAATAATGTGAATTTTTTTTTGGAGGAAATAATTTTTTTTATTTATATCGAAGTTTAAAAATATATATTTGTCTTGGAAATGTTGAAATATGCACAAAAATCCCATACTGAAAATATCCCATTAGCGCGAGAATTTCATGACCGCATGTCCCATAAAAAGGGACCACTGTGCAATGGAAGCTGATCTGTTATACATTCTGCCACTCCATTGATACCATGAGCCAAAGAACTAACAAGAAATAGGTTATAATAAAATATTTTTAAATTTTGTCCTGCATTCAACAAATTCGATACTATAAAAGGAGTAGCACATTTATCTGGCACAATTCTCTTTCGTGCAGTCATCTCAAAATCTAGACACTTACATTGCTTCGAAAATCACGCCAAGTGTTAAAGTAATTGACAAGAGATTGTCATCATCAAAAATAGTCAAAATATATCACAACCACCGGCTTGGTTTAGTAAAGGAACATCTAGACATACATCACCATCAATATGGAAATAAATAGAAATTTTATTTCAACTGGAACTGAGTGAATCGACAGAAACGACGATTTGTTGTTTAGAAAAAAAAATCTGAAGACGATCCTGTTATGAAAAATAACAATTTGGCGCGGCTTTTCGAGCAGATAATAGAATAAACCACTGTCAATTGAGAAGTACATTAAATGAATTCCTTCTTAAAATAATTTAAAATAATTTGATCATTCGATGTTGGCAGTCTGCGCTACAATTAATATAACATGGGAACGTGGATTTTATTCGCTGCGTTCGCGCCCGTTATTGTTACAACTATTAATTGTGACAATACTATAAAACCAAATATTATATTTATATTAGCGGATGATTTGGTAAGTAGCAATATAATTTCATGATCCGTTTCAGAATTCGTTTTATTTCTCGCATGCTATAAAATTTAAGACACTAGGAATAAAGTAGTATTAAATACATTCTTAACTTAATTTGCAATTTTTTTGGAATAGGAGGCCTTATTGTGATTTTTCTTATTAGGAAAAATGGCAGTGTGTATTGTTGACGTTGAAATGTTGAACGGCAATCTTTTTTTTTTTATTTTAATTTTATTTCATTAATATACCCATAATTAGCACATAACGTGTGAGTTTTGAGTGAATATCATGAGTAGGAATAGTATAAAAATCGTTTATTTATTTATATTCAGGGGTCGTAGTACTTGGATTCTGTTTTAAACTTTCCAATTAGTTTACTGGGGGGACATTTGGATATGGTCTGTTCATAGATATAAGAAAGTGACCAATTGATTTTGAATGGGATTATCCAAGGGTGGTCACTAACATAAATTTAAATTCAGGTAAAATTGTGGTCCGTAATAGAAAATAATTTTATACCTACCTATGTTTAATATTCTTTGGTTTGGTATACTACTTAGTTTAAGTTTACTAATAATCATTCTTATTTCTTGTGTAATATAGCGTGTGTTGAATCGTGTGCGAATTATGCAAAACATGTGCGAGTCTAATGTATCTCAGAAGATGCTCCCGCCCAAATGTGGAAAACACTATTCTATTGAGACTAACGAAGTTATAAAAAATGTTTATTTGAATCTCATTGAACGTGGTGCCAGCAAGCAAGCATCTTTGGTAGAAACGGCCACATTGACGAAAATTCCAACATCAACTGTATGGAAAATTGTGAAAAAAGAAACGATGCTGACATTTTCTCGAGTGTAGATGAAAGTGATCAAGATATAATACGGCGTAAAATTTACCAGTTGTACGAGGAACAAATTTAACAATGTTTTTCCCCGTGTTAACTCCAATGTCCTCAAACTTATAGAAACCGAAGTTTTTAACATCCCTCTACAAAGTTGGAAAAATTCTGTTAAACATATAGAAAAAGCAGAACAATCGTATATCCATATTGCAAATAATATAGAACAAATAATAATTAGAACAGGCGATGATTGCGACAGTGACACTGATATATTATGTGAATAATTTGTAATTTTATTTTAGATTTAAACATAAATACATACATAAATAAATAAATATTGTTTAGTATCTTTCCTAACAAAACCCCAAATAATTAAATTCTAAGCAAAATGCGGACCTGTTCGGCCATATTTCATTCTTACAGCTTTCCTTAATTCGTATCAGTTAGTCACTTTCTTATATCTATGAACAGACTTTAACAAGTACCATAATTTCCCAAAAATAAATATTAAGGACCTGTACCGCCTTGAATATTTTATCTTATCTAACGTCAAAAATTAATTTTAAGCAAATCACGTTTCTTGAATTTTTCTCTTTTACGATTTTAGAGTACACAAAATTGTATGTTTACCAAATTTTCGCCTTCCTATTGCCAGAGAGGCTAGGAAAAACCTTTTCTTCTAATTAATTATTTATTTGAAAGGAGGATAATGGGTTTGGAGGATATAAGAATATATTCTCACGGTGATAAAAGAACTTGGGAAATCCTTGACATTTTTACAATTACCTTTGAATGAAGATATCAATGATGTTTTTATAAACAACAATTAAGGCTCCACCATTATCAACATTTGAACACGAGGATTCAAACTATAGAAGAATAGTAAGTGCATATTTTATCTACAAATGCATAAAGTATAATTCAAGATCAAGGAGAAATTTACAAATAATGATGAGTCAGGATGGTTAAAAAAAAATTATTCTTTTACGTCTTTTGTTCAAATTTTTTTTAGTACATTTTCTTAGTCCTAGTCAATTTGAACGAATCACAAACACACATTTCAGCTAATTTTCTCAAAAAATAAATTACGTCCTGCCGAAACAATTGTAAATTGTAAGGTTATTACTAATATCCATTAGATTTGCATGTCCATGTCAGAAAATGTTTTATTTGTTTAAAATAAAGGGTAGTTTGTTATATAAAAGTTGGGTGAAAAGCTAATGATTAGAGAGATATCGGGTTACAAACATGGCAGAAAAATTATGTTTTTGTCATTTAATACAAACTTCCCCAGTAATGCTGTAATACCATTTACAAACCTTCTGGGTTCCACCTCCGTCAGTTGTTTATAGAACAAACTTGCTGACGTTTTGCCAATCATCTAGTTTTCTTCTTCAGAGGTTAACTTAAATTCAGAAGATTTGTAATAACGTTTTTATTTTTATCTTAAAAGTAAAAATAGCAGCAGTACCAGTAAATTGTTATAAAAACACATTTTCCGCATGAATTTTTCCAATTAGTGGAGGGATTGAATTAGACCACCCTTATGATTCTTCTTCACTAAATTTAAGGATAAATGGAATGACATTATTTTTTTTTAGTTTTATGTTCTGCTTAAAAACTTTTGTCTCTTGCAAACTTATATTTTCGAACTAAAAAAATACACAAACCTGTAATCACTTCTTGCGCCGTCTCTTATTACTGCTTTATTTGACATTGCTCAGTTAGCTTGAATAGAAAATTCAACTAATTCAATCCAGAATTAACTATCTAACCATTTAATGTTCATGTTGTGCATGTATGTCATAAAAAAAAAATTAGCAAATTAGGAAGTCAATAATTTGTTTTTATTATTTTGACTTAGATGACTTGCTTATTTTTGTGTTTTTGAGTTACGTTGTTTAAATCAAATGTTGTTTAAGAAGACATTTATTCGCAGTATACAACAAGTTTCAGAAATTTAAGTTAATAAACTATTTTTTAAAAGTAATTGTTTAGAAGATAATACATAAATATTGGTATAAAATACAACGGTTTGACAGCACACACAAGTAATTTTATAAAAAAAAATTATTTTTTTTTTGTTTCATGCTATTGGTAACTTTTTCTTTGAACTTATTTAAGGCGAATGATAGGGGTAATCCATTTCAATCCCCTAAACACAACTCATTAAAAAAAAACTATGCATAAAGTTGCTTGCTTTGTTTTGGCTAAATCCGTTGATAAACTTATATAAGTATACAAAAAGAAACCCTTTTGTCTTAAATACATCACTTCACGACACTTTGTATAACGAACATTTTGAAACATGCTCGTTAAAAACTTATTTCACGAAATAGAGCAGGCTTTGAAAAATATTATTTTCTTTCTTCGGATCGAGTGGTACGAACATCTTTTAAATGAATTTTAAACAATTTGTTATTATTCATTTTAATGACATACAGGGATGGAATGATGTCGGATTTCATGGGATGACTGAAATACCGACACCAAATATCGATGTATTAGCATACTCTGGAGTCATTTTAAATAATTATTATGTAAATCCCATTTGCACACCTTCCAGAGCAGCACTTCTAACTGGAAAATACCCGATTCATACAGGTGAGATGTAAAAAGAGAACCGATTACAAAATTTCTTCTGCATCCCTTTAGGACTACATTACTTTGCGTTGTTACCAGCAGAGCCCCGAGGTCTAAATCTTTCAGAAAAACTACTGCCTGAATATCTAAAAGATTTAGGCTACGTAAATCACATCATAGGCAAATGGCATCTGGGATACTGGAAGAAGGAGTATACCCCCACATTCAGAGGGTTTGATTCGCATTTGGGTAAGCTGACTTAAATTGTATTTAGGCAAACTTTATCTCGTCCAAATTGGCAAGGGTTTTGGAATTCTGGTCACGATTATTTCGATCACACTAAGGATGACGACTGGCCCTCTTGGGGCCTGGATATGAGGAGAAATATGGACGTGGCTTATGATCTACACGGGCAATACTCCACAGATGTTTTCACACGAGAAGCTATAAAGATAATAAACAATCACAACCAAAGCAAGCCGCTATTTTTGTACCTCGCACAAGCTGCTGTGCATGCTGGGAACTTCTACAATCCACTACCTGCTCCTGACGAATATGTAGCCAAATTTAATCACATACAAGACAGTCACAGTAGACGGAAATATGCTGGTAAGGTTTAGGGATGTTAATAACAGTCAAAGCATTTCCTTTTTTAACAGAAATCTGCGCAGTATAATTTTTTCGTCTAGAATTTATACCTATATATAAATTTATATTACGCTGGTGAATTAAGTTGTAGATCATATTTCAATAGAATCCCACGTACTTCCACCTTAATTCCAGGCAACTATTCGACGGAATTCCTGGTAATTATACTGGAATTTGCCGGAATTCCACGAAAATTCTCCAAATTCAACTAGAACTCTTAGGAGTTCCTTTAAAATTATTTTTCGTTCAGTCTTATTTCATGTATTTCAAAAAACATGGTACTTATCGTCTAACAGAATAATTAAATGAACAAAATCAATGTTTGTTTTGGTACCTACATTTCAAATTGAATTAGTAAAATTCCGAAATTGTGCATAAATAGCGAAATTTGTATATTACTATACAGAGTAGTTCTTAATAAATGTTCTAAAAAGCAATCTAAAGCGGAGTTTTCACAATTTAATTTGGGCATATACGAGATGCAATAATGAGCAACATTTTACTAACGTCAATGGCATGTTAAAACACTTGAAATTATTTTTTATTTCCTTTTAAAATAACGGCCAAAGCTAACGTCAATGTGTTCTTCTCTAATCCATAGGCTACTTTATCCTACTAAATTTTTTTTGTCCAGCGAATTATTTGAAATAAAAAATTACATATCTCGAAAACGGTGTGTTCTATCGAAAGAAATATAGTTTGTTTTTTGCTTAGAAATGGCCACTGTGCCATAATATTGAAAAGGAAGCTTTAGAGTGGTACAATCAAAAAAATGTATTGCATGAAATACCGAGATTATAGGCTATACCCAGCACCCTAGCACACATTGTCTGAAGAGATATAATGTAACCTTCATCATCATCGCCATCACCATCTCGAAAAAATCTGCTTTGATCACAAAAAAATGACAATTGCTGGAAAAGAATGTTTTATGGAAATAAATGTAGTATATTTTCTTTATCCAGAAACTATTAGTTCATCACAATTACTTTAAAAAATACAGTGCAGGAATGACAAAGATTAGATAGAGTGTAATGAAAGCTCTCTAGATATTATGTGAAAAACTAGAATGTAATCTTAACTTTTTATTTCCATATTTCAAAAACTGCTTGACCAATAGCAAAATAACAATTTCAAGAAATGAACTTTGTTTTACGCTACACCGGCCAATTTTACGAAAAAAAGGAAAGGACTTAATTTACTCCAAATTAAACAATTTTGAAAATAATTTTCATTTTTAAAGAAATCTTAACTTAGAAGCTCATCTTTCTTTTTTTCAAAAATGTTCCATCGAAACACAAAATGCATTTTGATGCTTAAGTTCCATGGCTTTCCACCGCAATTCTTCGGAGTATCACCAGAATCCCTTCATAATCTACATCATGATTCCACTGACACGGACACTAAATTTTTTGTCAATTTCAATTAGATTTCATTTTCAGACTTTAAAAATGTATCTATAACTACCCAGCAAGAGTAAAGACGATTCGGATTTTTTTTAAACGATATAGATTTTTGTACATTTGGCGTACCTACTCCGTCAGCCTGAAACTATGAAACGCACCATAAATAAAATATTTGCAGTGTTTAAAACATTATAATTAAAGCAACCCGTTTGTTCTTTTGACTAACAATTTTGCCAACACTTTTTTATAAATTTAAAACCAGTAATCACCTTAACATAACTTTTAATTTTTGAAAAATACGTTTGTTAAATTTTGAGTTATTGGCATAATCCTTTAGTAATTGGCATTGGCATTCGCATTTAATTCCAGTATTTAGCTCATATCTTGGTAACTGGTGTGCTTTTGACTACTAGTTTAATTACAAAATTCGTATTTTTCAATTGAACCGAACTTTTGAACTAATGGGTATGTTTAATTAAATTTAAACGTTATTCTCATATCTTTGATAAACTAATTTAGGTGCAAAATTAATCTACAAACTCATAATTTTTTTATTATTTTATAATATAATATAATATGATAAAAAAGTTGAACCTTCCGTAGATGAAAACTACCGACTTATTTCGATCTTGTGCAATTTTGGAAATATTGGAGATTATATTAAATAAATTTATTTTTGCTTAAATTTAAAATAAACTATCTTCGCAACAACATGGTTTTTATACGAAAAGATCATGTATCACCAACTTATGCTCCCTGTCTTCCTATATCTGTGACTCCCCACAAAAAGCGTTTGACCAAATAGATCATCACATACTGATTGAAAAAGTATCTCAAAAATATGGTTTCTCCGATTCTCTGATTACAGAGTTGACGTCCTATCTGATGAACTGTCGGCAGGTCGTTGAGATTGAGGAGTTGGGATCAATTTCTTTTGTTCCAACTTCTAGTGTGCCTCGAGGTTCTAACCTTGGACCACTACTGTTTAATATATTTATAGACTATCTGATATCTGCGATAAGCTTGCCTATGCGGATGACCTGATACTATATCGATGCATTAAAACCGGCACGGACTGCATGACTCTCCAGAAAAACATCAATATTGTCAGTCAGTGGTGTACTAAAAATAAATTGCATCTTAACATCAGCAAGTGCAATGCACAAAAACTCCTATAGACTTGCCACTGTAAAGGATGTGGGGATTTTATTTGACTAGACGTTCTCTTTTGTACCTCATATTACTAATACGGTTTCCAGTGCAATGCAAATTTTAGAATTCGTAATAAGAAATTACAGGCATTTTTGTAGCTCAGCTATTGGTAAATTGTTATTTAACTGTTGCATTAGGTCCAAGCTTGACTCTGGCTAGCTGGTATGGTCACCAATATATAACTGCCAAGCTCAGTCTATTGAGAGTGTGCAGGGAAGGTTACTGAAGTATCTAACGTTCAGGGAGGACGGTTCCTATCTTGAGAGGGGAGTTGACCACGATCTGTTGCTGGGAAGGTTCGCTGTACTGCCTCTGAGCTTGCGCAGAGACTTTCAATCTGTTTCATTTCTCTACAAGTTAGTTCATTACGGAGTCGATAGTCTGTTTCTTTTGGAACAAGTACCTTTTCATGTACCCTATTTACAATATGTGTGTTACCTTCAACAAACTATCATCGCACTGCGATTTATATTATTATTCGGCAACTTGGATTGGCGTCGGGTTATCCATACTGACAAGCCTCCTTCTCCTTCTTTCCTTCTTGTTTTTTTTAGTTATAAGATTAGTACATTTCAGATTAGTTTTTACGTCCCCTGTGTATATATATTGTATGATTTATATTTCACAGTTGTTGTAATTGGGTCATGTTACCTGTGGGAAATAAAGCGCTACTATTACTATTATTATTATTATAAGTTAAATATAGTTATATATAGGCTCATAAAATGTTGACCTTACATTTATGAAATTTTTCTAGGTTGTTTTTTTAACAAGACAATTCTTCGTCGTAAATAAAAGTTTAAATTGAATAGTAAATGATGAAAAACAATTAAAATAAATATTTGCAACCCGTCTGGTAAACTTTTTAAGTCACTCTTTTATTTGGCATGAGCGGAGCGAAGCACTTTGTGCATAATATACTATTTTGACAATAACTGCCGCGTTTGTAGTAAGATAGGATGCCCCAGTAGTGGGCATATTTAAAATTCAATTATAAAAAACGTAATATCCTAAATCCCTATTAACCTGCATTACCCAAAATAACTCTTCAATACTCAAGAATCACTAACAAAATGGCCATATTTTCTCACGCGAAACACAGGTTACTGGTTACTTTAAAACACTGACAAATGTAATTCCAACTTCAACGCCCAGCGATATTTATAACTATAATCTTAATCTTAAAAAATAATTTTTATATGTTTGGTGTTAACTCGCCAATTGAGTATGTATTGTAACTTTATTCTTACTGATTGATGAAAACTGAACTGGTTTCCTTATGTTAACACATTCTTTGACAGCCATACTGAGCAAACTCGACGATTCAGTTGGTCAATTACTACAAGCATTGGCAAATAACACCATGCTCGAAAACAGCATTATAATTTTCTCATCTGATAACGGAGCCTCAGTGGCAGGGGCTTACGATCGCAGCGCAGGATCAAACTGGCCTCTTCGGGGAGCTAAAAATTCATTGTGGGAGGGTTAGTACAATCCGCATTATGATTGACAAATTTTGTTGCTTTGCGTAAATAATAACATCATGGGCTAGGTGGCGTTAGGGCTACTGCAGCTATTTGGAGTCCATTAATAAAAAAAAATCAACGAGTTTCCCATCACATGATGAATATTGTAGATTGGTTGCCGACGATATTAGAAGCAGCTGGTGGCAATCTTAGGTGAGGGTCTTTAATCTGTTAATCCATTTGAATGGATCCTATCTTGGCATTTGTAGTAGCGTTTCTCAAGTTGACGGCGTTAGTTTATGGAATTCTTTAGTCCACGACGAAATATCCCCGAGAACGGAAATGCTTCTGAATATCGATCCAGTGCTAGGTGAATATGGGTTGCGGATGGGCCAATGGAAACTCTTTAAAGGTAACTTCTGTCGATAAAATTAGATTACAAATAAATATTTTAAATTAAATGCAGACATCTTGCAAAATTGAAAGCACAGTCGACTACCTGTTTTCCCGTTTTATCTGTGGTCTGTGCACAAAGCACCACCACGCCAAGTGAAAAATGTCACTGCTTTCCGATATTCTGCTCAGCGTGGTCTGGACGTGTGGCGTGTTTGTTGTTAAAATTCTCGGTAAAGGTGATCCACGCACCCGACGGAAACAGCAGACGGATGACTTATATATTATGTCTTTTTCTAGCGAAAAACTTCGATAAAATTCGGTCGGAAATGATTTTTGTATTTATTTGTCGACTAAAAACGCAAATACCCTTTAACCACGCGGTTTCATAGACACTTAGCTACACGGCGTAGCGTTGTAGGGCTTTTATGGTTTCTTGATTTGATAAAATTCTATAAAATTCAGGGTTTTATGTTTATGTTTATTACATTTGATAAAGACACGATGTTGTCGAAACAATTGTCGTGCGAATATATATAATTTCGTGAAAATCTGAACTATTAGTTCTTATTTATTTTGTTAAATGGATTTTCATCAAGTAAAAGCCACCTCAGTTCAAAATCATTTGTTTTTGAAAGCAATGTAATTTCGAATCACCATCCTATCGCAATTTCTATACCCAACACCACAATTTCAAACACATAAATGGAATCGTCACTAGGAAATATATTAATTACACATAGTTAGAAAGTGATCTAAAAATTATTAACTTTGTCAAAGTCATTACGAAAATTTCGCAAACAATTTAGATCCCAACTAATTAAATACCAACATAATAATTATAAAAAAAGGTTTAAGTTTAAAAATAATCTGATGCTTCTCACAAGAGTCAGTGCATTCTTTGAATTTTTATTGGCTTCTAATGCGCTTGATATCATTTCACATCAAATTCTCTTATCAAAACTGGAGTATGGTTTGAGGGGAAAATTTATGGGAGATACAGAAATCTACATGTTAATTAATGAAACAAAAGAAATAATTTTTGGAGTTGAACAGGGCACCTTTATTTTGTAGTGTATATATAAATGTGTAGGGCACCAGGTCACCAATCCTAATATATAACAACACAACTCTCTATACCCATCTAACCTATGGGATTTTAGGATGGTATGGGGTAGCTTACTCACATTTAAAGGTACCGAGTTGTAGCTAAAAATACTTGTTGAAAATTTATGGTAAAAAAAGGACCTATCCGACCGACCTACTTTTCCAAGAGACAGAAATATTGGCTATTTCATTGTTTGAAAATATAAAAAAATGTGAAGGAAAATTTAAGGTGAAATAGAGAAATAAAAATATCCAACACATACTGCGCATTTTGAATTTTAATTATGTTGGGTAGAAAATTTGTTGCAATTAAGAAGAATAATTTTATAATTATCTCTGTAATAGTTGTTAGGTTATAATAATTAACGTTTCATTCAATTACGTTCAATTACCAAATCACTTTTCGATTTGGAAAATTTTTTAATTTGTACGTCTAAATTTTTATATCGTATTTTTTATTAACACTCCAGGACATATTCCAATATATTTTAGGTAAATCCTCAGACAGTTTGTACAGAGCGTGGTCTGGACCCAGCGGAAGAGGACGCCCCTACAATGTTTCCGAAATTACATATAGTTTAGCATATCGAACCCTACATCCGACAAGTTCGCTCGGAACTGCTGACATAAAAGAACTTAGAACAAGAGCAACTGTTTCCTGCAACAACGAAACGCAAATTGTATGCGACTCCGATTCGTTCTGTTTGTTTGACATTGAACGTGATCCTTGCGAGTATGCAAATCTTGCTGACAAGTAAGTAACGGTAGGGAGTTGTTTACTAAAATATTTTATTATCATATTTGTCAGGTCGTACCTACTGTTACGTTTTTTAGGTATCCGAATAAAGTAGAACACTTGATTCAAAAACTTTCGAGTTATAACAAAACCACACTGCTCCCAGGGAATGTTGCATTAGATCCAAATGCAGATCCGAGATTATTCAACAATGTTTGGACCAATTGGGGTGACGTGGTTTCCTCAGCTTGTTAAGAATATTACTGGGCTCCGCTTTAGTTTAGCCGACATCATTTGCATAAATAAGGATTCTACTTTTATCTTTTATGAACATTAACAGAAACACAATTTTTTTTTGCTGAAATGTACCATTTCCATTTTCCAGGCCTTAGAACAGAATGAAGGAAAATGAAAAACGCTTTTTCGCAGATTTTTTTTATTTTTATGTACTTCGAAAGGCAAAAAAATTGTCTTCACATAACTAATTTCGGATAAACCAAAATTTTTCACTCATTTTTCTACCAGTAATAACTAAAAGCATCTGTTAAATACATTGTGTCCCAAAAGATTGAAAAATATTTGTGGAAAACAATATTATCCAGATATCTTTGTCCCAAGTAGTTTAAATTTTTAGGAGTCGTACTATATACTATTTCTTTAAGGTAACCTGATCAAAAAAAATCCATAAATCAGAAGTGTAGAGGTCACTCTTCCCTGAAAAATGGTTCTGATGAGTTCCTTTGAAAGGTTTGCACTATGTGAGGTGGCGCCATCATGTTGAAACCAAGTGTTCTCATTGAAACCAACAAAATTATTGAGATCTGGTCTGGTCGCAAAAAATTGTTCAACGCATTCCTTGTATCGAAAAGCAGTAGTTCGCATTTTGGAAAAAATTTGGTTCAAGTCCAGAGGCGCTTATTGCAGCCCATACCATACCCAGGTCTTTGATGTTTTTCCTGGAGATCTTCAGAGGAAAAGTAATGACAGTTTTGCTTACTTACAAAGCCATCTGGCCTGAAGGTCTGGTACCGACAGAATTATATATAGCTGAAATTTTGAAGTTATTTAGTTGTTTGTTACTGCCGCATAAACTCACTCGATATTTTCGGGATTTCTTGAATTCCACGGAAGATCTGCGATCTTCCTATTCATCACAATGCGTTCTCTTTCAATTTTTTAAAGCCAAAATCCTCGCCAAAGATGATGCTTGAGTTTAAATTTGAATTTAGATATATGCAAACGCTTTGCTCCCACTAATTCGAGGAATATTCAATAAATAAATGGGGAAAAACTTCCTACACACTCTATATAAAATTATTTTTACACATTCCTCCATATTTCGTATGGAACACCCGGCATTTTTTGATGATAAAACGTTAACGTTTCAATTTCAAAAATTTTTGGCATGAATTTTTAAAAATTATAAAGCTTTTGCAGTCGACAATTTGTGTTAGGGGTTAATAGATTTTGAAGTTTTTTGGATTTAGAAGTTTAAGCTTGCACTTACACTTTAATGTATCTTCTTTTTAATTTGTATAATCAGTGTCAAATCCAACTCAAGGCGCCTAAAAACGGCGTTGTTGTAAAACTAATGGTGAGTTCCGAATTAAACTCTAGATATCAAGTCGATTGCACAATCACACAGCGATTGTCCAGTTTGTCCAGTTACAGCCGTTAAAAACCAAGTGAAAGGAAGAAGAAGCATATCATCTTCTTCACATTTTTGTAATATTTGATTCTCCCGCTACATTGCCTTTAGCAGCCAAGTCATATCTGAGCGATACGCTATGTAGATATTAATGACCATGTTTCAGATGTAAGTGATCTGGATGACCAAAATACTATTGATACCTCATGTATTAACTAATCCGCAACCCAGGATGTCCTTGAAGTATTTACTGATCTAAAAGAGCAGCTGCAACAGGCAACAAAAATGTGTCGAACTTTAAAACAAAAAAGTTTTTGCTGCCCAAATTGGTGATAAATTGGTGGTCGTCCAGATCCCGGAAACGTGCTGTCCATTGTCGTTGGAATAGAAGATACAGACTTTTATTAATTAGCAAAAACAAAGATAGCACCTTGAAGCAGCTTTTCACCCGTAATCAATTTGCAATTTGCAAAGATAATTTAATTTCCATGGATGAGATTCCGGCTCAAGCAGCAAAGCAAAGAGAAGTATTCAACGTCTAAATGTAGCTGTAAAAACAAGAAGGCTTTGTGTAATTGAAAGTGTCATGGTTAGCTTAAGTTGTCACAATAAATAAGGTTGCCATATATTTACTTTGTTTTTTTTATTTTAAAAAATATAATTTATTTTATTTTTATATTAATTATAGATATGTTTGTTTTAAATTCAACAGTTTCCTTATGTTTACTTGAAAAGTTATCCCATGTTTTGATCAAAAAAATAACCTATATAGTTTTATTTTATTTTCTTTATATGAAAAATCCTTTTAAACATACACATTCCCGGGTAACGGATAGAAATAATGATATTTGATTAATATATTGCGTTTTTACGGTAATATATATTTTGTACTTAATAAATCCAAGAACATTATAATTACTGGTTTGTCTTTTGTATATGTTAGCAAAATTTATTTCTGTGACGAAATGGGACATGAAAATTAAGGGCCTCTTACAGGTTTGTGCCGTGTTGAGTCATTTTTATTCTAAGTATCTCAATCTTCGTCGTGCTGGCTTTTGCCCGCAATTATGGAAGTTACCTGCCGGCGGCAAGAAAATATTTTTTTCCTTTATTTAGGCGCGTATAATCTTATTTAATTACACTAAAAAAACAATAACATTAAACATATACAATAAATTCATAACTAATATCGAAATGTTCACTATCAGAGTCGTCATTGAGATTATTTATGTTGTTTTGTATAGTAATGTGAGAGTCCTCAGTTTTTATAACATGTTGTACTGAATTTTTTCAGCTCTCAATTGGTATTCGTATATATATTCGTATTCGTGTTAATGACATTTTTTATCAAATTTATAACACTGGGACTTAAAGTAGAAGTAACATTTTTCTGCTCTTACCTTTGATTTTACTTGGCTCCATAAATACTCTATGACGTTAAACATGCAATGATATATATCATATAAAATATGATTTTTGTATTTAGGTTTTTGAACTTGATGGGGCTGGTGCTTCGCGTGGCAGACTGTGGTAGCTTCAGCTATCCATAACAATAACACTGTTATTTGGAATATTTTTTAAAAGATGTGCTTTCATCTAACACTTTTGAGTAGAATCAATCCATCTTCCTGGATAGAGTGTCGTGTGTATCGAATCAGATCTTTTAATTTCTTGAAAGAAATTAAATCTCCAAGTGCGTAATCTGTGTAATGCCATTACTATTTGCCTTTTGTCTGTTACCTATTTTGCGGTACTTAAATCCAATTTTAAAAACAACTCTATTCATCTGCTTCTAGCTTTTTTTTCAGTTTCCCGAAGGTAAGACCGACTTCGCTTCGATCAAGACAATATGTTTTCCTTCTCATTAGGTATTGATCACTACTATCCATACGGTGAGTGAAAATCTCTACGTTAATTTATTTTCTTCAATTCTCCCCTATTAATAATATCGCTTATCGACGATGTTGGCGTTTTTGTAAGTAGTTTAACAAGTATTCTACTGATTAAAGTTTCATGCGCATATTTCAACAACTCCTGTACAGTAGAAACGATTATTCAATACTGCCACAAATGGTCAACACTCAGGAAATATATCAGAAAGGAAGAAATACACCTGGCCCACCCCTGCTTTGTCACCCAGGTGAATTTTTTTTTTGTTACTGGTATTGGTATTACTCAATAACAATTAACATCGTTAAAGTTTTATTCGGGAGGGTCCGTCGAAAGCCAACACGATGAAGATTGAGACAGACTATATCTGCTTAATGTGTCGATTTAGGAATCGTATTTACCCTGGGTACCGGGGTACCGTGGGTCTCTGGAAATTTTTTGTTGTAAAAACGAAGACGTTGGAATTCTCCGAACGATATACCGTTTTTAAGACGTTTAAGACCCGCCTGTTGTGAAGCGGAATGTACTATTTTTTCAGTACGTGTATTTAAGATGTTCGCCGACCAGAACTGTGGGGTGCGGATTGTTGCTGTGGGATTTTCTTAAACTAGTCCTGCCATCTTGCCACTAACGTTTTTATAAGAAAGTTTCACATTTTGAGGTTAGGTTTACTCAGTTAGGTTTTGGCGACAGAGTGTTGTTTGTGTCTTTTGTAATAAATTAAAAAAATTATGATGCTTAAAAATGGAACTTAATCAAGAGCATTTTCGTGCAATAATTTTTTACAACTTTAGACGTGGACTAACTCAATAACAATGCATCGATGAACTTAATTCGACTTTTGGAGTTAAAACACCATCTAGGACTACTGTTTATCGCTGGTTTTCGGACTTCAGTAGTGGTCATAATTTTCTTAAGGATGAATTTCGTGCAGGTCGTCCAAAATCGGTGATTGTCCAAGAAAACATTGATGCAGTGCGGAAACTGATTTTGAATGAATGAATGAATAACTTCTTTTTATTCCCATACATTTAGAATAAATTACGTGGGCAACGCAACAAAAGCATGTTTTGGAGGTACCCGAATCGATGTGGGAAAAGTGCTTTGATGATTGGCTTTATCGAATGCAACGTGCCTAGTGGTGTTCCCCAGGGATCGGTGTTGGGACCAGTGCTATGTACTATGAATTAGCTCTCCAGCATTGATTCTCATGTGGGCGCTTATGCTGATGATACTAAATTATTTGAAAATCCTTCAACACATGCTGACGTGTTGCAGTGAGACTTGTATATTATTTCCAAGTGGTGTTCAAATTGGCTATTGCCGCTGGATGCTCAAAAGTGCTCTGTGCTGCATGTTGGCAAGAACAATCCCGGTTTGAACTATTATATCAATGGAAACTCTGTGTCAAGTGTCGATTCTGAGATGGACCTAGGTGTGACAGTAACTAATGATCTTGCGTGGTCTGTATATGTATCAAATATAGCAAAGAAAGCAAAATGCGCGTTATTTTTGTTAAAAAAAGACTTAAATATCTTGGTCCTCGCATGGCTTGCAGACTTTTTACCACTTACATTGGCCCCATCCTGAAATTTGCTTCCCCAGCCTGGAACCCATGGCTATTGCGTGACTGTGATGTTTTGGAAAGAATGCAACGAGCCGCTAGGCGCTGGCCACTTCAACTTAGACATACACCTTACGATGACCGTCTAGTCTAGGGGGATCTCATTCAAATGTATAGGTTTGCGCATGACCAATTTCCATCTGACGTGCCCTTTGTGGTCTTAAGCAATGATGAACGCCTACGTGGTCATCCATTTAAAATAAGAAAGGAACAATTCAGGACTTCACATAGCTTGTATTTTATAAGTAACAGGGCTTTCGATTATTGGAACAGTTTACCCTCAGATGTGTGTGCGCCGAACTTGTCTGTATTTAAACGTCGCTTGGATAGTGTATTGTTTCACAACAATAACTAAATATTTATTATACGTATAACATTATCATGCTACTAACTATTAATGTGCATAATAGGTTCTCCTCTGCACTTTATTCTTTGTAATAATAATAATAATAAAAATTTTATGTAGATAATTGACTTATAATGGATGTTTTCCCAGTTTGCTTTTTTGTATATTTATAATAAACATTTTAAAGTATGAATGGAATTTTTCGCCGCAGAGATTAATAATAATCGAGGAATCTGACCGACGAAACTCTACACAGCTTTCTGCATTTGTATGCACGAAGTACCGAAGTACGGTTCTGGAACGTCATTGTGCAATTGCGAATCTATTTATTGAGGATTACAAAGAGAAACCCAAAGCGAGGTAGGCCTGCGGTTGACCCTTCATAACGTTAAATACCGGATTATGTCGTTAAAACGGTATATCGTTAGGCGAACTCTACTTACAATGTTATTGTAACAATTTAACACACGCTTTCCGATTATTAACATTTTTTAAGTGTACGTGTTTCACGCCTCCGCGCCACTTAAAGCCGCATTGTTTAATTACTTGATTCCTAAGCGTTTTTAGACAAATATAATTCGATAGATTTTAATATGTATCCCTCGTGCATCGTCCGCTGCCAGGTAAAAATCGCACTGCGGGAGTTTTCACTAAGTTTGACGACGTCGTACCGTAAACATGAACTGGTTCACTAACCAATTTAAGTTTAATTTATTTATCTACACAACGGTGTTTGGTTTGTGCGTTTCTCGAGAATGCAATGGCCTGCCGCATATCATTTTCATTTTATGCGACGATATGGTAAGTTAATATTGATTTTAACTTAGACTTAGATAAATTCCCCTGGTGTATACATAAAGCACTGTTCTAACGCCATAGGGGACCGAATTTTGCCCTCAGAACGAATGCATTCCAAACCGTTTTTTTTTATATATACCGCTTTTTAAGTTGATGTTTTGATTTTTCACATACACAGTAAATAATAGGAACCGATTAGTATTTTTAAAATTAAGTTTGAATGTACAGCAGGCGCTGTATCTGAAAATTGCATTATGCATATTATTTAGATGACGTGTAATATTTTTATGTTATCAACTGTTTTGTTTACCGTACCTCACATTTTCTTAATGCTTAATGTTCTTTCCATTTTAACAGCGAAATTCTTTGTTATTATTGTTTTTGTTGTGCAGATTGTTTAATGAAAACAGCGTCGTTTTAAATGAAAAAGTGAGTTTGGTTAAATGACGAATTCTATAATGAGGATGGGGACCTTTCGATTAATTTTGGAATTGTTATTTTTCTATTTGAGCTCCAGCCATACATTAATCTCAGTTCTTTAGTGATATAGATTTTCCAAAACTAAAGCTATATTAGATTCGTTAATCATAAATTCACTTCCCGTTTGGCTGGAAATAGCTAGAGGAATTGAATCTTGACTTTTAAATGTCACCCATTGCCATTTCAATTGATTTTGAAGATTGTACTTAGGCGGCTTTGGTCCAAAATATTTTTTAGCGAAAATTTCTAAGTTTGAATTATTTTATGTAACCGCAAGTAACACCTTAAATATTAAACTAACATGCTTTTAAGATATTTTTGTGATTGCAACCGCGTAGATGATAATTTCAAAAATATAAATACGCGGCAACTATTTGGCATAGAAAGAAAAAGGCCGGTTGTGATATTTAAAATTCGAAAGTAATTAAGTAACCATAGAAATATTATCAAGACTGCATACTGAACATCACAGTTTCAAACCTCTACCTGAAAGCTGTTAAAAGTTATAGTTGTGTCACCCGGTATATAGCAAAAGTGAAACTTTTTCAACCGTGCCTTAGGTTTTTATCTATTTGATTATTTATTTAAGTTTGTTGACACTGCGTCTCATTTTGAACCTACAACTTGCAATTTGCAAGAAAGTAATATTTCCAATTTTTTAATTTATAAATTTGCTTTTATCCGTAAGGGCTTCAATGATGTTGGGTTTCACGGATCGAACCAGATACCCACACCCAACATAGATGCTCTCGCTTACTCTGGGCTAATACTGAACAATTATTACGTCAATGCGATATGCACACCTTCAAGGAGTGCCCTTATGACAGGGAAGTACCCTATTCATACAGGTAAATTTATTAATAAATGGACGTTATCACCGCAGGAGGATTCAAAAATATTCACTTTTTAGGTATGCAGCACACGGTGCTCTATGGTAGTGAGCCACGAGGTTTACCGTTGACAGAAAAAATTTTGCCACAACATCTGGAAGAATTAGGATATGTTAACCGAATTGTAGGAAAATGGCATTTGGGATCATGGAAGAAGGAATACACTCCTCTGTACAGAGGTTTTGTTTCCCATTTGGGTGAGTTTTGCATGTTAATCGAGATAATGCCAATAAATGGTTTACCATATTATTGGTAGGTGTAGTGGTGGTGGTAATAGTTGAAGAGTAGATAGTGTTAAATGTGTTAAACTCGCGAAAAGTCTCATAATTTTTCATCACATGTTCTCTTGGTGTATACAATATACACAATATATTAATGAAACGACTTGCGTTTCCTCCTTTGGAACTATTTTATTAGGTGTTATTTTTACAAGTGTTTCAAGTGTTTCCGAGAGTGAAGTGCTGGCCACTTCTTAACATATATTCAATTCAATTTCTTGGTCTGCGGCATTCGAAGAGGTTCCTCTGTTTGCGGAGCACTAATCATTTTAAGAGAGTTTTAGAAAATATTTCCTGGTATAACATTATTTATCACTAGGTCGTCATTTTAAATTACCATATGAAAGAAATTTTGTATATAATTTTTTTTCAGAAGTTTAGAAACAGAGCTTTAAAGTTACATAAGCTTAGTACTTCTGCCATCCGTCATAAAAAAAGATTTATTTACAAAATAATTTTCAAAATTTTAGTATGAAGTTAGCTTAAAAAGCTCGATACAACTAAATATAATGGAAAGCATAGAAAGCCGCTGAATAATTACTTAAAGTTAAAAAATAAAAATTTTTGAGTAAATAAAATTAATAAAACCGTCATTTGATCTTGTCGTGCAATCATGTTCTTCTTACTTGCCACTGATTCGGAAATAGCTGAACAAAAATTAATAATGGATATAAATTTGGTTATCCTCAATTGATATTTTCCCACATCTTCGAAAATTCCAGAGGCATTAGAGAGAGAGCTGCTGATAGGGGATTGAATATGACCTTTTATTTTCTATGTTTTAACATTCATAGAGATGAATATTAATGTCCACAGCGAAAATCATTGTCTGATCGAAATCAATCCATATTCATGAAACGCTTTCAAATAGGCCGTTTTTTATGACCACTACTTTTCACTATTTATATATCAACAAATTAATAAATGAATTAATTTCGATATATATAATATCATAATACATAAATAATATAATAAACATAAGGATTATTTACTATGAATTAATCCCATAATGTCGTCTGTTGTACTTTTCGGAAATGACTTTTAGGTTGACAAAGTAAAAAGAGAGTTTTTTATAAACGTAGATTTTAAAAACACGTTAAAATTTGGTGCATTAAATAATGCTTCTATGCAACTTCTTGGTATTATCGCCGCTGTACAACCTAACCCAAAATGAAAAAGACATGTATAAAAAGATCTCGGAAAATTACTTATAAATTTATTTTTTTATTTTATTATACAATCATTAAAAGTGACCCCCTTTCCTATTTAACAAGCCTTTTATTTAAAGTGAGAGTTAATGGTTTCAATCATAAACGGTGCATGAGTTTGTACTTTTTTTACTCTTATGCGAATTTGCTGCTTTGGAATAAACTAAAATGGATATTCCGACAGTCTCAACAATTTTAGGTTTCATCGCTCCTGATACTTACTGAATATTTTTAGCACTTGCTACCCTCTAGCGGTTTTCCTTTCCCCGTTTTTTCTGAATATTATGTGAGTGAGATCAGGTCAAGTGTACCCCTCATTTACCACTTGATCATAAAAATTTTATCTATATATATTTTTTATAAGTACTTATGATGGAAAACTGATCCCCCAAACGATTTTTTAAAATTTTGATTTTCACAACATTTTTAACAACAATTGTAATTAAAAAATGGTTTTAACATCAACCGCAAGAGATAAATTTATAAATTTTTTAGCATCTATGGTCTAATGTCTATATTTTAATAATATATTAACTAATTAAAATTGTTTCTTTATTTTCGTAATATTAACTAACTTTTAAGTTAAATGAAAATTTAACTGATTTCTTTATCCATTTAAGTTTAAGATTCCGGAAGAAAATTTCACTGCTCGTCATTAGTTTAAACAAAATGAATTTATTTATGACAGAGCGCCGGGCGCACAGGGCTGTAGAAGCGCCGCGCTGCCGAGCGTCTCGAATTGCATTGCTGCATAAATAAATTCATTTTGTTTAAACTAATGAGTGAAATTTTCTTCCGAAATGTTAAACTTAAATGTATAAATCATGTGACCTATAAACAAATAACATTTTTTTTACCAAGAAATCAGTTAAATTTTCATTTGTTAACTTAAATTTTAAGTCGTGAATATATTCTTAAAGTATAGACATTTGACTAAGGATGCTGAAAATTTCGTAAATTTATCTCTTACGGTTGATTTTTAATCCATTTTTTAATTAAAAGTGCTTAAAATCTTCATTATAAAAAAATGTTGTTAAAATCAAAATTTAAAAAAATCTTATAATTGATTAATTTTCACTTGACTTGATTTTACTCATGTTTAACTTAGCTTGACCATCTGATTGTATCCATCACCATCAAACATTGAAGTTTAAACAGCATCTGGGAAATTCCCTGACCTTTTATTTTCCCATTTTGTAGTGGAAATATTTTGAGTTTTTCTGTAATATTGTTTGCGCAATAAAACTATTATTAATAACAAATTTTTCTAACAATAAATAGTGTATACCGTATTTTATAAACTGGCAAATTTTACTATGTTAATATCTGAAACGAATCGGCAATGTTATCTGTCACTTTTCGTGAAAGTGTTCTCTGCCTAAAAAGGTCACTGTGTTAATAATAAGCAAATTTGTTTTGGATACTCACAATGTCTAATTTATTCAACTGACACGAGTTCGAAGTGATAAAAATAGCTTTTTTAAATAATCAATATTTGCATTGTGACAAATCTTTAAAACGAAATTTTGTTGTTATTTCTAAATTATTTTTAACACAGGTTCTGGCAAAATCCTTATTGTTATTTTCAATTGTTGTGTTTTGTTATCCTGTACATGCTATAAAACGCTAAGTTGCGTTAAAAATTCTCGTCCTGCTAATTTCAATCAAAAATTAATAATTTTAATTTATAATTTAACTAGCATGTTCAAAAACTTCCCATCAAACTCGTAAGCCTTCTTACTGAATAGCGCGACAATTTAAATACTAAACGAGTGACTGAAGAATTTTAGCAACTAAGGGGTATATGGATTTGTTGACTGTTCAGATATCGTTTAGTTGCAATACAACAAAAGGTTTGCTCCAGCGTTGGTACATTCAAAAAAAGGTTTATGGATCACTTCCTCGTTCTGCATACCTTTAAATAATTTTGAACGCGGTTTCAGTAATATTTCTCTGTTATTGCTTGTTTTAATTTTTGACATCTTTGTTTCTTGTATTATTTATAGTGTTAATTTGCAATATTATCTTTTTAAATAATCGTTTATTAACCACTTATAAACACAAAAACCTATTTTTGAAGCCGCGAAGAGTACAAACAACATAAATATAATAGATATATACAGTTAAACCAGTGTAACCAGAAAGTAAAACTTGGTATATATAGGCACACTCTAATTTACGAAACAAAGATCCCTTTTTTTATGGAGTGGAAGAATTTTTGTCACTTTTAATTCATCCGGAAATCCTTCTTCAATGCTGTTGTTTATTAGTAACGTAATAGGTTTTAGAAGTGAAGATATTAATTGCTTAGTAATATTGGCATTTAGACCATAATAGTCACGAAAATGAGAGTATTTTAGTTTCAAAACCGCTAACATCACTAACATCACTCTCCAAAACTTCTGACACAAAAAATGAGAAATTAGATCTAGTTGATCTGGAGATGTAGGTCATAGCATCTACTACTGAAGGTCTGATGGTTTTCGTTATCTCCGCTGACCCAGAAGCAAAATATTTGTTGAACTCCAACGGAGTAATTGATCATTGAATAGAGTTACTGTGCTTATTATGTGAATTATGTCATCATAAATTTTCTTTTTCTCCACCTTTTTAGTATGACGATATTCTTTGTGGAACCGTTTGTAAGCATGAAATTCTTGGTTACTTTTTGAACTATGGTATTTTTTTTGAATACAGCAAAGATGCTGGCGCATTACTTTAAGGTTATCATTGAACCATTTAATTGGCGAACGATGGATAGTTGAGTTAACAATGGGAAAGAAACTATCTACAGCTGCCCTAGGCAGTGACACGTTTTTTATTTATTAATTATCTTTTAATTTCGCAAATATTGTCCCAAATGATCTGACAAAACGAGATCACAAACTATGACACTTATCCAGTCACTAGGAATATTGGAAATTACATTGTGGATACAGGAATTTACTGATTTACACTTCCTGGTAGGTTCTTTTACAAAAAACTCTAAGCCAAACGAAATGAATATATTTTCTAACTCCTCTGATTGAGAGGTTTTCTGTGTTAAGTCTACGTTAAAATCGCCAGCAATAGTAAAGTTATCATAACGTTTATACCTCTTATAATACCTCTGTTTAAATGATCAATGAAAATGGATACATCTGCAAAGAACAAGCAAAACAGTCTTATTATCAATAATTTCCGCTACACAAAATTCTGCATGACTTTGAACAGCACATCCGCCGACATCTAGATATTTGTATTTGTAAATGACGAAATTAAAGTAAAGTCGTCCATCTTAACCGAACCAACCCCACCGCCGTCCAATCAATGCTCAGACAGGCATAAAATATCAGTATTATTTAATCTTGCAAACAGTGAAACTTCATCAATTTTATTATGTAACGCTGGAATATTTATATGTAAAATACTGTAGAAATTATTAGTAGACACAGTATGGATTTCCGGTATTTTTCCTCAAGGACTGTTCATTCACTTGGGTGTGACAAACCTCACTTGCTCGGGATCCAAACTTCTTGGATGGAAAAAATCTGTTTATCCTTACTCCCACAGGCCAAAGATTCGGATCAAGAATCTTCCTCGAATCCACCTCCGGGATGGTAACTTTAAAAGAAGAATACTGTGTTGGAAATCTTGATTGTAGTTTGGACACCGACGCATTGGTAGAAAGTTGATTCAAATAGACACTAAGACTATCCTCCGACGTTTGGGAGTCAAGTTTGGTAATTTGGTACTGATGGATTTTCTGGACAGCTTTTAATGAACAAACTGGATTCTCCAATGTACCGATCAAGACATTTGTGGACCTTGTGGCTGTTGGCGCTTTTGAAAACCGCTTAGAACTATTCCCGTTAACGAGATTTGGTACTAATTTTTGAATTGTGAGGCGGATCGTTACACTGATTTCGATGTTTAGGGTCATGTTTATGATGTGTCTCGGGTTGCTCCAGTTTACCAGACCCTTTTGATTTGGCATCGCTGAAGTCGTTTCTGCAGGCTGGACAGTTTTCAACAATCGTATCTGATTTGTCAAATCTTCGGCTGCAATAGCTTGATTTTGAATCGTTAGTTCTTGCTGTTTAATAATTTGTTCCAAATAATAGATTTTTAACCTATCTGTGCCATCCTAATTAACTTCCTCAGCGGTAATTTCAACTCATGAGACGACGTTAATCTTTGCAGTTTTGGCAACGTCATCTTCACAACATGTGACCGATTTACCACCAACAGACCACTTCGCAGTTTTTAATTGCTGTAGACAACTAATGCGTGCCAAACACCGCATCTGATGCAACTAAGACCAGATTTAATGGAGCTGGTCTTGCATCTTTTGCATACTCCCAAACTTTTCACTCATTTTGCAATGATAAAGCAATTATAGTTCAAAAAATTCCGCTTCAAACAAACCAATTAAATACACGAAAACTTCAGTGCGCACAGTCCGTTCCCAACAGATCAACGTCACCGGGGTGACAAAAAACTAATCTCACTCCGCGCAATGAAAACACACGTGCACTACCTTAAACAGCCCTGATAAAACAGAGACTGTTGCCAACACTTAATACGAAGAGAAAAATGTTACTATACACTCTGCACTAATTTTGTTAACTTAAATTGCACTCTCAATGAGTCCAATACGCTAATCATTCAGACAGAGAAAAAGTACCACGTAGGGCGAGTACAGCGAGCACAAAAACTGTAATGAGATATAAATAGCTGCAAGCTATACTTCGCCACTCCAATTACACTTACAAAATAAGAAAAATAACTGCAAAACAGCACGGATACATTCACTGAGTTACCTGTGACGTGACCATGAGAATTGACAAACGTCAAAATACCATTCGTGCCTAAAAAACTAAGTGGCTCTCGAGACTTTAATAAGGCTGATAGTTTAAGACAACGCTTTGCTCACTCACAAAAATACAATTTTTGCTCAAATACGGTAGAATCCTTATACAGCGACCATCCTTGGAAATCAACTATTAGTCGTTTAGGAGGGGCAATCGCTTAAAATGAATGCACCGTGATAGTTTAAAAATTGGTCGGAGTGTACTGTGCGCTAGTGACGTACGGAGCGCCCTCTATTGCCAGAGGTGAAAGACGAGGTCGGCGAAGAAGTGCCGACTAACCAGCGAGACGAACAGTGTTGACGTTGTATTTTATTGATTGTTTAATTTTGATCGGCTGGACCAGAGTTTTTTTCCACGTATAGTAATACGCTCCGTTAGCATAGTGTGTGTATTGTTTTTCGACGCTTCTGAACCCAAACATATCCATCACAGCACAGAAACGAATGGAAGCTCTTCTACATTAAAACATTTATTTATTGACAATTTTAATTACAACTTACTAAAAATAAATGTAATTATATGCTCTTTATATAATATAATATATACATAAATAACAAATGAGAACTTTTTATGTGCATAACACAAAATACTACATAGTAATATGTCAACATTTCGAATGAGCATACGTACGAGTAGTAGATAGAGTAGAGTAAATACAGTTGTTACGTTTTATAATAGTCCAAGATCAATGATTGTTTGATACATGTTAATTTATTTTGATCAAATACCGATTCACATTTGAAAAACAGTTCAAATTAAGAAAATAAGTTTTTAAGTTTCTCAAACTTGCTTTCAGAAAGGGAAGTCAGCCTGTTAATTCTTCAGTATCTTCAATTATCCTCTTCATCGAAGTATCCATGTCCAGCTTTGGAAAGAGCACTTCTTTATTGTTATCTATATACGTTAAAAGTCTCTCAATAAGATAGCTTCTGTTGAATATCTCAAAATTCTGAATAATGCGTTGGTCTAAAGGTAGACAATGTGAGCTGTTTGGTGGAAGAAAAATAAGTTTCACATTATAAAGTGCAATTTTAAATTGCGATGTTCAATTATCTAACAACAATAGCACTTTTCTATTCTCTCTCTTCATCAAACGCTTTTTATTAGATACCGATCGAAGAGGTACCTTACAGATGTGCTATCCTTTAAAACATCTAGGATTTTTGCGTTTGTCGGATCTTGCTTTTCGCTTTCCACAAAATGAAATTGTCATTCGGAGTTTTGCAGTTTTTTTTTCGAAACACTCATTTTTCAAAGCATATGTGTTTGCTGGCTAAACACCACAGTAGAGTCCAATCCCGTCTGCATTACAGACATTTTTTGGGGATTATTCTTTTAAATTTGCGAACAAATTTTTCTTCTAAATATCCACACCTTAAAGGTCACGATACCGACGACGAAATTTGTTTGACCATCCATTTGCAGCTTCGAAGTCACTTAGTCCTAGGTACTGTGCAACTTCAAGGACTTTTGCCAAACTGGTACACAGTAAGTCCTTTGGTTTTAGGAAATTTTCTTTTTTTTTCCTAGTACTCAAACTACTTTTGTCCCTTTCATTGATCATATCTATTTTTTCTTCCAAATATTAATTTAATCGACAATTTAATGTTAACCGACAACCATTCAAACAGTTTAAATGTAAACTGCAATTAGAATAATGTATTTTTATTATATGAAGGGGTGGAAAATTAAAAATATTCAGTATTTCTGAACCTTTATTGGTATTTGTTGTATAAGATTGTAAAACACAACAAACAGCAAGCCGTAAAAACACAATTTTTATGACATCTGCCCAAACTGCTTCAAAGTTTTGAAAATTTAAATTTGCACTAGGTAAAAATAGGTGTACAGACTTCGTTGCAGAAGTGCGATGATTAAAAATATACAGTTAATGGCTAAAATATGGAACAGGGATGTGGACATCATTCATCTTCATCATCTTGGGCATTTTTTGCATTAAATGGAAAATATACAGTGTGGATCAAACAGTAATTGTCCGTACCAAGGTACTTTTTTTAAATGGAACACAATAAATTTTCATTAATTAGACTGTCCGGCAAATACCGAAATATTCACGCTCTTGACTAGCAAAATGGAAAAAAGCACCATTCTGTAACATTTGGATCGAATAGGATATAATAATTCCATTTAAGTTGCACATTTCCATCATAGTTTTACAAAACTACGGTCGGGTCATCTTCATTATACTCTTGTAGTAATGCAGTCGTGTACGGATTACACTTTTCTTTTTTATTATACGCAAAGCTGTTCGTTGGCTTCATAATTTGAAGCTACTTCAGAACTAACCAAAATGTAGACGCAGAAACTATGAAAAATGTTGTAGGGAGAATTATATCCCGATTAAATTCTTATAAACCTTCGAAGCAAACTGTAACCCGAAATTTAGCTATTCAGAAAAACGTACAGGAAAGATTAAAATGCAGTAGATCCTCCCTGCAGACCACGCGGTTCCGTCGTTCCGCCGGCGGATCGATCTGGCTTGTGTCGTTTGGAATGTTACTCAATTCGCCTTCGCAGCTTCGTCGCCTTCTTGCCTCGCGCACGTTAAACGGAAGAAAACGGCCGGAAAACTTGTTTTCCGACGAGATGAAAAAGAACCAGGGAAACTATCGCGACCATTAAAACCCGGACCACTCGCTCGGTACGCCGTTCGCGTCTGCCGTTCCGTACATCCGCGTCGGCGTGAAATTAACGCAGGATCCCTGCGATCAGTTCTGTACGCTACTTATGTTTAAAAACTAACGAGGTACTGCAATAACCCGAAGAAAAAAAAGTTTGTATATTGTAACCCCCCGTTGTCACACTAAAAAAGAAAAAAAACAATTAAAAATAAGACATAAACATAATTTAAATGTACATTCCTTAACATTTTCCCCGCCAAAACGAATGTTTTTCAAGTACGAGAAAAAAAATTCTAATGGCGACACGAACGTTTATATTTGAACCATAATTTCCTGGCAAAGGACAGATTTTTGCGACAAGGCGTTGCAAGGTCCCGTGGTTAGTTTTAAGGGAGACAACACGAATTATACCATCCTTGCTTGCTACTTCAGGAACTATACTTAACTACTAATAAAAACTTTGATCTTGCATTCTCATTGGTTTTATTTACCATTTCTATACATTTTCTCTCAATTGTGGATCTTGTAATGATCCTTTATGTTTTTTTATTTTTTTTCTCATAAAAAGTCAGAGGTATAGGTAATGTTTAATCAATTATTTGTGAAATGTGAGACAAATTTCAAAAATTGATTTTAAAAAATGGTGTTCCATTTAAAAGAATAAACTTCGTATAGAATTTACTTTTGAGGTCACCCTGTATATTTTCTCGTTACTGCAAAAAATACGCAAGAAAAAATTATTAAATCTAATGCTGTATTTTTACACGAATTTGTTCTATATTTTTCTTTTTAAATAGGTTACAGTGCATATTTATCATTTTTGATTAATTTTACTTTAATTAGTGGCACGATTGTACCAAACTATTTTTTCTTAAAAATTGTAGAATTCAGAATAAAAAGTGAAATATAAACATCACTTGTTGCTAATATACCTTGCCTTTGCACTTTTGACGAACTATAACACTCAACTAATGTGGTATCGTGTAAAAAATGTTCATCATCAAAAATCGTTTTAGGTTACTGGACCGGACACCATGACTACTACGACCACACAGCAGTAGAGAATCCAGGATGGGGTTTAGATATGCGCGAAAATTTAAGCATAGCGTACAATCTTCACGGACAATACTCCACAGATTTGTTTACGCAGGAGTCTGTCAGATTGATCAACTCCCATGATACCAGCAAGCCGCTGTTCTTATATTTAGCCCACGCAGCCGTTCATTCCGGCAACCCTTATGAACCTCTACGGGCACCAGAAGAAGAAATCCAAAAGTTCGGTTATATCGAAGACACTCAAAGACGAAAATACGCAGGTATTTTTTTTTCGACTCCCGTCTGGAAAATACCTATTTACACACTGATCTAGCGTGCGGGAAGCGTCACTTTGCCACGTCAGTTTCGTTTTCCACGGATCCGAGCCACTTCGGACATTTCCGGGACTGCACGGGTTTGGGAGCAATCGGATGTTTTCGGAGATATTTTCCACGCCTTAAATTTTGACGTTTGTCAGCTCTGACGGTCATGTCAGTGAATGTATCCGTGTTGTTTTGCGAAATATACTAACGGTCGTAGAAAAAGTAAAGTATGCAACACGTTCGGTAAGCTTTAGTCACTCGTTTATTAAACACTCGCTCCGCTCGTGCCAAATAAACTCGTGTGTCAAATGTCGTTTACCGCATTTGTTGCATAATAGTATATTATGCATATTATGCAACACGTGCTTTAAACGGTATTTGACTCATGAGTTTATTTGACATGAGCGGAGCGAGTGTTTAATAAACGAGTGACTTAAAAAGTTTACCGAACGTGTTGCACACTAAACTTTTTCTACGGCTAGTTACGGGTTAGTTTTTGGGTACATTTTCGCAGAACAACACGAATATATTCACCGTCATGAACGTCAGAATTGACAAACGTTAAAATTCAAAGAGTGGGAAATATATTCGAAAACATTCGATTGCTCCCAAACCCGTGCGGAAAAATCCCGGAAATGCCCGAAGTGTCTCGGATCCGTGGGAAACGAAACTGACATGGTAAAGTCACGCTTCCTGCACGCTAGATCTGTGAGTAATTAGGTATTTTACAGACGGGAGTAGAAAATACACTATTAACGCATTATCATTTGAGAGTATAACGTTTAATCCCATTTCATTTTCAGCAATGATGACACGTTTAGATAGTTCGGTGGGGCAAGTCGTAGAAGCTTTGAAAAACAAAAGCATGCTCGAAAACAGCATAATTGTCTTCACTACAGACAATGGCGGACCGGCAGCAGGATTCAACTTGAACGCGGCCTCAAATTATCCCCTAAGGGGAGTAAAAAACACCCTTTGGGAGGGCGGCGTCAGAGGTGCGGCGTTAGTTTGGAGCCCCCTTATTGAAAAACCTTATAGAATTTCCAAGCAAATGATGCATATAGTTGACTGGTTGCCGACGATTTTAGATGCAGCTTCCTATAACATAAGGTTTGTACAGACATTTTTCTTTCACTTGGGAGTGTGGACTAAGTAGAATGAAAAAATTTTAACTTCGCTTAGCCAAATTTACTTCAAAAGTGTTGCTACAAATCTCATTTTGATTATTATAGATTCAGGTAATATGCATGTTTACTCAAAACATGACGAACGAACTGCAAATATCTTTTGGCTACCAATGGTAGAGTCCGGAATTAATTTTCAAATTTTATCAATCGCTATTAATGTTACCATATGACCATATACGTAGAAAAGCAAACTTATGGGTCTGTAGTTTTCTACATTTACGATTCTACTTTTTTGAATATATTTAAAAGTTCTTTAATTTTATTTAATAGGACTCTCCCTCCAAGTTTTACTGCTTCCATCGTTATCTGGTGATTTGTAGCTTCTTCGATTGACGATGCCAGTGAATTTCCTTATTTCATTGGGTTCTTTTTTCAATTGTTGACTGCTCTGATACAGTATGGTATAAAACTCAACAACGATTCGAAGTAGTTCTTCTCTATTAGTTGTTACCTCTGAATGTTTGGTCTGTAGTCAATGCCTTTGGTCTTTGTTCATTTCTGGACAGAAGTTTTAGTGGCTTCAACTATAGAATTTGCGATATGTTGATTTAATTCTTCAATATTTATGTTTTCAGATATATGAATAATATGTAACTCCTAGTTTTGCTACGTATTAGTTAATAATATTCGAAAGGGAAAAGGGAAAGTTCGGGCAGAAAAAGGGAAAAAAAGAAGGATTTTGGTATACGTGTGGAATATAAAAGCTAATACCTTTTATTATAATTACTTTACTACTGACTAAATAGTTCCAGCATTAATTTCTATTTAAAAGTTGCAAGAGAAGATGAGAAATTATTTACGGTAAATTAAATGATATAAAATGCTCTACAGCAAGAAAAGTTAAGTTTAAAAAGTTCTTTATTGTGTTATGGATTTTTAAAAATATTTCACTGGGATACTCGCCTCTTAAGAGGTACGGACGCCTTTTGTATTCAATAATTTATAAAAAACATATGTTGCATCCAGGATACTCTTTTTACGCATGTTTAGCCGCTCTCTTTTTGAATTTGCTGTGAAAAACATCCAATCAAGGACTATTAACATTTTCGTAAAAAATAAAAGGCGAGAAAAATAGAGACAGTTTAGTTTATCTAAATATAGTTTCTTTTTCAAGAATTGTTAAATTCGGTTTAAAATCAATTTTCAATCCCAAATAAATGAATTTTATGGAGGGTGAGTATTTACAGCTGAAAACCGGGTTTCATACTATCAGACATATAGTATAAAATTAAATCGAGCAAAAAGAAAATCTAAATAACCGTGATTATTTATAATTTTTAATTTCAAAATTTGCAAATAATTTCACAAACACATTCATTGGTAATAGCGATATTTTGGAAAGTGTAAAAAAATTACCGAAAATGAATTTTTAAAAAGATTTCAAATCCAGAAAAGCTCTTAAATTTTGCAGTTATGGTGCACGCATATTATAAAAATGCTCTTTTCCGCAATTGCGAGCAAACTTGATTAAAATTCCACAACGATGGTAGAAAAGTAGACAAGCGTATAATTGGTGGCATAGTTTATTGAGTTCAAGAATATCTATGAATATTGAGAATCATATTGTATAAGCTAACATCTTAAGGAAATGAACTGGCCTCCTGATTTGTTGGTATTGTCGTTTGACAACGTCCGCTTGTGAAACATATATCTTAGCGCAGTGTTCTTAAAGTTGTTGAGCTCTACCTAGGTACTTTAATCGTTTGCAAAAAAATACCAATTTTCCGTATCTCTACTGGTGTCTGTAGGAGTAGTGGTTATGCTGATAAAAACAAATCTTCTATTCCGGCATTCTACAAGCCGCATGGCCGTTGATAGATAGTCAATCATTTTGAATGTAGCATTTTTAAGGCATTATTTAATCAAAATATGTGCAGATCCCATTAAATCTTCGGACAAAAAGAAGTTGAGTGTGTGGATATCGCTGTTTAGAAAGTAAAGGGTAAAAAGTGCAGGCATGCACGTAACATCATTAACATCTCTGTTGCCGGTCCTAAGTCTGGAAAAAGGAGGAAGGTTGTCGGGCCAGGCTAGCTCCCTACCCGACGTAAAACAGAACCACAGCTTATAGAACCGAATTTCTGCCTCGGAAATGACTGATTAATTGATGACAACCCAGGTACAAAAAAGGATAATGGCCAAAAAGAAGGGTAAAGTTCAGTTTCAATACGATGACTATCTACTGATCTACAGCGGAGTCGAAAAGTAAACAATAGGGAAAGAAGGAGTAGCAATCACATTATCAAGAAAGTACCAAACCAATATAAAAGACTGCAGTTATGTATCGTCGCGTATCATGGTTGTAAAAATGGAAAATAATAATTCTTAGAGACTTCAATGCCACATATCGGAAATCAAATAATCTCTGGAGTTAAGCAAAAGTTCAATGAAAATATACTGAACAACAATGATCGACTTATGCGCATTCAATGAGCTACGAGGGCAGCGCCAAAATTTCCCGGCCAGAATATGAAAGAAACAAAGTAAAGTAACAATTTTTCCTAATTTTTCGATATAATCCCCCTTAACTTTAATACGCTTATTACATCTCTTTATTAACAACTCAATCCTTTAAATAATATATTCTTTCGGTTTGTCTGCAAAATGAGCTAAGACAGCCCTTTTAACTCAACTTCGTCATTAAACCGCCGTCCACGTGAGTCCATTTTCAAATATCCAAACAAATAATAGTCGCTGGGAGCTATATCTGGACTATAGGGAGGATGATCTATCTGTTGGAACCCACACTCTAAAATGGCAGCTTGTGCAACACCAGCAGTATGGACAGGTGCATTATCGTGCAAAAGACGCACGGTCAGTTTTCCTCGACGTTTTACACGTATGCAGTCTCGTAATTTATTGTAATAATATTGCATAATATTTACCATTGACAGCGGTATTAGTTTCTTTAAAATCTGTCAAAAGAATTCCTTCACAATCCCAAAAGATCGTGGCCATCACCTTTTTTGTTGACTGGCAGACTCTGAATTTTCTTGGAGGTGCTTCACCCTTACGACGTCACTTCATTGATTTTTTTTTCGATAGAGGGTCATAAGAGAACAATAGTTTCATCTCCCGTCACAATAGTTTCATCACAGGTTTCGGTTCCGACCCACAGAGTTCCAAAAAAGATCGCGCACACTTGACACGGCGTTGTTTTTGAATAGCTGAAAGGTTTTTAGGCACCCATCTTGCCTAAATGATCATGGAGGATTCGACGAACACTTGTATCAGAAAACTTAGTAATTTCTGGGATTTCTTTAACCTTTAAACGTCGATCACTCAATACCACCTCTTCCACAATCGCAACAATGTTTTCCGTTATGACCCCTACTGGTAGGCCTGTTCTTGAATCATCTTCAAGGGACTCCTGCCCCATTCGAAAACATTTTGCCCATTCTTTCACTACAGAATACAAATGACAACTTTAGGTGCTAACCCTTCTTTTGTCAAAAACTTGATGACTGCTCTATACTCAATTTGCATTATTTGCGACATTTCTTCGGACACGTCTTGTTTAAAATGCTGTCAATAAAAAACTATTTGACGCAAGACTTCAATTTTTTTTTTCGCAGCCTACTAAGATATATATTTAAAAGAAGACAAAGTTTTATCGAGATACTGGAGCTGCATTTATGTCAGGCTGGGAAATTTTGGCGCTAACCTCGTACGTATCAACACGTTCTACGACCATAACAAGCAATACAAGTTCACATTCGGTAACACTAGAGCTCAGAGATCTACAATAGACTATATTATCACAAACAGATATATCCACCCGCTCCAGATATTGAATGTCAGAACCCTTAATTCAGCCGATATAGAAAGCGACCACCTTCTGCTACTTGCAAAAATCAAATTAAAATTCAAACCTTAAAAGAAAATAGGACAAGTATCTCAAGAATCAAAAATAAACATCGAATCCCTATGGGACTTCTCGATCAAACAGCTTTACGAGAAAAGACTAACAGAAAAAATTCAAGTAAACCCAATAAAAGCAGAAGATAACATGAACAACTCCTGGGAGACACTAAAAAACAATACGAACATACGAAATATATAAAAAATTCCGAAACGAAACAACAGCGCCAGTAAGTAATAAAAAACAAATGTGAAGCGAATCAAATTCGAGCCAAAATTAAACGGGATTCTGTCCGAACCAATAAATGTAGGTCGAGGTATTCGACTCCCTGACTAGTCCCCTTCTTTTCAACATCATTATGAATGAAATAATAAGAAATGTACTTACTAAAGAGATACACAATAGGCGATCAGGAAATTACTATTCTGTGTTATGCCGGCGATGCCGTATTAGTTTCCGAAAATGAAAACGATTTACAGTGTCCATTACATCGATTTAACTGCACTGCCAGAAAACTAAATGTATGACGACGTATCAAAAGTACCAGATGCAAGGTGGAATCTCAGGTGATATTGAGGCGGAGGTGAGAGAACGAGCAACAAAGGAAACAAGATTGCTTTCGAAAAATCGTCGGTGAGTGGAGCAAGTTCGCAGCAAATAGCGCGAATCACCTTTTCATTTTAAAAAGAAGGCGCTTCGCGGATTCTTGTCCTAGAGGGATGCATTGTTTTTCTATTGTGCTCCTGCGGGCCACTATGGAACTTTCGCAAAATCGATGTAATTTGATTGTGAATACACCCTGTATAAAGTGTCCTTCACATCTCGTCGAGCTTCAAAGTTCCGGCACACTTCGGTAAATATTGAAATTTTTACTGGTAATTGCAATTTAAAATTATATTTTTTCAATTATCTTGCGACCCCTGTATTATAGACGAAACCGTAAACTCTCTCTCGAAACAAGTTTACGAAACTATTCAAATCCAATTATCACATCTTTAAAAGTTTTTCATGTATCGCCAATAATTCCGTATCCGTATTTCTCCAATGGAGTAAATGGTTTTCAAAAAATTACTTGTATTCTGAAACCATGCAATACGTGGTAATATTAAATGACGTCATCGCGTTTTGATTGAGGGCTAGAAATAGTGATTTTCATTTTGATATCTCGAACAGCGTATGTGATAGACGAAAACCGTAAATACAAAAATTGTTGATACGGCCTATCAGATTGTTTGAACGGATTAGCTATTGTTTGTACGAATTTTGATTTACGGTTAATAATTTACTCTCTAAAAGAACAATTTTGAGGGTCTTTTAGATTTTTGTCTATAACTAAAACACCTTCTATATAATCGAAAAAATGCATGAAACAAAAGCGCTGCGTCTCCCACGTATTACGGATGTAAATTTTTTCCTTTCGGATGAATGGCTTTGGAGGAAAAGCTGTTTTTCTGGATGCCAAAATAACTACAAAAAAAATCAAAATTAAAAAAAAAATACTTCGCGTTATTCTATTGTTCTCAATTTAAGAGTCTAAATGCGGATACAGACTTCAACTTCTCTCCCAAGTCTGAAGTCGGTAGCTGCAAATTTGGAGTACCCTGTACAATACTTAAAAACGGTAAATACAAAATTTTAAGCTGTCTATATGGACTAAATCGTCATGTAAAAGAAACTGACATCTAAAACACAGATTTATTGTCAATTTTCAATAATAGGGGGACACATTTTTCAGTTTTTTTGAATTTGCTACGCACCCTGTGTTTTTTTGAAAAATTGTCAAGAATAAAAGTTTATGGAGTCGTTTGTTCTGCATCTTCTGGTCTTGTAAACGGTTTTTGGAAAAGGGTTTTTTTTGTAGACTTTTGCACACGCGATTTTTTTTAAATACTTCCCGACCTCCCAGCCCCCCCATTTTCAATAGGTTCCGTCACGGGGCAAAGTTGCATATATGTGACAAATTTGAAGTCGATTGCTTCAAATTTCGGACACTTATCATGTTTCATAGCAAGGTCCAAAAATCAGTCGAAAATCGCGAAAAAAAGATGGATACCGGCATCGGATCAGGGCCATTTCTTACAAGCTTATGTGCCTCGTGGAGGGTTAAAAAGGGGGCCAATTTCAATTCTGTCGGTTCGAAAGTTATTCAGGAAAAACCAAAAGACGAGAACGAAGAACGGAAAACGGAGACAAACAAATTTTTTTTTGACGGTGATTATTTCTGTACCAACGGCGATGCCGTAGGACTTACCGTTACCGAGATATAAAATTTGTATACGAGCGCAGATGCTTTCGAAAATTCGTTCATCGATTTTCGAAAGTAACAGGAATAGCAGGATGCCTCAATGACACGATATGGCGAAATAAAAATATCAAAGTGGAAACTAAATTAAGAGTTTATAAGGTAACGGTGAGACCAATTATGACATATACTGTCATTTGGTTTGTTTGTATTTTTTTTTTTTAATTCTGGTTGTTAATATATTTGTTTTAAGTCTATTAACGTCCCCTAAAATGCAAATTAAGATTGTTGATGAACTTTATGTCAATTTATTTTTATGCCTTCCTTTCAAATCATTCAATTTTATTATCATGTTGGCAGTAATCTACGTAACTTAGACGGTTTGAGCATATGGGAGGCATTGTCACAAAATAGGACATCACCCAGAAACGAAATATTGCACAACATTGACGACATTTACGGAAATGCAGCTTTAACAGTCGGACAATGGAAATTACTAACAGGTTTCGGCAAATCTATTGATTGAGTCGTTTAATTTGCTTAAGTGTACCTTTTAGGAACAACCTACGGTGGTGCTTGGGACGGTTGGTATGGACCGTCGGGACGGGAATATCCTTACAACGTGAGCCTCGTCGTTGAAAGCCAAGTAAATAAAGCCTTACTTTCGATTGGCAGGGGTGCCACTGTTGACCAAATGAATATCCTTCGCGGCCAAGCCTTGGTGAAGTGTAATAAGATCAGTCAAGCGAAATGTGATCCGCTTAAAGCACCTTGTTTGTTTAACATCGTCGACGATCCTTGCGAAGACAACAATGTCGCCGATGTGTAAGGAATTATTTTATTTCCTTTTGAATTTTAAACAATAATTATCTATTTTCTAGGTATGAGGACATTTTGCGCGACCTGCAAGATACTCTTGCCGGTTACAATAAGACTGCGTTACCACCTGGTAATCTACCGTTAGACCCCAGAGGAGATCCAAAGAACTGGAATTATGTGTTTACTAATTTTGGCGATGAAGATGCTTTCCACTGCAGGACCATATAAAAAACGAAGTTTTATTTTCATTCTGCTCGCTGCTATTAATAATGGAAGTAACTTTAATAAGTTTATTACAAATCTAGTCACCTTTTTTAATATATTAAAACGTATTACATTTGATTTTTGATTAATTGGTTTTGTGTATTGCGCCATGTTCAAATTTTAATGTTGTTGTTTTAATTTTCTCCCAAAAAATTGTTCAATCAACAGAATATCTAATGAAGGATCAATGAAAATTGATATACACTTTTTTTCTTAAGAGCATCTAAATAATATCACAATGCATAATTCCTGGTTTGTAGGTATATGGCGTAACTGGATTATTTAAACAACCACACCATAAATTTGACTTCTAAAGTTAGGAATATATTCCAATTTTCCCATAACAGAAAGACTGTTGACTCTGAAACACACACACACACAAATCTAAAGAACTTACCACAAAAGGTAATAGAGAAACTTACTACCTACTATCGATAACGTTATTTAAATGTTGGTATTCTTGAACAATTCCTTGCGTAATGGTGTTTCATTAAATCTCGCTCACTTAAATTAATACAGTAGACTCGTGGTATAGTGAATTTGCTATAAAGTGAACTACTCGAAACAGAGAACAGACAATTTTTTGTTATTGTATTCCATAGAGTGCACAAAGTGAAAAGGATTTTAAACAATTTGTTTCCTTTTATGTAATTTTATCACAGCAGTTTCTTGCATCAGGTCGTTTTGCGAGTATAGTATGGCAAAGAATAGAAAACATTTAAGCCTAGGTGATAACGCAAATATATTAGTAGACCTAAAGAAAGGTGTCTAAGGAATATTTTCAAAAGCATTAATACTCTCAACGGACCAGGAAAAACGAAAACTTTAAGAAATTCTGTGTCCACCAATGGTAAAGGTTCTGTATAAGTGGTTTCTAAAACAAAGAAAGAAAAATATTCCCGTGACCGTGAATCTCCTTTTTTCATGCAAGCGGCTGGTTGCAAAAATATAAAAGGCGTTTTTGAATACGTTACTTAAAGATTTTAGGCGAAAAATTGTCATCACAACCTGAGCGAGTAAGCAGTAGTGATTGGAAAATCCAAATATCCCCGATAATTCCAAAATTTAAACTATCCTGTTCATTATAGAAAATTGAATTTGACCCTGGCGTGGAAAAACCTGAAGTTATAGAAAACTATTGGCACTTTAAGTGTCCTAAGAAGTCGAATAAGGAATAAGAAGATCCATGCAGTAAGATCACAAATTATTGATTTACTGCAAGATTTCACTCCCGAAGTTAATACTATGGATATAGAAGACTGGAATAAAGATATTTTGGAGGATAAAGGGGTGAAAATGGTCAAGATAAAGGACGGTAAGAAGTGAAAGTAATAAGGCAACATATAACAATTGACTGTGCGATCAAATCAATTAACAACGTAATTCAATGGGCTGAAGAAAATGAAGTGGAATACTAAAGTCTACTCGTCTTACGAAAATTAAGAAATGAAATCGCTCAAAAAAGGTTTATGAGACAAAAAAACAAAAAAACTCATTTTTCGATAAACAAAATAAATCACATTTTTATTAATTTTTATCATGTTTTTTCCATTTCCATTGTTAGTGAATGTTAGAAATATTCCATTAAACTTGCTTAATTAATTCACTATATCTCGTCATTCATCACTGACGGACGCTGAGCCATTTTGAAAACACCGTGCCATAGTCTGAGCTTAAATATGCTGCACTGCCCTCTGTAGGCGAACCATCTCGACGAAAATTACTTAAGCTCGTTAAAGAAAGTAACAAGAGATCTTCTCAAGCAGTAATATGAGCTTTGGTAAAGGAAACCACCAGAAAAGAAGTGTTATCTACGAATGGAACTTAGAAATACAATTCTTAGGTTTGATAGGACTAAATGTTCATATTTCCATTGTGAAATAGCAAATCCAAGACATGAGTTATATTAGTTTTATATGCCTCCACAAACAAATAAACTCGTAAGTGCACGCTTGCGATCACTAAATTCATACATATTCAATAGATATGAACATGACTGGGAGCTGCTTTCGCTTGGGAATCATGAAAACGTCGGCAAGCAACTGTCGCAAATAAATATTTTAATTAATAAAGGCATTAAATGTGTCTTACTTTAGTCTAACTCTCTCCTCAAGCGAACTATAAATCCACATATTAGTATCTTGCAATGATAGTTCTATTATTGAGACAGCTAGCACCCCATAAATAATAAAAAAGTAATAAAAATAATTAAAAAAAACTTTGCTTTCTATAGGGACTCTAAAGTCTATAGATTTGGGCTTTTAATAAAAGATTTGTTGTTGATAGTTGAAATGGTATTTTTACCTTAGAGGTTGTAGAACATTCAGGAATAGGACATACATATAATGAGGAAATAAGAGGACGAATAGGAAGAGTACAGCTACTGTTGTTATATGGCCACGTAAGGATGACTAACCTCGAAAGATGACCAAAGGCAGTGATGGAATATGAACCAACAAACAGAAGAAGAATGGGAGTTGGCGAAATTAGAGGAACTGCGTCGGTTTTTGCTGAGTCGAACTTGCTGATGCTTCGCCAATCATCCTGTTGACTTCTTCAGAGCTCGACTGAAACTAGCTCGCATTTTACTCTGTATTTGCTTATATATTGTTTGAGGGGGGCGGAGCTAAATGAGAGACATAACCACCGTCTCGGAAGACTGATTCCCATATTGGTGACAGCTAGAGATTTGAGTTGCGGTTAAGTGGTGAAGTGTATTTTTTGATCAAACGCCTAATATCTTTAATATGGAAATTATTGGAGAGAAGAACAGAGGTAAGGTGTTTTAATTCTCAGGTCTCTACCTGTCACCATTATGGAAATCACCAGAGATGGTGGTTATGCCTCTCATTTAGCTCCGCTCCCTTCAACACTATATAAGCAGGTACAGAGTAAAATATGAGCCAGTTTCAGTCAAGCTCTGAAGAAGCCACCAGGATGATTGGCGAAACGTCATCAATTTCGACTCAGCAAAAACCGACGCAAGAGGAATCCAGAAGTTTTGTAAAAAGTATTCCAGTAGCCTGTGAAAAATTAACTATAAAAGATACTACTATACTGCGGTAGTCATGACTGACGGTGGTCAACTGACTATAAGGGAAAATTTCAAGATATTATTACAGACGGATCCCATCGTCAATGTAAAAAAGATCCTACGACATCTACGGAATACAAACTTAAATCTGTTATTAAGGCATCTCCTCGATTAGAATAATAACAACATTAAGAATAAGCATAAGAAGAAGAATGAAAGATAGGCCGATAACAGAGGATGACTGGGGAAATTGGAAAAAATGGAGGTCGAAATGTGGGATGCGTCAGCGGACGTAGAAACTTGAATACCGCAACACATCTCAAGATTTTATTATTACTTCCAAAAAGGTTAAATTGTCAGCCAATAATATTTGTCGTTATCAACTTAATACTGAAATGTATTCTTAACTAAAAATCGTTGGTGTTATTAGGACATTCGACAAAAACAAAAACGAAATCCTAACTACATTTTATTAACTTAATTTAAAAAACATACATTTCCTACTTATCTTTAACAACACATTCTTATGAACCTGACTGCATTCTTAAATTTTGTCCGATCTATTTACACTAAAACTACTATATAGAATAAGAGAAGAGAGAAAAATTTTCCTACATTTCGATGTAGAAATCTTTTCATATATACAACAATTAAGGATTTCATGAAAATTTTACAGGTGAGCAATTGTTCAGGTTATGTACAAAATGCACTTTTCTCAAAATTTTTAAGTTCCACGAAGCGATAATTCTCAATTCAATTATTAAAAGAAAAAAAGCCATTTTAGAGTACCTATTTAAGTTTGAAATTATAATCCGAAGCCATAAGCAATAGGAACTAAAATAAATATAAGGAAGTGAAGAGGAATTAATACTATACAACCTAAAATTGCCCGTTAACTAGTTAGATCATTTCATTTGGAACTTAAAAACTTGCATTACCAATTAGACTCGAAGAAAGCGGTGCTGGAAGCAAATCACAATTCAAAGCGAAAATATTACAAATAGCCGTTTTCAAAGGAAAACCAAATTCAAATAGAACCTGAAAATTAGTGACAGAAAGTTGAAATAATGGCAAGAAAAAATTGCTTAGTGGAAACGCAAAAATAAGAGCTAGAATATTTACAACAAACCGTGTTTTAAATAATAAAATATAACGAAATTTTTCAATTATTGTAAGACAAATTTGATCCGTTAGTCTAACAAAAAGAAATGTCCCTGTTGTCGATGTCGTTTTGAAATTGTCTCGAAGAGTCCTAAGTTTTGACTGGTGTTTGATGGCAACGTGTTCGCTTAGATAAGGGATGTGATCAAACGAGCCTTGAAGTTCACTAATCTCTCGCTGGTTTGGGCGAGACGCTGCAAAATAAGAAATTGCATTAATAATCCAAGATCAGTCGGCATATGCGTATATTTACAAACATGCGATATCAAAATAAGTAGGCAAACAGGTATAGAAGTAGGCAAGAGGCACAAGCAAGAAAGTTTTTAGCATAATTCTATTCCGACTGGTACGAAAACTGAACAACAAAACTTCTTCAGTTTAGATTTTAGAATTTTTTAAGTCAAAAAATAAACATGCTCCTAATAGATGTCCAAATGCATGCGTATTAACGGAAAGTGGATCTGCATGTTGCCAACGAGTGATGTTGAAAGGCAAGGACAAATTTTAAATTTAATATCTCTTACATAATTCTGCATATCTCCTCAATTGTAACGTACAAAAAAGTCTGTCTGTCTGTTCGTCTGTCCGTATGTATAAAATTAGGATTCAACCAAATATTGCCTTCAGGAGCTTCAGTTTGCTACGTACTTTGTTGCCCGATCCCTAAATTCAAATCAATTTTTTAATGTTTACATGTTTCGAGAAAACTAGTTTCTTGTTCAACCAGATCCATCTATGAAATAAAATTTCTGCTGATACCGCATGGAGAAATAATGGCAAATGGGTCTGCACCGACAAATCAAAAAGACTCATATAAATTAACAAATTGAGTTAACCAAACGTCACTGTAAGAAGCAGAAAAATATTATCAACTAAACCCTGAGGAACCCATTGATTCCAGTGAAGGCGCAAGAGTAATTTTTTCGTCGATCAAGCTAGAAAAAAGCCTAAGCATAAGCTAAATAATTTATTGTATGATGAAAATAAAGTTATGTGTGCAAAGTATGTCACAGTACAGACCGTAACAGAGCGTCATTGTCAAGAGAATTACAGCTGAATCATGAAATAATATAACTTACCAAGATGAGGTCTTGTATTACATTGGCAATGCCGCGGTTAGCAATCACGAAAAACCTGGTGATAGGTCCAGGAATACCTTCACCGTTGTCGTGTTTGATGTCAATTTCGGCAACACCTCCGTGATCGTGCTCGTCGGAACCTTCGCTTGCCCCAGAACCTGCTACTAGCTGCGAAAATAAAATGCATTACGTTAAAAATTTTCCAAATACGATAACAAATGTAAATATAAAAATGTAATAATAAAACCTGAGACCAAATTAATTCTAACGTCATTTTAACTACTTTATATGTACAGTTATGCAAAAATTACTCTACCTAAGCCTAAATATTAAATTCCAGAATGGATTGTTGATGATTCCTGAGCGAGTTATCCTTAATATGCGCCTAATGAGCAATATCAATCTATTCTCCGGCATACCAAATATTTCAAGCGCAAACAATTTGGAATACGGAATAATTCAAATTAGCGTCTGTATATAGGCAATTGCAATCAAAATCGACAATAAAAACATTCCTTTCACTGACTTTAATTTATTTATGCTTTGAAATTTTGCATACCAACGCTTTGGATAAAAAAAAACAAAGTTGAGCACACCCTAGGATATAATCACTAAATTGCGTGTACATGTTCCCGTTCCTGTGTTTTTCGGATTATCTAAATTATTATTAGAAATAGAATGCTTCCTTGACACTGCACTGTATTTTCAAATACTACTGGAGAATAGCTAGATGAAGCAGCAAGGCTTTCACCTAAAGCCACTGCCTTTTATCTATAAAATCAAAAAAATAATACTAAAATACTTTTTACAAGCTTCTGAGAAATATACAGGGTGATTTTTAATTGTTGACATTCATTTACACGTGTGATGAATGTCAATAATTAAGGGATCGATTATTGAGTGCATTTTAAAAAGAAAACTTCATATGAACAGACGTCCTAAACGTCTTAACTCTTGAGATACTTGGCATTATGTTTTTAAGGAAATCAGGGGAGTGCCACTGACCATCTATCGACAAATTATATTTTGGTTAATTACGTCGCCACTGCGCTGGGTAAATCGAGAACTTTTTTCTAAAAAATAAAATATCTATCCAAAAAGATATCCAGTTTTTATTTACCAACTACCAACAAGTACGATAATAAACGATTCTTATTAAAAAAAACTGCTTATTAATGAATTAATAACCTTTTTGAAAAAAGTAGAACACAGAAACTATATAAAATGCTTATCTGCCTACTCCTCATTAGTAAACTGGCCCGTTCTTTTGTAAAATAACAATGCTCGGATATTTTAAACACCACATTAATACGACGCGAAAAACTGAATTTAAAAACTGACGTCAAACAACTGTCAAACAAACGCTTTGACACCAGAATTAATCATTCTTACCGACATAGCCTACTATATTGATAAGAAATAATTATAAAGATTTCAGAAATACACCTCAGAGTTTGCGTATTTCATATTCGATTTTTTGAAGTATTTTAATAAAATTCATTTGAAAATCAGATATTGAATTTCAAGAAAAATGCTCCCGCACGTCGATTATAAGTTTCTATTTGAAAATATAAAATGGGCCCAACATTTTCATTTTGTACCCAACCAAAAAGTTTAGAACTCCATTCCACTATATTTAACATATTCGATACAACACCCAGAATGGAGGTGATCATCTACATGCATGTCACAGACTTAAAAAAGCAATTTACGAAAACCTATTAAGCATGTAACTCTTAAAACCCACTTTCCAACTCCTACACAGCGAAAAAAATTATATGTGTTACGTAATGGAAATATACTCACCAAGTTAAAATTTAAAAACGATTGGTAAATGTCAGTTTCAACAACATTTTCAAATATTTTTATTGATCGTTAATTTTAAAAAAAGTTATTAATTTGACAGGATTACAAGACAATCAACTTCATTTTTTATGGGGATTTTGAATGCTGTCTTAAATCAATAAAATGAAAATAAATGCTAATGCGTTAGATTAAAAATCGGGAATATAGAGAAAATCGCCATCGAACTGCACTTTGGAAAAAATGATTCCGTTTTTCAAATTTGTTCATCGTTAAAAATAGATAAACAAAGATATATACAAATAATTGTCTTTTCGTAAGGAAGTAGACGGGCTAGCCCATATTCATGATTCGTTTTACCACATGCAGTGTAGATACAGCATTTGAAAGCTGTTATACCCCTTGATTGTCATTAGTCGCGAGTATTTGAGAAATAAAGGTCTTTTTACTCACCAAGTTCAAGAAACTAGAAAAGTATTACATATATGGGGCCAAATTACAGCTTCACAAATGAATATGAAATTTTGTTTCCGTTCATTCGTGCTGCTTCGTAGAGAAAATTTATTATGTACTTCAATTATAGTATTATCATATATATATATATATATATATATATATATATATATATATATATATATATATATATATATATATATATATATATATATATATATATATAAGTTGAATTTCAACTACTAGGCCACAGATGGTGCATCACGCATTTGTATTAAATATTCCTCATTGAAATGCATGGGCATCTAATCGAACCACAACAAGGTGTTAAACATTATCAAAAACTCAAATTTACTGACGCAATTTCTCTATAACAAATACTAATATGGAAATAAATTCAATCAAATTAAATTATATTTTGTAATACTTTTGGATGGCCAATCGTAGGTCGACGGTCCGCCGCTTGGTGCATATGTTTTGATATACTTAGAACCGACGTAAGTGAAAGTAGGTGGTCCGTGACCGATATAGTAAACCGTTAAAATCGATATCGATAGTTACGTATGTATAATTTTTTGTAAATCACAGCATGTGACTAAAGAGTTCGTCCTCGAAATTTGCAAGTGCAAAAGATTTTATGACGTGTATTAATTATGTAGGTATTTTCTTCTTTGTCTTAAGTAGTACGATCACTGTTTAAGACTCTCTTAAACTGAGACGATGCATGTCTGAAAATTCTCAATAGAAAACGTAAGTCGAATATTGTTTGACGTGTTCTCGCATTTAAATGTGATTTAAAAACAGGTTAAAACCACTCATTGACGCAAATTGTTCCCCAGGTTGACATACATATACATAAAATATTATAGGTACCTATATTAGTTTTCCAGTTAACACGTTTATTATTAGTCGCGCGTGTAACAAATAAATGTTGCATAATTTTTGTTGTTATTATACTATTATTGTTGAAAAGAAAATTTAGAAGTTGAGCTTTTGTACGATTATTTACGATATGCAAGCACAGCTACAAATGGTGCCTATGGCGAAGAAATTGATTTTAATTTACGAGGTTTGAAAGTATTGTTTTTAAAATACATTTTTTTACCGCATATTTTACCAGAGGTTAAAATTTAAATTTTACTGTTTCACACTTAAACTTCTCTTACATATTTTTTGGTTGCAGCAAAATCGCTAGAAGTTTTGAACTAGCAAGGAATATTTTTGTAGATATTTGTTATACATTAATGTTTAATTAGAACAGCAGTATATTTTTTATTTAGAATTATGTGGAATATATACATATTTAATTTAATTATAATATACTTTTATTACAGATGCTAGGGAAAGGTAGCTAGTAATGTATTCCTTGAACGGTACTAGCGCTTCATTAAAAATTGTTTTGTTTCTTATATGCTTGCTGTTCACCACATGTCCGTATTTACAAAACTCAGCTAGTTGCACAGGCAAAAACAATTTATCAGCCATGCATAAGTAGTTTCTAACAGGTTTGGTTATATCAGAGTCGCCCCATAAAATCTAGGTCTAACCAAAACTAGCCGAAAGGGAAGGGAAGAACTCAAGAAATATTTAAGGTAATTACCTAAACAATGAAAATGAAAATGCAATTTTTCTTTATTATCATTTATTATCCACAATTACCGTTTCAAATGGCGCTATGCTGAATGTGGTATCCATTTCGATATCACAGTCCTTCAATTGGTAAAATCTCTCCATCTTTTCTCTTCATTAGGTGTGCAACAGTTTTCTTCTTCATGTCGTAGGAGTATGGAGTATAGACAGACAGTTTGAAATAGAGAATTTTCACTAGACCTACCCAATTTATATTGTGCAAAATCAATTCTTATGGTACTCTCCTCGGATTTGTTAATTCATTCATGAGGATTGATTGCTTGCTATTTAAACAAAATATTAAACTGATCAACTTTTTTCACTTTGGATTCATAATCATAAATAAAAAATTACCCTATATAACGTGTTTTAAAACAAATTTGAAAAACTTAAGGGGGGCGATTCCTTGTTTAACAGTTTATTACATAAACGTTGAGTCAAAATGGTGAAATAGCGAAAAAATAATGATAATTTAAAATTTCAATAAAAATAAAGTAAAAAATAAAAAGTAAAGCATAGTATGTTAAAAATAATTGTTTTCAAAAAATATTTTAGTCGTGTGGTGTCAAACAGTTGTATTTCATATTTATCAATTATCTTCGAAACAATTAGATTTTAAAAAGGATTTAGTAATAAAAATTTCTGCAACTAATTGATCTGTTCACGTGTAAACATTAAAACGTAAACATTTTTCTTAAATAATATAACTCCAATAAAAACACACCAAATAAGCAAAACAAATAATTTTTTATAGCGTATATTCAAATTGCGATATAGTGCATGCATTTATCCTACGCATCCTGGAGTACCCAATCTAATGGAAAATGTTCCCAGATAGAATAAACCAAACAGGCGTACATTTCTAGCAAGGACGTAATTCCTCTTTTACAAAGACGAAATAGTAATATGAAAAAATTGGAGGAGTCACAATTTTCTAAATAAAACATAAAATAAAAAAAAACATTTCTTAGTACAAGCATAAGATTTGAGATAAATTTAGTTAGAAGAATGAAATAAAAAAAATATCAGGAAGTGTGTTTTTATAATAGTAATAATACTCTGGCAGTATTTTCTAGTTCCATTTTCGTTTTTAAGACCCTTGATTTTGAACAAGAAATCACCACATTCAATTTTTATCATTTGTTTTGAAACACTCTACATAATGGATAAACTTTTTTTCAAGGATACTAAACAAGAACAGTAGATTTCGATGACAATTGGAAATATGTACAGTACGAAATAAATCCAGGTCTATTTTAACACGGAGAAAGAATTCTCAAATT